GAAGAAAACTTAGGTTGATTCCATCTCTCCACTATTGTGAATAGTTGTCCTCAATTTTTTTTACACTTGTTATCAAAAGATAGAATTTAGTTTCTCTTCCCTTGAAAATGACCATAGTCCCCTGCTTCTGTAAGTAGAATAAAGTGAATTGTTGCTCATGACCTGACAAAATTAGGTCATAAAAGATGATACTGTTTCCACTTGGCTCTCCCTCCTGGGGTGGGTGTGCTTAAAACCCATTCACCATTTTGTCAGAAAGCCCAGACCATGTAGGGAGGTTACGTGTGGGTATTCCACCAGATAGCCCCAGCTGATGCCCTGGCTGACAGCCCACATTAACCAGGAGTTACTTGAGCAAGAAAACCTTTGACAGTATTCTAACTCCATACTGTTTAGAGGCAACCACATCCTGAGCCAGAACTGCCTAGGTGAGTCTAGTCAGCCTCCAGAATTATGAGAAGACTAATAAGTATCATTGTAACTGTATAATTTGGGGTGGTATTTTTTTATTTGTTAGTTTGCTTTCTCAGATGGAGTCTCACTCTGTCTCCCAGGCTGGAGTGCAGTGACACAATCTCAGCTCACTGCAACGTACACTTCCTAGGTTAAAGTGATTCTCCTGCCTCAGCCTCCTGAGTAGCTAGGATTACAAGTGTGAGCTACCACACCTGGTTAATTTTTGTATTTTTAGTAAAGAAAGGGCTCATTATTTTGACCAGGCTTGTCTTGAACTCCTGACCTCGTGATCTGCCTGCCTTGGCCTCCCAAAGTGCTGGGATTACAGGTGTGAGCCACCGCACCTGACCAGTATGTTACACAGCAATAGGTAGCATATACACAAAGTCATCTTCCAATACAAATATGTCAATTCTCCACTTGATACCATTCAATGGTTTAGAATTGAGTGTAAAATAAAGACAAAACACAATCCTGAATCCATCTGACAAGGGATTAATAATTAGAGTATATAAGGAGCTTAGGTAAAAACAAAATCAATAGGACAAAAAGCTAATAATCTGATTTTAAATGGCCAAATGATCAAAATAAACATTTCTCAACAGAAAACATACAAATGGCATCTTTATAAAAAGATGCTCAACATCACTGATCAAAACTACAATGAACTATCATGCAATCCCAGTTAAAATGGCTTATATCCAAATGACAGGCAGTAACGAATGCTAATGAAGATGTGGAGAAAAGGAAACCCTGGTACACTCTTGGTGAGATAGTAAATTAGTGCAACCACTATGGAGAATGGTTTGGACAGTCCTCAAAAAACTAAAAAGAGCTACTTTATGACACAGTAATTCTACTGCTGGGTATATACCCAAAAGAAAGAAAATCAGTATGTGAAAGAAATATCTACATTTTTACATTTGCTGCAACATTATTCACAATAGTCAAGATTTGGAGGCAATCTAAGTGTCCATTAACAGGTGAATGGGGCCAGGTGCAGTAACTCACGCCTGTAATCCCAGCACTTTGGGAAGCTGAGGTGGGTGGATCACAAGGTCAAGAGATTGAGACCATCCTGGTCAACATGGTGAAACCCAGTCTCTACTAAAAATAAAAAAAATTAGCTGGGCACAGTGGTGCATGCCTATAATACCAACTACTCAGGAGGCTGAGGCAAAAGAATTGCCTGAACCCAGGAGGCAGAGGTTGCGGTGAGCTGAGATCACGCCATTGCACTCCAGCCTGGGTAACAAGAGCAAAACTCAGTCTCAAAAAAAAAACAACAACAGGTGAATGGATAAGAAAAATGTGGTACATATACACAATGGAATATTATTCAGCCATGATAATAATAGAATCCTGTTACTTGCAACACCATGAGTAGAACTGGAGATTATTTTATATACTAAAATAAGTCAGAAAGAGAGAGAGACAAATTTTGCATGTTTGCAGTCATTTGTGGGTGCTAAAAATTAAAAAAATTGAACACATAAATATAGAGAGTAGGATGAAGGTTACCAGAGGCTGGAAAGAATAGTGGGCTGGAGGGGGTTCACAGGAATAATTAATGGGTACAAAAATACAGTTAGAATGAATAAGATGTAGTACTTGGTAGTACAAAAGAGTCACAAGGGTAAAAAATAATTTACTTATTTAAAAATAGCTGAGAAGATGGCCGACCACTAACAGCTCAGGATTGTAGCTCCCAGTGAAAGCTCAGAGAACGAGACGACGCCACATCATTAGACGAATTTTCATCACTCACCGATCAGCCGATTCCCAGTGGAGGAGCCCCACGGGTCGCCAGCGCGACTCTTGTGGCCGCCGCAGCGGTTTTGCCGGCGTCTCGGCGCAGCAGCTCTTCATGTAGAGCCAACGGGACTGCTTCCCCTACTGACCGGAGTTTGGAGCTCCAGGAAGTCAGAGCCGCTTGTTGTGGACTCAAGAGGGAAGCCAGACCAGACATTCCCGGGCAGAAGAGCACCATCAGTCTTATCGCTGCTATTTAGGCTGCCACAGTGGGTTGCTTGAATCCCAGCACTGGGAATCAATAAGTCGGACGTCGACTCAGAAAACTAATTAGAAAGGCGGTTCATCTACAATGAAGGGAAAAAAACAGCCTAAGAAGGCCGAGTATACTCAGAATCAGAACCCATCAGCAACGGAACAAGCCCTGATGGAAAAGGACTCATCAGCAACCGAACAAGCCCTGATGGAAGAGGACTCATCAGTAACGGAACAAGCCCTGATGGAAAAGCACTGTGTTCCATTATCTGAAGTAGGCTTTAAAAGGTGGATGATAAGAAACTTCTGGGAGTTAAAGGAACTTGTTCTAACCCAATGTAAAGAAACTAAGAACTTGGAAAAAAGGTTCGATGAAATGTTGAAAAGAATAGACAATATAGAGAGGAATACAAATGAACTTATGGAGTTGAAAAATACAACACGAGAACTTAGTGAAATATGTACAAGCTTAAACAGCCGAATGGATCAAGCAGAAGAAAGGGTATCAGAGGTTGAAGACCAACTTAATGAAACAAAACGACAAGACAAGAATAGAGAAAAAAAGGATAAAAAGGAATGAGCAAAGTCTCCAAGCAATATGGGACTATGTGAAAAGACCTAATATACGCTTGATTGGTGTACCTGAATGTGACGGAGAGAATGAAGTCAAGCTGGAAAATACTCTCCAGGACATTATCCAGGAAAATTTTCCTAATTTAGCAAAGCAGGACACTATTCAACCCCAGGCAATACAGAGAACACCACAGAGATATTCCTCAAGAAGACCAACCCCAAGGCACATAATCATTAGATTCACCAAGATCGAAACGAAGGAGAAAATATTAAGGGCAGCCAGAGAGAAAGATCAAGTCACCCATAAAGGTAAGCCTATTAGGCTTACAGCAGATCTCTCAACGGAAACCCTACAAGCTAGAAGAGAGTGGGGGCCAATATTCAATATACTTAATCAACAGAACTTTCAGCCCAGAATTTCATATCCTGCCAATTTAAGCTTTACATTTGAAGGAAAAATAAAATCTTTTAGGAACAAGCAAGTACTCAGAGATTTTATTACCACCAGGCCTGCTTTACAAGAACTTCTAAAAGAAGCATTATACACAGAAAGGAACAACCAGTATGACCCTCTCTAAAAATACACCAAAAAGTAAAGAGAATTAACATAAAGAAGAATTTTTATCAACGAAAGGACAAAATAGCCAGTTAATAACAAATGGCAGCAACCCTAAATTTAAATCGACCAAATCTCCCAATCAAAAGATACAGACAAAATCTAACGGTATATCCAAAGATATACATAGACTCAAAATAAAGGGTTGGAAAAAAAAAAAACAAAAACGTACCAACCAAATGGAGAGCAAAAATAAATATATAAGAAGCAGGAGTTGCAATTTTCACATTTGACAAAATAGATTTCAAAGCTACAAGGATACAAGGGTAAAAGGAATAATGTAATAATAAGAAATCTTAACACCCAGATACATAAGACCCATAATGAGATTTAGATTCAACGAGACAACAAATTGATAACGATACCCGGGACTGGAACTAAGATCCAGAACAAATAAACTCAATAGAGCTCTCCATTTTAAGCACACAAAATATACATTATCCACAAAATCTAACGATATATCTGAAGATATACAAAGACTCAAAACAAGGGGATGGAAAAAAACTCACCAACCAAATGGAGAGCAAAAATAAATAAATAAAAAGCAGGAGTTGCAATTCTCACACTTAATAAAATAGATTTCAAAGCTACAAGGATGCAAGGGTAAAAGGATTAATGTAACAATAAGAGATCTTAACACCCAGATACATAAGACACATAATGAGATTTAGATTCAATGAGACAACAAATTGATAACGATATCCAGGACTTGAACTCAGAGCCAGAACAAATAAACATAATAGAGGTCTCCATTTTAAACACATAAAATATGCACTTTAAACACTCAAAATATTGATCGGCCATTATTGAAACCCATTTTAGGAATAAAGTAATATTCCTTTTTCCCTCTTTTTCTTTTTTTCCCCTTCTTTTTCTCTTTTTCTCTCTAAAAAATAAAAAAAAGAAACTAGGAACTTTGAAAAAAGGTTTGATGAAATCCTATTGAGAATAGACAACTTAGAGAGGAGTAAAAAAAAAAAAATAGCTAAAAGGGACCAGGTGTGGTGGCTTATGCCTGCAATCCCAGAACTTTGGAAGGCCAAGGCAGGAGGATCACCTGCCAGGAGTTTGAGACCAGCCTAACATAGCAAAACCCTGTCTCTACTTAAAATACATTAGTCTAGCTACTCAGGAGGCTGAGGCAGGAGAATAATTTGAACCCTGGGGACAGACATTGCAGCAAGATGAGATTGCAACACTGCACTCCAGCCAGGGAGAAAGAGCTACACTCCAGTGCAAAAAAAAAAAAAAAAAAAAAAAAGAAAAGAAAAAGGAAAAAAAAAGAAAGAAAAAGAAAAAAGGAAAAGGAAAAGAACATAACTGAATTGTTTGTAAAATAAAGAAAGAAAATAAATGCTTAAGATGAGGAGTATCCGATTTACCCTGATGTGATTATTACACATTGCATGCCTGTATCCACTAGGAAGCAGAGGCTGGGCCTGGAAGGGCCTACCACAGGCAGGAGCCAGGCCTGGACAAACCCACAAGAGGAGGGTTTGGGCCTGGAGAGGCCACTGGCAGGCAGGAGCTGGGCCTGGAGAGGCCAACATCAGGACCATTTGGGCCTGCCCAGGCCACTGGAAGGAGGCTAGAGCCAAGCCAAGAGAAGCCAACTTGTGGAAGTTTGGGGCCGGTAGATGCTGACAGAGAGCAGGAGCTGAGCCTGGGAAGGCAACCAGGAGCCTTTCAGGCCTATGGAGGACATCAGAAGCTTGGCAGGAGCTGAGTCCACAGAGGATGTTGGGAGGCAGGAGCTGGGCCCAGTGAGGTCATTGAGAGACAGAAGCTCACCCTGCAGGGGCCAATGTGAGGAGGTTTTGCAACCAGAGAGGCCACCAGGATGGCAAAACCTGGGCCAAAATTGGCCAACTTTAGAAACATGTAATCCTCTGAGGCCACCAGGAGGAAGCTGGAGCCAGGTGAATAGAAGCTGATTAGAGCATATTTGGGTCCTCAAGATGCATTCAGAGGGCAGGAGCTGATCTTGGAGATGCCATTATGAGGCATGAGCTGTGTGGGCCTGGAGAGCTTGATTTCAGGACCTTTCAGGTCTACAAATGCCACAAGGAGCCGAGTTCACAGAGGTTGTTGCAGGGCAAATGGGGGGCCTGTAGATGAAGCCATGAGGAAAAGCTTGCCCAGAATGGATTCCAGAAAGCAGCACCTGGGCCTGAAGAGGCCACAAAGAAATGAGCTTATGAGCTGGGCTTGGAGAGGCCACCAAAAGCTTCCAAGTAGTGGGCGTGCAGGCCTGAATGGTCTAGCGAGGAACAAGCAGGGCCTGCAGAGGATCCCGAAAAGCAGGAGCCTCCAGCAGCATGGGGAGGCCATGGTGAGGCATGACATGTGCCTAAAGAGGCCATCAGAGAACCAGGAGCTGCCATGAGGCAGGCACGCATGCAGGCAGAAATGGCCTGGGGAGGCCAACATCAAGGGTAAGAGCTGGGCCTACCTGTTGGTAGGCAGAAGGTGGGTCTGTCCAGGCCACTGGGAGGCCAAAGGTGGGCCTGGAAAGCCCAACTTGAGGAAGGCTGGAGCCTACACAGACTGCTAGAAGCTGAGCAGGAGCTGGGCCAAATGTTGTTGTGAGGGAGGAGTTGGGCCTGTAGATGCAGCCAGGAGGAAGAGCTGAGACAAGAGAGGCTGACTTGAGAACGTTCTGAGCTGAAATAGGAAGCCAAAAAGCCAATGCTGAGCCTGGAAAGGTATCTACCACAGGCAGGAGCCGGACCTGGAGAGTTACACGAGAGGACTAGTGCAAAGACACATGTACACATATGTTCGTTGCAGCACTGTTTACAATAGCAAAGACTTGGAACCAACCCAAATGCCCATTAACAATAGACTGAATAAAGAATATGTGGCACATATACACTATGGGATACTATGCAGTCTTAAAAAAGGGTGAGTTCATGTTCTGTGCAGGGACATGGATGAATCTGGAAACCATCATTCTCGGCAAATTGACACAAGGAAAGAAAACCAACCACCACATGTTCTGTCCTAAGTAGGTGTTGAAGAATGAGAACACATGGACACAAGAGAGGGGAACATCACACACTGGGGTCTGTTGGGGGGTGTCGGACTAAGGAAGGGATAGTTGGGGGTGGAGAGGTTGGGAAGGTATAACATTAAGAGAAATTCCTGATGTAGGTAATGGGGACATGGAGGCATCAAACCACCATGCCATGTGTGTACCTATGCAACAATCCTGCAAGATTTGCACATGTACCCCAGAACTTAAAGTGTAATAAAATTTTTAAAAAAAGAAAACAGGCTCCAAGGTAGTGACTAAACAATAATTTGTAATGAAACAGACTAAGGCACAAATGAGTCAATAAAATTAAGAAATAATAAAGCAGGCTTTAAAGTAGTGAACTAAACAATATGTAATCAAAAATAACAATCATATATAAATGATTCAATAAAGTATACATTTTTTTGAGATAGAGTCTCACTCTGTTGCCAAGACTGAAGTGCAGTGTTGTGATCTCAGCTTTCTGCAATCTTCACCTCCCATGCTAAAGCCATCTTCTTACTTCAGCCTCCTAACTGGAACTATATGCATCCACCACTGTGCCTAATTTGTATTTTTTTTTCTAGAGATGGGGTTTCACCATGTTGTCCAGGCTGGTCTCTAACTCCTGTACTCATGCGGTCCACCTGCTTTGACCTCCCAAAGTGCTGGGATTACAGGAATAAACCACCACACCTGGCTTGTTTTTATATTTGACATGACAAAACTATTATAACTTAGCTCAGGTATAAGTCATTATAAAAAATTTAACCTCTTTAATAGGACAGGACAGAAAGATTCTAACATGTTATCAAAGCCTAGGGTAGGATAAATGTGTCATCACAAATGGGAAGGGAGTAGGCCCTTCGGAAAATGGCATGGCAAATGATTACCTCTATCAGAAACATATGGATGACCCTATCCTAAGAAAAGTAAAAGGAAGAAAGAAAGGAATGGGGGGCAGGGCGGGGGCATTGTAGAGGGTTTAAATGTTATAACACCCAGCTCAGCAAGGACAAAATAAAACAAGAACTCTTACTCACAGTCTAAGCTGGCACTGCCTTTTTACAGTTTAATTTTGCAATTAACATTAAAAGTCTCAAAAACACTCATTGTCTTGACTTAGCCCTTTCACCTCCAATAATCTAGCATACAAAAACACTTGAAGATTGAATACATTCGGGTCAGTAATTCTTTATCCACCTATTACACAATCAAAAGAAGTTTAAAAGCTTGTTGGTAACAAAAGTTGTCCTTAACAAATGTGCTACTATTTAGTTTCTATTTATACCATTCAGCTGGCCTTGAAAGCCATGCATACTTTCAATTTGAGTAGGACCCAGCCTACTTCTCTGGGCTTATTTACCAACACAGTCTCCCATAGGTGCTGTAAACCTGTTAAACAAAACCCCTGGCTGTTCCCCAAACACTGCCCACCTGCCTCACAGCAGCACCTTTACAGATACCATTTCTGCTTCCTGACACATTCTCTTTCTCCCACATCTAAGGCCTACATAGGACCCATCTCATTTCGTAAAGCTTCAGCCATACCTTTGAGTTAAATTTCTGACTCCCATGATTCCCGGGCACATTCTGGTACTGCTGGGTGTACATTAATACAATCTGAAATGCGGTTTTGCATCTCTTTTTTGCACCTGGCTGAGGTCTCAGAAAACAGAGGCTAAATATTATACTGCTCCCCCAATTTCTAAACACAGTGCTGTATACTGAGTGGCACCTCCAGATGACGACTTTGTACTCTAAATGTTAAACTGAAGGATAAGTGAAATCATATCAGGACTAATATATAGAAATAAATTCTTGAATTTTATCCCTTAATAGAGATGGCCATTTGAATGCTGGCAGGTAGAAAAAAAAAGGATAAAAAAGTCCCAGAAGTTAACATTTTAACTACTGCAACAAAAAAGGAGAATAAAGCAGAGTAGCAAGGTAAAGACCAGGGAAACACAGGTCACTACAGAACAAAAGAATCTTCCAAGCTTGTCAGTAATGTAAGTTTCTCATTTTCTAATAAAGTAGTATGGCATAGGTCACTGTTTAGAGTCTTGTCTTCAAAATGTTTTCCAGCATCAAGAACAATCTACAAGAAACAAAATTGTGAGAAAAAGCAGCACACTCATGGCTCCAAAGAGGAGCCATGAGCACAAGGCTACAAAAAGGATCAAACACATTCTCAACCTGCAATGTGCTCAGTGTCTGAAAATCATAAGTTAGGTGACGAAGGGCTAGTGGTTTTACATTAATTAATAACTTTTCTTCTTGCCCCCATGTTATCTTTCTCACCTGACCCACCAAATAAAACATCCTTAAAATGCTTCTCTCAAATTCCTTGCAGATATGAACCTCCTATCAAATTGCGTGCACATGCTTGAAGAAGCTCAAAACATAGTTAATACACTAATACACAACTGAACTTGATCAACACAAGGCTTACAAGAAAGTGAAGAGAACAGCAAAACTGGGTCCAGCAGCCATCACCTAAAGAACTCTTCACTCGTTACACTGGAGCAAGTGATTTCTCTGGAACTAGGAACCACAGAACCCTGAAAAAAGCACAGCTGGTAGCAGGCTTCAAGGCCTGTAGTGAAAATGTAACATTTCCCTCCAAGTGCTTATTTCTGCAATAAACTGGTTTAGTTCTGCAATGAACAGCTAGATTTATAACTGATATCAATAAACACTTTTTTGTTGCTGCTTGTTTTTATTTTTATTTATTTACTTTTAATTTTTTTAACAGCACTTTCCAGGCAGATGTTTTTACAATAAGTTCTGTTATACTCATCTCCAGGAATTTTTCCAGTTAGACTCTGCATTTATCTGTTTTCCTCTTATCCCTGCTCAAAATTAGAGATTCGTATCATTTAGCTTCATCTGGGAAGTGTTAATTATCCCTAGACTTTCCTTAATGCCCGTGATGAATACATCAACTGGCACAGAACTGATTTGCAGGAGGATTTGAAGGGGATTTTGGCCTCTGAGACTACGTTAATGTCCTTCCTTTCTAACACTTTTTTAACCCAGCACTTTGGGAGGCCGAGGTGGGTGGATGACGAGGTTCAGACATCGAGACCATCCTGGTAAACATGGTGAAACCACGTCTGTACTAAAAATACAAAAAATTAGCTGGGCATGGTGGTGTGTGCCTGTAATCCCAGCTACTCAGGAGGCTGAGGCAGGAGAATTGCCTAAACCAGGAGGCAGAGGTTGCAGTGAGCCGAGATCATGCCATTGCACTCCAGCCTGGGTAACGTGAGTGAAACCCCGTCTCAAAAAAAAACAAAAACAAAAGAGCACCTTGCTCTGTCATGCAGGCTGGAATGCAGTGGTGATGTAGTCATGGCTTACTGCAGCCTCAACCTTCTGAGCTCAAGCAATCCTCATCACTCAGCCTCCCAAGTAGCTGGGACTACAGATGGATGCCATCACACCCAGCTAATTAAAAAATACATTTTATTGTAGGAATGAGATCTCAATATGTTTCCCAGGCTGGTCTTAAACTCCTGGAATCAAGCAGCTCTCCTGCACTGATCATTCAAATTGCTGGAATTACAGGCAGATACAACTGCACAAGGCCATTAACACTTATATATGTCAAATACATACAGAATATAAACCACTACAAAACATAAACATGCTCCATCTTCATTTAACTTACCATAACATGAATATGTTTTAAAAATGAGGTAAAAACAATTAAAAAAATAAAATAAAGTGCACACCAAAATATCCATCAAAATTACAAAAACTCAAAACTGGATGAACAAAACTTCAAAAAGTCTGAAAACAATTGAAAAATAACTTCATCAAAAAATGTAAAACAGAAACAACACAAGAACAATTTATGCTCGCTAAAAAAACAGAGGTTAAGATCAGGAAAATATTTAAAAACAAATTAAGCAAAGATTATAAAAGTTTTTAGAGTGACACAGATTTCAAATCATCAGAATCCATATCAAGTTTGAGCCATGTTGACATTGTATGAGGGCTCTTCCTGGTGTTCGAGGCAGCTGCAACACAGAGGTGCAAGGGTCACTGGAAAGGCACAGAGATGGAGGGAGAAAGGGTTCCCTAGGATGGCTGTGCAGGTCTCAGAGAGCTCCTCAGGCCCTGCAAGGTGGCCGCTGAGTTACCCACAGTCAGATCTACTCGGATGCCAAGGCACTGAGGCCTCTGTGCTGCTCTCCGATGAGAGGTTATCTGTCCACAGAGAGTGTCTATAAGTGTCATGAAAAAACTGAACTTCAGCAATCACATGGGCATGTTCAGGGGGTTCGTTCCCCAAAGAGTAAAACAGACACAGATAAATGAAGAAATTTCAAGAACTCCAGGATCAACATGCAGAGTCTCATGCCCCTGAACCCGAGGAGAAGGTCATCTCATGAAACAGGATGAAGGGGTCACCCTGCCTTGTCACCCAGATCCTCTGTGCCAGGCAGACAGAAGAGCTGCATATCAAATATGCATAGCTTCCTGGAGCACATCATTGTTATTGCCTAATAAGACCTGGACTTCCTAACACCCCACCAGACCTTTCTTTGCATTGTAATTTTTTTTGAGACAGAGTCTTACTCTGACCAAGCTGGAGTACAGTGGCATAATCTTGGCTCACTGTCACCTCCACCTCTGAGGTTCACCATGTTGGGCAGGCTGGTCTTGATTTCTTGACCAGGAAATTTGCCTCAGCCTCCGAAAGTGCTGAGATTACAGGTGTAAGCAACTGCATCGAGCCTGCATTGTAATTTTTAAAATCATGCTTCAGTAAGACATAAATTTCTCACTTTAGTATATTCTAGCATAAAAGGGTCACAGAAGACATCCATTTGAAAGAGTAAAAAACTGTATATATACACACAAACACATTCATATGTGTACCTTATTTCAAAATTGAAAAAAATTTTTATTTTTTAAATTTCTTATTGCATTTTAGGTTTTGGGGTGCATGTGCAGAACATGCAAGACAGTTGCATAGGTACACACATGGCAGTGTGTTTTGCTTCCTTTCTCCCCTTCACACACATATGGCATTTCTCCCCAGGCTATCCCTCCCCAGCCACACCCCACGGCTGGCCCTCCAATTTTCCTCCCAATAGACCCCAGTGTTTACTACTCCCCTCCCTGTGTCCATGTGTTCTCATTTTTCATCACCTGCCTATGAGTGAGAATATGCGGTATTTCATTTTCTGCTCTTGTGTCAGTTTGCTGAGAATGATGTTCTTCAGGTTCATCCATGTCCCTACAAACGACACAAACTCATCATTTCTGATTGCTGCATAATATTCCATAGTGTATATGTGCCACATTTTCCCAATCCAGTCTATCATAGATGAGCATTTGGGTTGGTTCCAGGTCTTTGCTATTGTAAACAGTGCTGCAATGAACATTCGTGTGCATGTGTCCTTACAGTAGAACAATTTATAGTCCTTTGGACATATACCCAGTAATGGGATTGCTGGGTCAAATGGAATTTCTATTTCTAAGGCCCTGAGGAATTGCCGCACTTCCACAATGGTTGAACTAATTTAAACTCCCACCAACAGTGTAAAAGTGTTCCTTTTTTCTCCACATCCTCTCCAGCATCTGTTGTCTCCAAATTTTTTAATGATCGCCATTCTAACTGGTGTGAGATGGTATCTCAATGTGGTTTTGATTTGCATCTCTCTGATGACCAGTGATGATGAGCATTTTTTCATGATTGTTGGCCTAATATATGTCTTCTTTTGTAAAGTGTCTGTTCATATACTGTGCACATTTTTGAATGGGCTTGTTTTTTTCCTCTAAATCTGTTTGAGTTCTTTGTAAATTCTGGATATCAGCCCTTTGTCAGATGGGTAAACTGCAAAAATTTTTTCCCATTCTGTTGGTTGCCGATTCACTCTAGTGAGTGTTTCTTTTGCCCTTTAGAAGCTGTTTAGTTTGATTAGGTCCCATTTGTCTATTTTGGTTTTTGTTGCCAATGCTTTTGGTCTTTTGTTCATGAAGTCCTTGCCTACTCCTATATCCTGGATGGTTTTGCCTAGATTTTCTTCTAGGGTTTTTATGGTGCCAGGTCTTATGTTTAAGTCTTAAATCCATCTGGAGTTAATTTTAGTGTAAGGTGTCAGGAAGGGGTCCAGTTTCTGCTTTCTGCACATGGCTAGCCAGTTCTCCCAACACCATTTATTAAACAGGGAATCCTTTCCCCATTGCTTGTTTTTGTCAGGTTTATTAAAGATTGTATGGTTGTAGATATGTTCTGTTGCCTCTGATGCCTCTGTTTTGTTCCATTAATCTGTATCTCTGTTTTGGAACCAGTACCATGCTGTTTTGATTACTGTAGCCTTGTAGTATAGTTTGAAATCCGGTAGTGTGATGCCCCCTGCTGTGTTCTTTTTGCTTAGAATTGAATTGGCTATGCGGGCTCTCTTTTGGTTCCATTTGAAGTTCATGGTGCTTTTGTCCAGTTCTGTGAAGAAAGTCAATTGTAGCTTGATGGAGATACCATAAATTCTGTAAATTACTTTGGGCAGTATTGCCATTTTCACAATATTAATTCTTCCTAACCATGAACATAAAATGTTTCTCCATCTGTTTGTGTCTTCTCTTATTTCGTTGAGCAGTGGTTTGTAGTTTTTCTTGAAGAGGTCCCTCATGCTCCTTTGAGTTGTGTTCCTAGGTATTTTATTCTTTTTGTACCAATTGTGAATGGCAGTTCGTTCTTGATTTGGCTTTAAGTCTGTTATTGGTGTAGAGGACTGCTTGTAATTTTTGCACATTGATTTTATATCCTGAGATTTTGCTGAAGTTGCTTATCAATTTCAGTTTTGGGGCTGAGGCGATGGGGTCTTCTAGGTATACTATCATGTCGTCTGCAAATAGAGACAATTTGGCTTCCACCTTTCCTATTTGAATACACTTTATTTCTTTTTCTTGCCTGATTGCTCTGGCTAGAACATCCAGTACTATAATTGAATAGGAGTGGTGACAGAGGGCATCCTTGTCTAGTGCCAGATTTCAAAGGGAATGTTTCCAGTTTTTGCCCATTCAGTATGATATTGGCTGTTGGTTTGTTGTAAATAGCTTTTATTACTTTGAGATACGTTCCATCTATACCGAGTTTATTGAGGGTTTTTAGCATAAAGGGCTGTTGAATTTTGTCGAATGCCTTCTCTGTGTCAATTGAGATAATCATGTGGTTTTTGTTTTTGTTTATGTGGTGAATTACATTTATAGACTTGCGTATGTTGAACCAGCCTTGCATCCCTGGGATGAATCCTACTTGATCATAATGGATAAGTTTTTTCATTTGCTGTTGCAATCAGCTTGCCAATATTTTATTGAAGATTTTTGCATCTATGTTCATCATGGATATTGGCCTGAAGTTTTCTTTTCTTGTTGGGTCTCGGCCGGGTTTTGGTATCAGGATGATGTTGGTCTCATAAAATGATTTGGGAAGGATTCCGTCTTTTTGGATTATTTAGAATAGTTTCAGAAAAAATTGTACCAGCTCCTCTTTGTGTTTCTGGTAGGATTCGGCAGTGAACCAATCTGGACCTGGGCTTTTCTTGTGTGGTAGGCTCTTAATTGCTGCCTTGACTTCAGACCTTGTTATTGGTCTATTCATAGTTTCAGCTTCCTCCTGGTTTAGGCTTGGGAGGACACAGGAGTCCAGGAGTTTATCCATTTCTTTCAGGTTTACTAGTTTATGTGTGTAGAGTTGTTTGTAATATTCTCTGATAATGGTTTCAATTTCTGTGGAATCTGGTGATTTCCCCTTTATTATTTTTATTGCATCTATTTGGTTGTTCTCTCTTTTCTTTTTTATCAATTTGGCTAGTCGTTTGTATATTTTGTTGATCTTTTCAAAAAACTAGCTGTTGGATTTATTGATTTTTTGAAGGGTTTTTCACGTCTCTATCTCCTTCAGTTCAGCTCTGATCTTAGTTATTCTCTTCTGCTAGGTTTTGAGTTTTCTTCATCTTGCTCCTCTAGCTCTTTCAATTTTGATGATAGGTGTCAATTTTTGATCTCTCCATTCTCCTAATATGGGCACTTATTGCTATATATTTTCCTCTAGAGACTGGTTTAAATGTGACCCAGAGATTCTGGCATGTTGTGTCTTCGTTCTCATTGGTTTCAAAGAACTTCTTTGTTTCTCCCTTCATTTCATTGTTTATCCAGTCAACATTCAAGAGCCAGTTGTTCAGTTTCCATGCAGCTGTGTGGTTCTGGGTTGGTTTCTGAATTCTGAGTTCTAACTTGATTGCACTATGGTCTGAGAGACTGTTATGATTTCAGTTGTTTTGCATTTGCTGAAAAGTGCTTTACTTCCAATTATGTGTTCAATTTTAGAGTAGGTGTGATGTGGTGCTGAGAAAAATGTATATTCTGTAAATCTGAGGTGGAGAGTTCCGTAAATGTCTATCAGGTTTCCTTGTTCCAGGTCTGAGTACAAGCCTTGGATATCCTTGTTGATTTTCTGTCTGGTTGATCTAATATTGACAGTGGAGTGTTAAAGTCTCCCACTATTATTGTATGGGAGTCTAAGTCATTAAGAACTTGCCTTATGTATCAGAGTCCTCCTGTATTGGGTCCATATATGTTTAGGATCATTAGCTCTTCTTGTTGAATTGATCCTTTTACCATTATGTAATGGCCTTTGTCTCTTTTGATCTTTGTTGCTTTAAAGTCTATTTTATCAGAGATGAGAATTGCAACTCCTTTTTTTGCTCTCAATTTGCTTGGAAAATCTTCCTCCATCCCTTTATTTTGAGCCTTTGTGTATCCTTGCATGTGAGATGGGTTTCCTGGATACAGCACACTGATGGCTTTTGGTTTTTTATCTAATTTGCCAGTCTGTGTCTTTTGATTGGTGCATTTAGTCCATTTACATTTAGGGTTAATATTGTTATGTGTGAATTTGATATTGCCATTTTGATGCTAGCTGGTTGTTTTGCCCGTTAGTTGATGTAGATTCTTCAGTATGTTCATGCTCTTTAGCACTGAGTGTGATTTTGGAATGGCAGGTACTGGTTGTTCCTTTCTATGTGTAGTGCCTCTTTCAGGAGCTCCTGGTGGTGACAAACTCTCTGAGTACTTGCTTGTTCGCAAAGGATTTTATTTTTCCTTCACTTATGAAGCTCAGTTTGGCTGGATATGAAATTCTGGGTTGAAAGTTCTTTTCTTAAAATTGCTGAATATCGGCCCCCACTCTCTTCTGGCTTGTAGAGTTTCTGCCGAGAGATCTGCTGGGAGTCTGATGGGATCCCTTTGTGGGTGACCCGATCTTTCTCTCTGGCTGCCCTTAGTATTTTCTCCTTTATTTCAACCCTGGTGAATCTGAAGATTATGTGCCTTGGGGTTGCTCTTCTTGTGGAATATCTTTGTGGTGTTCTCTGTATTTCCTGCATTTGAGTGTTGGCCTGCCTTCCTAGGTGGGGGAAATTTTCCTGGATAATATACTGAAGAGTATTTTCCAGCTTGGATTCATTCTCGTCACATTCTGGTACACCTATCAAACGTAGGTTAGGTCTCTTCACATAGTCCCACATTTCTTGGAGACTTTGTTCATTCCTTTTTGCGCTTTTTTCTCTGATCTTGGTTTCTCATTTTATTTCATTGAGTTGATCTTCGACTTCTGATATTCTTTCTGCTTGGTCAATTCAGCTGTTGAAACTTGTGCATGCTTCGTGAAGTTCTCGTATTGTTTTTCAGCTCCTTCAATTCATTCATATTCCTAAGTTATCCATTCTTGTTATCATTTCTTCAAATCGTTTTTCAAATCTTTTTTCAAGGTTCTTAGTTTCTGTGTATTGATTTAAAACATGTTCTTTTAGCTCACAAAAGTTTCTCATTATCCACCTTCTGAAGTCTAATTCCATCATTTCATCACAGTCATTCACCGTCCAGCTTTGTTCCCTTGCTGGTGAGTAGTTTTGGTCCTTTGTAGGAGGCGAGGTGTTCTGGTTTCATGTGTTTTCCTCATTTTTGCACTGGTTTCTTCCCATCTTTGTGGATTTATCCACCTGCTGTCTGAGTAGTTGCTGACTTTTCGATTGGGTCTCTGAATGGACACCCAGATTGTTGATGAAGTATTTCTGTTAATTGGTTTCCCTTCTACCAGTCTAGCCCTCCCCTGTCCGACTGCTGAGGTCCACTCCAGGCCCTGCTTGTCTGGGGTTCATCTATAGCAACTGCTGAACAGTGAGGGATGCTACCAGTTTCTTTTTCTGCTTTGTCCCAGAATGATGCCTGCCAAATGTCAGTCTTTTGGACATAGAGGGGTCAGGGAGTTGCTTGAGGAGACAGTCTATACTTTATAGGAGCTCAGGTGCTAAGCTGTGAGCTCTGATGTTCATTCAGGGCTGTTAAGCTGTTACATTTAATTCTGCTGCAGCAGAACTCATAAGAAAACCCTTTTTTTCTCAGATGCTCTGTCTCGGGGGGTTGAGGCTTTATGAGTGTCCGTTGTACTGTCCTGCCCAGCTAGGAGGCAGTCTAGTCCCTATTTGCCGGCCGAGGCTCCAGCCTGCTGGTGTGAGGTCTGCCCTGTTGCTGCAGGCTCTGCCATGCTGCTGCAGTCTCTGCCCTGCTGCCACGGGCTACGCCCTGCGGCAGAGTCTCTCTGTTGTGGTGGGTTGCCTCGGCAATGGCAGGCCTCCACGCATTCACTGAGAGCTTCAATCCTGGATTGTTCTCACCACGCCATCTTGAGTCAGTCTACTGAAAAATATTTTAAAAACAGAGGCTCCCTGAATCCTTCCCTCAACCCCTCCCAAGTGAGTGTGGCCCTGACATGTCTTCAGGGCTTTGCTTTGCTGGCATCCGACAACAATACAGAAATGTCAATGCCCAAACCCGTGCTCTCTACATATAGAAGCCTCCAACCTCATCTTGAAAAAGAAAGCAATGAGGCCACCCCAGGTCCCTAGGGCTCCACAGAAGCTAAAGGATCCCTGGGACTGGGCATATCTCAGTGCCTCTTGGATTTTACCATGTTCACTGCTTCATACCAGGACATACTGAGTGCCTGCTGGCCTGCGATACTGGGCTGGGTGGGCTGCTTGCTCATGTGACAAGAGCCTGAAAGTGCCTCCACCCCTCTCACACCTTTCCCAGAAGGCCTGAACCAGGGGGATTCAGGGTCAACCCTACTGTCTCCTCAGAATAAACTAGCGATGCTCCCTGTTGGCTTCCAGGGGATTGGAGGACAGAGCTGCATCCCCCCAGATGAGATGTTGGTGAGTTTAAGTGTTACTGCAGAAAAATAACATGGTGCACAGCCCTCAGAATCCCACACATGGTGGCCCAACCGGCACCTCAGCATCTCCCTCACTAAGTAGCCTGTGGAGGGCTCAGCCCAGAAGGCTGATGCTATGGAGTGGGTGTCTGTTCCTGGAAAATGTTCTCAGGGCATCCTTTACTTGCCTTCAGAGGTTTCTAACATATTTTACAAATGTCCAAAATGTTCTGGGCATGCCGCCTGGTCTTCTTCCTGGGCTTACTGGTTTTCCTGATAGAACAAGAAAAATGTGAGCATAGCCATGAAGAACACAGACACTTGTCTCCTTCCCCCTCATCATTCTGCCCACTGCACTCTCACCTTTCCTTCTTCACCTTCAGCTTCTTTGTTGCTTTTTCTGCAGGCTTAGAACTTTCTTCCACCTGGGAGAAAGAGAACAGTTGTGCATGTCCAGAGATACCAGTGCAGGACACTGTGAAGGAAGTGTCCAGAACAGACCCAGATGTCACTGGGGAATCCTCCAGCAGGGTGGGGTCCAGGTCTTCTGATCCCCAGCCTGGCTCCCTCCCTGGACCTAGGGTAGTTCAGAAAGATTCAAAGCTGCAACCTACGGGTCAGTAAAGAGACCAATGCCAAGGCAGTGGGCAGGGGGGATGAAGAGAGATTTTATCAACACTGAAGACCCCAAGGACCTCAACTGTGGTATGAGACCAAGGCCTTCAGGAGAACAATCACATGACAGAAAAAGAGAAAAAGGACCAGAGCTTAAAAAAAAAAAAAAAGTCATGGGTCAAAGAGGATAAGAGAGGAAGAGGATACAAAAAAAGATAAATTACCTGCTGATGGCTGCCTGCAATGGAGTGATCCAGTTCTGTGAAGCAAGTAACAGAGCGTCCAGATAAGGAGCAGTGATGGGTAGCCATAAAAAGGAAAGGGGAGACTTAGAGTTAAGAGAACCAATCAGACCCCACCTTCTTAGAGCTGTGGAGCTATGTTCATTTCTAGAGCCTTCTCCACAGCCTGTATTTCCTCTGTGCTAAGAGGAAGGGACCCCTGACTTCCCACATACTTTCCCAGCCTTCACATTTTATAACTGAGGAAAAGGGAAAACTGTGTCATTCAGTTTTTCCAAGAGGCAGCCACCCTCTTCACAATGTTGTGTATAATGTGGAATTCCCTCCCTCCTCCTTCTGTAGGGCCTGTTTCTGTTCTCATGAACTCCATTTCTTTTCTCCCTGTCAACCTACACCAGTCCTACTGCTCTTTGATACAAGACATCAGAATGAATATCAAGCCTGCCTTGTCAGGCCCTCCAATAAACCTGTGGATCACATGCTAGGTCAGCAGCACCTGCCGTAGGCCTGGAGTTGTGCTGGGGCCTGTGGAAGGTGATAATGTCTGATGTCACAGTTAAGAGTGACTGTTCTATGTCTGGAATGGCCTTAAAGACTTGGAAAATATTCAGCCCTCAAAATAATTCCAGTTGCTTCTGAACACTTGGAAACAATGTAACAGAATCTGAGGTAAAGCACCTTGCCCAGTTGCCTTAATCTGCAGCTGAGGCCAGCAGTTGTCAGCACATAAATGAGAGGCCCTCTCAGGGTTTGCCTGATCTATGCAAAGACCAGTAAAGGCACATGGCAGTCCTCACACAGAGAACAAGCTGGGTCTGACTGGAGTGTGAGGAGCAGGTCAAGACTGTTGGGCCAGAGAGGAGAATGTGACAAGACAAATGACCCCAATGCCAGCTGTCCAGCAGTTCTGTCCTGGGCCCACTTTAGTCCAGGGACCAGGCTACAGGGAGAGTGAGAGCCACTGTCTACAGAAACACAGCAACCCCTCCACACATATCCCCTAGGATTCCTGCCAGCCACAGAGGGCCTTGAGCAAAAGCTGGCCTCGGGCCTCTCAAGTAAAAACCCAATCAGTTTTCATTCAAAGCCCAAGAATTTGGCATTGGATAAAACTGGGTGAGAAGTGGAGGCCAAAAATGTGCTCAGTCATGTGTTCTGCCCTCAGGACCCCAGGATTCTGGGGCATACGTAGGAATCCCAGAGGAAAGATTCGCTCCAGGAAGCACCCTTACAGCAGGAGCAGAGAGTGAGGACAGTACAGGAAGGTGTTGTTGCAGGTCCTGAGAATGTAGAGAAAGAAAGTGGACTCCTTTCAACTAGCACATGTATGAGCGACTTTGTCTTCAGAATCACATACTGCCTGTGAGGGGCTGTGTCACATCCCACACTCAACTTTATGCCTGCATACTAATCTTCTGTTCTCTATTCACAAAGCCCATGAGAACAAAACTCTTACGACTTTCTCATTAAGATACAAAACAAGCCAAGTGAGAATTCTACGCGTATTTTCCTTTGATGTTTATTAACTTAAGAGATCCCATCCTAGGCTCCAAAACAAGAATTGTCTCTCACTGTTGTACCACAACTATACCCAGGAATTGTCTCTCACTGTTCAACCCGGGAGTGTTGGTCCATCCCTGACCAGTCTATTTCCTCCTGGATAGATTCGTGAGTCCATGTACACACACACACAAACAGCACTGCTGCTCTGTCCACTGTGATTCTCCCTGGGCTCTGTGACCTTAAGGGCCTTTATGAAAGCACTGCTCACAGTTGTGAGCCCATAGATGAGACACAGGACATGAAATAATCTCTTTCAACTGTTCACTGACACTGGCTCATAGCATCTCTTACTTTCAATCTGAGAACCCTAAGATTCCACCCTTGATGCATGTGAACTCAGATGAGTGCAGCGAACAGAACCTGGGCCAGACTCACAGCAGCTGCTTCCCAAATGATTCTGGGAGAATGGCGATGCTCTCTTAAGAGTACACTTTTGGCAACTGGGCATTGTAGCATGACTCTTGTGAAAAAATTACAAATTTGTTTTCATTTAAATATGAATGAGCACATATGCCACTGAGGACCACACTGGAATGTATAGGTCTAAACCCAAAGATGAGGAAGATGTGACTCTCCCCCCTGGTGATTCTGGCAGAGTGGTTGCTGCTCTGATCTGATTATTCACGGATGGGTACTTCAAGGGCACATGAACAAACTCCAGGATCCCTGTGTGGTGCAGGGAGGCCACAACAAAAATAAAAAATCCTGGTCCACCAAAGGAGAACTCATAAACAGAAGAAAGAACATCTTCTGCAAGTAGAAAAACTGAACCATAGTAGCCAGAATAGAGATGAGGAAGATACTTCATTGACTTCAGAGACAACCCTATTCTCCTGTAACCTTGGATCAAAACCCACTCAGGTTTCTTGATTAACATGAGAAACAACAGACTGCAGAAGATGAACAGGACACCTTTTCACACTCATGCTGGATCTCAGCAAAGGAGTTGAAAGCATTGGAACATCACTGGAGGCCAAGATGGGCTGCCCAGGTCTGAGCTCTGGAATGAGAAGGCATGATGAGGACATAGTCCCTGCCCTCTCAGTGACTAGTCATGGCCAGGATTCATTCACACATAAGTAAAATGAAACAAAGTTTGGGACTAATAATTCCAGGACTATCTCAGAGAAACAGGCAAAATGATATCTTATAGGTCACACAGGAGAGCTGCAAGGACCATGTGGACTCCGGAGCAGCACCTCTCCCTTTGCTGAGCTCACCCTGCACTGAGCAGGGTCCCTTCTCACCTCCCCTGCAACTAGTGTGGGCAGGTGCCCTGCCTGAAAGCTGACACTCCCTCCAGTCACACAGGATTCTGGGCCAAACCACATGTGGCCAACAGCAACTATACAGGGACCAGCTGTCAGGTGACTCCCAGAAGCAGGTGAAAAGTAAGAGCTGCTCTCTGTCCCAGCCACAAAGAGACCAGGCCTGGGAACTATGCTGTGTCTGGCCTGACCATGAAGTCCATCACTGCTGATCATATCCTCTCTGGGCCAAGTCAGATATTTCAGAAACGCACTCCTGTTCTCTGCCTCTCATTAATTTCTGGTGGTGCCACTGCCATCAACATACAGGAAAATAGAGAAGACAAGAAAAAAGAATGTAGCACCTCTGTCCAGGGTCTTAGGAAGACTGCCAGACAGTGCTAAATCCAGCTTTGAAGTCAAAGTGCAACTCATTCTCCCTATGTCAAAATATGAACATCACAGTTGTGCCCAGGTGATGATGTAGAACTGATGCATATCTTCAAGAAAAAGGCACAAATTATGAACATATTCAACCACATTATGCAATTGCTGAGATATTTCATTACCACCAGGCCTGCCTTTCAAGAGCTCCTGAAGGAAGCACTAAACATGGAAAGAAACAACCAGTGCCAGTGACTGCAAAAACATACCAAATAGTAAAGACCATCGACACAAGGAAAAAACTGCAACAACTAATGAGCAAAAACACCAGTTAGCATCAGAATGGCAAGATCAAATTGACACATAACATTAACCTTAAATGTGAATAGGCTAAATGCCCCAATCAAAAGAAAAAGACTAGCAAGTTGGATAAAGAGTCAAGACCCATTAATGTGCTATATTCAGGAGACCCATCTCACATGCAAAAACACACATAGGCTCAAAATGGAGAGATAGAGGAAGACTTACCAAGCAAATGGAGAGCAAAATTTAAAAAGAAAATTAAAACGGGTTGCAAACCTAGTCTCTGATAAAACAGACTTTAAGAGACCTTAATGGTAAAGGGATCAATGCAACAATTCTATATTTAGGAGCTAACAATCCTAAATATATATATACCCAACACAGGAGCACCCAGACACATAAAGCAAGTTCTTCATGTCCTACAAAGAAGTTTAGACTCCCACAAAACAACAGCAGGAGACTTAAACACTCCACTGTCAATATTAGACAGATCAACGAGACAGAAAATTAACAAGAATATCCAGCACTTGAACTCAGATCTGGACAAAGCAGACCTAATAGAAATCTACAGAACTCTCCACCCCAAATCCACAGAATATACATTCTTCTCAGCAGCATATCACACCTACTCTAAAATTCACCACGTATTTGGAAGTAAATCACTCAACCAATGCAAAAGAACGGAAATCATAAAAAAGTCTCTCAGACCACAAGACAATCAAATTAGAACTGAGGATTAAGAAATCACTCAAAACCACACATCATGAAAACTGAACAACCTGCTCCTGAATTACTGAATAAATAATGAAATGAAGGCAAAAATAAAGATGTTCTTTGAAGTCACTGAGAACAAAGACACAATATACCAGAATCTCTGGGACACATTTAAAGCAGTGTCTAGAGGTGGACGTGGGAGAAGAGTAGCAGCCACAGGAGAGGAATAGCGAAGAGAGGGAATCAGGGCTTTTGGTTTCTAGGTCCAGGCCACCTCGTAAATATGAACTAGCCAATCTCAAATAGCACACCACACAGCACAGGCTGTGTGTCCCTGGCCCCCTCTTAGGGCTTCTCTTTCCTAATTTCACCTGAGCTCACTTGTCCTTATTGATTCCTGCCAAAGTCATCTCCTCCTTAGAATCTGTATGTGCTGCTGTCTGTATATCATCTCCTCTAGAAGATTTTGTGCTGAATAAGAAGCAACCTTTCTTGAAAGAGGAGATTTAATTCTAGCCAAAAGGTTTTATTAACTTTTTGTTATTAGGCAATAAAAACAAGACTTGAAAGCACTCAATTATCCTATGATTTAAAGATGGCCCCTACTTAGCATGTGATATTTGTTCTTTCACTTTTCTTTTAAACACAATGTGTGTGCACCATGGAGGTCACTGCTACACACTGACTCCAGCATTGAGACAGCCCGTCATGCGAGCAGTGCAGAGGAGGGGCACTGATCCTCTCCAACCCAGCTCTGCATGTGATTCCAGCTGGAAAAATGGGGCCAGGCTAACACCGAACTTGATCCTTAAGGTTTTAAAAGATACTATGTCTTGGCATTGGGTTCTACTGAGTTTCAAATGCTTGTGGTCATTATCTTTTTAAATATGATAGAATATGTCACTAATTGTTCTCAGATTTTGAACATGAGGTGAGGAATGACTCCACCACTGTAGACCAAAAGCCTGTGAACTCTGTGTGTTTTACATTAACGATGACACTAAAACCCACTGTACAATGTACCTACTCAAACCCTGGAAAAGTTGACCATTCAGACCATCCAATAATGATAGTATCTGGAATCTGAATAGGTTTTCATTCTTCCACATGCATACAGAAGTGCTGGAACAACTTGGCATAGTGAGGAGTTATGCTAGGGCACACCACAGCTGACTGTACGATATACCTACTCCAACACCAGGTTATGCAACCATTGAGTATATCTAACAATAGACAGTGTTTGGGACTTCCATACATTTTCACACTTTAATGTGCACCCAGAGATGCTAGGACTCCCTGGCATAGTAACGAATCATACCAGGGCATTATGATGATTCCAGTGCAGTAGAAAATAGCATCATCTTTTCCCCCACTCCTGAGCTCCCAATTTCCTGTTCCATTGAGGAGACAAGAACATAAAATGTTCACCACTGCCTCATCTCTTAGGATGGGAATATACAACTAACCTTCACATTCAGCTGTGGTAGAGGATGAAGGGACTTATTTATGAAAGTGCAGTGGTGATCAAACTTGTTTTTAGAATGTTAATCTTTGTGTTGTGCATTGCATATGTTTTCTGGGGGAAAGAACACACACTTTCAAACATATCCACAATCACTCCATGAAGACTCTCTCCCTTATACCTCCTGACCCTGATGCACATCATCATATTCTATCTGAATGATGCTGCTGCTTCCAGAAACTAGAGATCATCTCAAGTTCTTTAATGGACTCTCCATCGTTCTTATACCAAACTGCTCAAACCTCATTTCCAGCAGAAAGCTCCAACCAGATTTGTTTTCCAGCAAATGTAGACTAGAAAGTACCACCTTTGTCAACACTAAGATTTTTCCTTAGCAAAGGGGTGATCCCAGAATACATACCGTCATCCAATAAAGTTGAGTGTCCCTGCATTTAGGAAAAAAAGCAAAAACAAAACACTATGAGGTTCAGGCATGTTGTGTCTTCTGTGCACAAGTTTTGTCTTCACTTGGGGACATTACAAAATCAGGTGAGAAATACTGGTAGAGGCAATAGCCCCAAAGCCTAGAAGATGTCTGTGGAAAGGCACAATGTTTTTACCCATGATGCCATGATGTTTCCACTTTATTTTCATCAAATTCACTTTTTAAAAAGAACAGTATTTATCCTGAAAAAATATGCTTCCTGCCACACAGTTTGTAAAGAGCTGTTAAATTATGGATGCCATCTTGAATCATACTTAGTTGGAAAAAAAACTCACTTTGCATTTTCCCACAAAGAAAGGGTCATCTATAATGTACAGTGTGAGATTTCCATATTCTAATTAAAATGAACAACAAAATACCCATTTAAAAGAAAGACTTTACCTTGTAAACGGCTATAACTTCTTCTGACGAATTTATCCCAGGAAAGTTTTCTGCTAGAAGAGATTCTGTATGCAGAAAATAGAGTAACAATCAACACATTGTTTCAACTGAAGAAGCCACTCTGGTGGCCTTGTGTGCTGTGAAAAGGGTGCTGGCCTGTGTTGACAAGCTGGGTTAACAGCACAGGCTGAGCTGCTGCTGGCCCATCCCACTTGGTGGTAAAGGCAGGCAAATGGAATCATGAGAAGATCCATGGACAATGCAACCTTGGTCCTCTAGCTAAAGAAAGCTCCATCTCAAGCAGTGAGCACCACATCTCAAGCAGTGAGCACCACAGACGGCAGGCCGTGCTTCCCTGCAGCATTTCAGGGCTCCTCCTTCCTAAACTGACCTGAACTAACTTGCCCTCCCTTCGTGATCCCCTCGAGGTCATTTCCTCCTCAAGATCCACATGTGCTAATGCTGTGTCCCTCTTAGATCATTTTGTACTAGAGAAAAAGGAACCTTTCTTCAAAGAGGAGACTTAATTCCAGCCAAAATAGTCTATGTATTCACTAAACTTTTGCTTTAAAAAAGACTGTATCAAGACTTGAAAATACTCAATTATCCTACAATGCTCTTGCTGGCACTGACTCCAGCACTGGGACAGCGCATCCTTGGGAGCAGCAGGTGGGGGTTCTGACCCTCTCCAACCCAGCTGCACAGAAGATTCCAGCAGAGATGAGTACCAGGACAACACCCAAGTTTTTCCTTGAATTTTTTGAGATGGAGTCTTGCTCTGTCACCTGGGCTAGAGTGCAGTGTCATGATCTCGACTCCCTGCAACCTTCGCATGCCTGCAACCTCTGCCTCCCTGAGTCATTGGGACTGCAGGCACATGCCACCACACATGGCTACTTTTTGTATTTTTAAAGACCAGGTTTCACCATACTGGCCAGGCTGGTTTTGAACTCCTGACCTCATGATCCACCCGCCTCAGCCTCCCAAAGTGTTAGGATTACAGGTGTGAGCCACTGTGCCTGTACTTTCCTTCAGTTATTTGGTGCTGTGTCTTGGGTGTGTGCTGAACTGCAGCATATGAAAGGCTTGTGGTGATGATCTCATTAAATATAGTTTGTCTATTTTCTGCTTTTGACCAGGAGCTGAGAAAATAATCCAGCACTGCAGCCAAAATCCTGACCTCTCAATGTCTGTTTCCCACTTCTGACCACACCAAAGTCCACTGTAAAATGTACCTATTCCTACGCTGAGTTATGTGATGTTTGGGACAATCCTATGAGAGAGACAGTGTTTGGGATTTCTAAAGGCTATCAAACTTCCATATGCACACCTAGGTGCTAAAACTCTCTCACATAATGACAAATTATACCAGAACTATGTGATTACTTCCCAGTAGTAGTGGTGGCATCAATCTTCCACCCTCTCCTGAGTTCATCTCTGCCTCTTCCACTGAAGAGATAAAGAGCTTAGCAATCTCATCTCTGCACTATCTCCATCTGATTACTGGAGATATTAAACTTACCTCCAGCTACAGATGTGGTGGAGGATAAATGGGCTGATTTACATAAGGTGTTCAGTGGTGATGAAATCTTTATTTACAACATTCACCTTTGTGTTGAGCTCTGCACATGGAAACATGCTTTCTGGAGAAATGTACACAAACTCCCAAAGACATTCACAATCACTATAAACAGACTCTCACCTTATAACCCCCACCTTGAGGCATCCCATTCTAGTTCACAAAAATGACACTATGGCTAACAGGAACTATGGAGGAGAGACACCATTCTTCAGTACACTCTTAATTTCTGCCCAAATCTTGTTTTCCAAAAGGAAGCTCCAATGACAGTGCCTCATTAGACAAAGCAGGCAAGAAAGTGTCACTTTCTCAACACTAAGATTTTTCCTAAGCAAAATGATCCCAGAATACGTACTGATCCTTTGGGTAAGTGAAGATGACTCTTCCTGCATTAAGAGAAAGAAAAACACTGAGGGTAAGATTATGCTGTGTCTTGTGTACACAGGTCTTTTTCCTAACTGTTCCTAACAGGTGCTGCTAGAAAACCAGATGGAAAATGGTGGTGGTGGCTACAGCCCCAAACAGAAAGCCTAGAAAACACTAGTAGAAAGGCCCAAGCTTTTTGGGCAGGATTTTAAAGCTTATTTTAGTTGTAAATTCATAATTTTCAAGAAAGATTTTCTCCTGAGGAAAATGCTTGCTGACATAGTTTATATGAATTCTCATTTTACATTTTCCTACCTAGAAATTCACTAAGTCATCTATAATGTACATGGTAAGATTCTCAAATCTTTATTCAAGTACAATAAAAAGAAACATAGGAAGAGAAATAAAATTTCCCTTTCAGACAAAGGAAGAACTTACTGAGGTAACCGGGAAAAATCTCCGAAAGGGTTTCATACGGGGACATGCTGCAGGGTACTCTTGTTGATCTAGGAGACATAGGGCAAGTGTCACCACATGGATTCTACTGAGGAAATCCCTTGCATTATATTGGGTGGTGTGGACAGGAGGCTGGCTTATGAAGGTAAGTTACAGCAGACGGAGCTGTAGACCCACCCTCCTCATCTCACTCTGTTGCTCACGCTGGACTGGTGTGGCATGATCTAGGCTCACTGCAACCTCCACCTCCCAGGATGAAGTGATTCTCCTGCCACAGTCTCTCAACTAGCTGGGATGACTGACACCCACCACCATGTGCAGTTAATTTTTGTGTTTTTAGAGACTGTATTTCACCATGATAGCCAGGCTGGTCTCAAACACCTGACCTCAAGTAATTAACCCACCTCGGCCTACCAAAGTGCTAGGATTACAGGCATGAGCCACCACACCTAGCCAGTTCTCTGCTTTTACACAGGAGCTGAGGAATAACCCAATCACAGCAGCTCGTAACCTCTCCATGTGTGTTTCACATTTCTAACCACAGGAAAGTCCACTGTAGAATTTACCTATTCTAATCCTGGGTTATGTGACCATTAAGACCATCCCATAATGATAGAGAGTGCTTAGAATTTCTATAGGCTATTGTACTTCCACATGCACACCTAGGTTCTCAAAGTCACTGCTAGGGTGATGAGTTATACAAGCACTGTGTGATGAATGCAGTATAATAGCCCACAGCATCAACCTTCCACCCATTCCTGATTTTGCACTTCCCTCCTCTATTTAGAAGGCCACGAGTTTCGGAACTTTATCTCTGTACAAACTGAATCTGAGGAGTGGATACATTAAACTTCGCTTAAGCTACAGCAGGGTCCTAACATGGGGGCACCCATAAGTATTGGAGATATGGAATAGAGAGCCCAATATTCAATGCATGCATACACAGTCAACTGATCTTCAACAAAGGTGCCAAGAATGCACAATGGGAAAAGGAAGGCCTCTTTAACAAATGATGGTAAAACTCCATATTCTCATTTAAATAACGAAATTGAGCAGTGTGCTCAAGGGTGTGCTTCTTCCTCCATTTACAAGACACTAGAGCTTTGCAATGACCCCAGAGCAAATCTTCATCCTGTCCCCTATGCCCAGAGAGAGCCCTTGATATCAGGAGTAAACAGCAAGGACAGACAAATGAATGTGCTGCCATGAAACCTAAAAGTTCAGAAGGTGAGGATCAGTTTCTCCTAAGCATCTGGGCACACTGTGGAAGACTTCTTGTCTCCAGGATTAAGTAACTGCCATGACAGAACTGTGTCCCAAACCAAAGGCTTTAACATTTTGCAGTGGCAGAGGCAGAAAAGAGGTATCCTTAGAAAGACCATCTTTAAATAATAAAGCAAGAACAGGGGACACACACAAAAAAAGAAAAAATTAGAGGTGATCACAGACAGGGTACTTACACTTCTCACCACTATGACATTAAACTATGACAAGAAAAAACTTCATCCATGTTTTCTTTTTCTTCTCTTTCTACATACTCGCTCAGCCTCCCAAGCAGTAGACAGAAGCTGAAGGCTCCTGAAAACCTGCTTTATTAGATTCCAATAATCTTGTTGCCTACCTGAAAGGTGTCTTCTTCACTGTTGAGATTTTCCAGAATCCACTCTTTAGAACCATCAACAGCAGAGTAAGTCAGAGAAAGGTACACTCACTTCTACTCCAGCTGAAGCCACGTCGGCTCACATAACATCCCCTGGCTGGTCCTCTGGGTTCACATGCATTCATACAGTCCCTCTGATCATAGTTATACACTTGCAAAATTATTTGCTCTCACTAGACCCCCAATATTCTTTAACAAAAACCCAGAATCAGGTTTCTATATATTAAAACCAGCAAGTTTGTTCCACAGCAAGTGAGCTACTTCAGGGTACATACCATAAACAGCAAGTGATGAACTCTGCAATTAGACAGAAGAAGATGCTATGAGGATCAGATTAATTCTTCTGCACCCCCGCCCCCACCCCCACAGATCTGTCAGTCTCTTGATGACTTCAGGGAACTAGTTGTAAGACAATGGTTGAGTCAAAGGCCAAGAATCAAACATGCTAGAATAGAGGACACCTGTGGAAAAGACAAGACCTTTTCCCACAGAATCTATCTAGAAGTTGATTTACATTGGCAAATACACAATGCCTAAACCAAAGAGAAAAACTGGTGTTGAGGAAAATTCCTCTGTGTTACAGTTGATAATGAATGCTGTCATCTAAAAACATTCTAAGATATCACATATCCGACGGGAAGACACTCCCAGTGAATTCCAACCCCAAAAAACGAATTGGACATGTCAGACATAATGTGCCTTCTCAGATTATCACAATTAACAGAAGGAAAGAAATCAGAAAAGAAACAGTTGTTTTTTCATTTTGTTTTCTTTTGAAGTTTAGGTTCCAGGATACATGTGCAGTACTGTGCAGGTTTATTACACAGGTAAACGTGTGCTATGGTGCTTTGCTGCATGTATCAACCCATCACCTAGGTTCAAGCCCCACATCCATTAGCTATTTATCCTGATGCTCTCCCTCCCCAATCCCCATCAGACAGGGCATTATTTAGATAGAAAAAGGGGTTCTTACCTCACCATCATCCTCAGAAGTGATGCTCCTGCTATCCTCAGAAGGAGCTGGAGGGAGACAGAGTAAAAGTCAGTACCCTGGTGGCTGGAGACTGTGAGTAACTCAGGGAGCTTTGCTGGGTGTGGCATATGGAGTGTGGGACTGAAGATTCTGAGACCATCTCAGAGAAACAACTATGTTCAAATAGTACTGTGAGGGAGTCTCACCACATATCTTTCATCTTAGACAATGCCTAGACCTAATAATACTCTCGCATTCCCAATTCGCAAAAGATATTAACCAATCCAAAAGTAAGGCTTAGATGTTTGCTGTGACATAGGCAGGAAAAACTGGTCTCCTGGGAAAAGTAATCATTAAATATCAGAGCAAGAAACGATGGTTACAAAAGCAGCCAACAAAGCCCATAGACACACATCCTCTCATCTCTATCTTATTAAAATAAAACAAAAATAAGTCAGACCTCTACAGCTATTTTTTTTTGTTCTGGCTTCATAGCCCCCTTCCTAGGTTCCAAAGACACAGGTGTAACCCAACTGCTCCCAGAAATTCTCCTAGGGTATCATTTTTGGGTTTTTGTTTGTTTGAGACAGAGTCTTGCTCACCAGGCACCAGCCTGGAGTACAGTAATAAGATCTCAGCTGACTGCAACATCTACCTCCTGGTTTCAAGAAATTCTCCTGCATCAACCTCCTGAGTAGCTGGGACTACAGGCACACACCACCACACCCAGCTTATTTTTGTAGTTTTAGTAGAGATGGAGTTACACCATGTTGCCCAGGATGGTCTTGATCTCTGGACCTTGTGATCCACCCACCACAGCCTCCCAATGTGCTGGGATTAATGGCCTAAGTCACAGCACCCAGTCTAGGGTATCATTTTCTACCTACAGAAATTGTCCTACTGCAGCTTCCCTCATGGATGGCGTCCGCTGGCCAATCTTTAGAGATACAAATCTCAGCAAGAAGTTATTTCAGTGAGTGACTCACCCACCCTCCTACTCCAGGTGAGGTCACACTGGATTACACGAGATAACCCTGAGCTTTCCTCCATGTTCTCAGACTCTCTCTAGGCTCTGTGGAGCCAGAGGTATTCAACAAGATATTGCTTACACTTTCTAGCCTTCAACTAAGAAAGAGAAGCTGAAGGAAACATCTTTCCATTTTTCCTTCCACTGGCCCATTATGGGTCTCACCTCCAATCCCACAACCCTGAGATCCCAACTTTGATGTGCACGCTTTGTGTGACATGAGTCCAACAATCAGACCCTAAGCCAGGCTCACAGCAGACATGCAAGACAGCATTCTGTGGGGATGGAAATGCTCTCTCATGTACAGCTGCTGGGCCATTTCATGGTGGTTGTTGTGATGAGGTTTTGAATATTTCATTGTATATATTTATTCAACTATAAACAGGTATGTAAATGACTGAGAAGCACACTAAATGGGACAGCTCCAGAGATCCAGACATGAGGAAGACCTGACTCTACTCTCCTGGTGTTTTTTGCAAAATTTTTTGCTGCTCTGATCCTACCACACATTTATGTTTACTTCCTGGGCCTATGCACAAGAACCTGTCACTGTGTGGGGCTGAGGATGTGACAGTGAGGACAACATCCAGGTCCAGAGAGATTCCAGCAGGGATGTGCTTGCACCCAGTGGAAGAGAGTGGCACTGCACACCCTGTCTAGACTAGATCAGAGAAGGAGCAGAGGGATGGGGGTGTCTCACTGTCCTCAGGAGCTCACCCTCATCTCCAGAGACCCTGACTCAAAAACTGGGCAGGCTCCAGGATGAGTGTGTGGCTCAACAAACTGGACGGGCTGAAAAGAAAATCTTTCCACACCTGCACTAGATCCCAGCCCACGGTTGACCTAGAGCTCATCCCAGGAGTGTGTTCATTAAAACATCCATGGAGCCTAAAGTGTCCATCCCAGGACTGAGCTCTGGGGTAAGGACAAATGAGGAAGACACAGTAACTGCCCTGCTAAATACCCATAGCCAGGGTTTCTCTATTCACCTGTGGGAAGATTCAGACTTTGAGGTGGAAAATTTTAAACCATCTCCAAAATAAGTGGAAACTGAGATGTTATGGACTGCACAGAAGAGTTTCAAGGATGACTTGGAGTCTGGGATCAGTCCCCAGCCTTTTGCTGAGATCACCCTGCACTGGAACTCATGTCCTTCCCCACCTGCCCTGCTACTTTGGAGTACTGCAGCTGCTCAAACCAATAGCTGGAAGACTCTGTCCAGGTGAAAAGCATTTCTGGGCCAGAAGACGTTCGGCAAACAGGGTCTACTGAAGAATCATTCCTCAGGAGATTTCCAGAAGAGGTGAAAAATAAAAACTTGTCTGTCTCAGCCACAGAAAGATCAGGCCTGGGACCTCTCTGTGTCTGTTCCGACCCTGAGGTCCATTCCTACTGACTCATGTCCTGTCTGTTCTGTCAGAAAAATGGGGACCTGATTCCTGTTCTGCCCCTCTCCGCAATGACACTCTGTTGGTATCATTGCCATCATCGCACAAAGAAATGGAGAAGACATGGGTCAGGAAGGAAGCTCCTTTCTCAAGGTATTTAGGGTGATGTTCACCCCCAGCTTTTAACAAAGAGGAAGGCCAAGACCTACTCACTCCTCCCCAGAAGGGATCTCATATCCTGCCTAACCCTGGTGATGATGCTGAACTGATGCCCCTAACATGGCAACCTTGACATTCTCTTTTAACAATGTCCCAAATGTCCTCATTGTTTCCCCTCTGATCCTCTAAATTATGTTCTCCTTCAAGTCTAGCATGAGGCTCTCCCTTGCCCTCTCCCATGGAGCCCACTAAGCAGGTGTCCATGAATTCTAAGAACCTCAGTGTTGTTAACACTGATATTTTCCTTGACTCACACACAGTAGCAACCCTGCAAGCACCAATGGGAAACCTCGTCTAGAGATTAAAGACGTCTAGGACAATCTGGTGATGAGAAAATCACTTCTGGAGTAAACAAGAAACATTACACAATCAAAGAGTTTCATTCTTTTCTTCCATTGGGAAAATACTGACACATACAGAACAATCAAATTTTACTGAAAAGCAATGCATCTCCACAGAATGAATGCTCCAAAAAATAACCCTCAAACCATCATGTGGTCCACTTAAAATTCATCATGACTTAAAGCACCTACCTTGGCTCTCTGTGTGTAAAGGTTTTCAGAAGGAAACAAAAACCTATTTCAACAGTAGCATCAATAGGGCATGATAAAGATTCTTTTGTCTCAGATCTAAGTTCTTCATGAAGACATCTGTTTCTCACAGAAAACCCTAGATCCTCACACCTATTAGAAACCTGGAGCTAGGGAGGTTCTCCAGACAAAAGCAAGCAAGAATATCTCCCCTGACTTATCACTTAGATTTGTCATTAGGAAGAAAGTGACATTAGAATGTGTACAATGTTAGAGAGGGGAACAACACACACTTTAAGAAAAGTGGAGAGGAGAACATCAGAATAAAGAGCTAATGTATGCAGGGCTTAATACCTAGGTGATGGGTTAACAGGTGCAGCAAACCATGCCAAACTTTTAGCTATGTAACAAAGCTGCACATCCTGCACATGTATCCCAAAAATTAAAATCAAATTTAATTAAAAAAACAAATTGCCAAACAAGGCAAATCAAAAGAAACACAAAGTAGCTTAGCAGCTGCCTAGGGCCACGGGTGGGGTCCTTGAGAAGAAAGAGAAGTGAATACTAATGGCTATAGGGTTTCTCTGAGGAAGAATGAAAAGATTCTAAACTTAGATTGTAACAATGGCTGCACAACCCTGTAAATATAGTAACAACACTAACCCACTTTAAAGAAGTTAATTGTTTTGCATGTCAACTATGAGACAATAAGGAAGTGTAAAAGATAAAGAATACTTACAGAGGTCATTTGGGGCTGTCACGATGTCCTACAACAAGAGAAAAACACACAATACATCGTAAGCATCATATCATGCTGGGTGCTGTTGGTGCAGATCTTTTCACATGGTGACATTAGAAAACCACATGTCACTGGTCCCCAAACAAAGCATTGAAGATGCTTCCGTAAAAGACAGCAAGATGTTTTAGAAATATAGCAAGTGGCCATGTAAGCTGGCAAATACCGTATAATATTTTAAAAATTATATGCTGCTGCTAAAAAATGTGCCCCCAACCAGATTGTAAGCTATGCCATCTAGTGACAGACACCGTCAATCAGGCCTCAGTTGGTCAGAATCTCCACTGACTGGTGGCTAGAGTCCATGACAACTGAGGTCTGATTCACCACGGCAGTCAAAAATGATATTCACTAGATATTCCTGAGGCCACAGAAAATAAAAATTTCTTTTCGAGCCAAAAAATGCATCTTACCACGTCACGGGGTAGCTCATGGTCTTTGATGTCATCTAATATAAGGTCCTGTAAGACCTCCACAGGACCTAAGAGAACACAGAGTGTCAGTCAGTGCATTGGTGCTGCTAAGGAATCTCACAAGGAGCTATGAAAAATGTAAACTGGGCTGGAGCATATGGAGCTGGGCGTTTGATAAGAATGAACCCAGCTGCTGTGGACCATTCTCCTTGGTACTGAAGAAAGAAAAAGTAGAGGAGAAGAAAGAAATGAAAGAGCCTGGCTTCCTAGCCAGGGCAACCTCATCAATGTGAAATCGTCATTTGAAGAACTGGTTAATACAGAAAGGCAGTGTACTATAGAAACAGGAAGTAGATTAGGGCTGCCTAGAACCAGCGGTGTGGGGGGGTTGAGGAAAACAGAGGAGTCACAACGAAGGGGGTTTTCTGATTGGAAACCAAGAGCTTCTAAAATTAGATGCTAACAATGGTTGCACAACCCTGTAAATAGAGTGAAAACACTAAATTACCTAATTTAAATGAATGAATTGGTATGCATGGCAACTACGTCTCAGTAAGTGTTTAAGAGAAAAAGAATACATACGCTGGTGATACTGGGGCGCAGGCTTCTCCTGCAATAAGAGAAAAAGAAACACCATGAAGATTACACCATGCTGGGTCCTATTGGCACAGGTCTTGTATTCACTTGGTGACATTAGGAAACCAGACGGCAGACTGGGCGCGGTGGCTCATGCATGTAATGCCAGCATCTGGGGAGGCTGAGGTAGGAAGATCATGAAGGCAAGAGGTTGAGACCATCCTGGCCAACATGGTGAAACGCCGTCTCTACTAAAACCTACAAGAAACCCGGCATGGTGGCGGTGACAACCTTCAGTCCCAGCTATTCAAAAGGCTGAGTCAGGAGAATTGCTTGAATGCAGTCGGAGGAAACTGCAGTGATGTGAGATCACACCACTGCACTGTAGCCTGGTGAAAGAGAGACTCTGTCTCAACAACAAAAGTAAACTAAACAAAAACCCAGATGTGAAACAGTGATGAAGTCACAGGCCCCGAATAAAGCACAGGGGATCCTTGCAGAAAATGCTGTGGGTTTGGAATACCTAGCAACTATCTATACTGGCTGAAAAATACAAAATTATTTTTCAAGAAGAAAATGTGGCTACTGAGAAATATGCCCAAAACCAGATTCTAAGTTATGCCATCTTTTGACGGACATCGTCAATCAGGCCTCAGTTGGTCAGAATCTCCACTGACTGGTCGCTAGAGTCCATGACAACTGACGTCTTATTCACAAGGGAGGTCGAAAATGATATTCACTAGATATTCCTGAGACCCTGGAAAATGAAAATTTCTTTTCGAGCCAAACAATGCATCTTACCACGTCACGGGGTAGCTCATTGTCTTCGATGTCTTCTAATATGAGGTCCTGTAGAACCTCCACAGGACCTAAGACAACACAGAGTGTCAGCCAGTGCATTGGTGCTGCTGAGGAATCTCACAAGGAGCTATAGAAAATGTGGAAAGGGCTGGAGCATACGGAGCTGGGCGTTTGATAGGAATGGACCCAGCTGCTGCTGGACCATTCTCCTTGGTGCTGAAGAAAGGAAACATAGAGGGGCAGAAAGAAATCAAAGAGCCTAGCTTCCTAGCCAGGAAAACCTCATCAATGTGAAATCGTCATTTGAAGAACCGGTTAATACAATAAGGCAGTGTACTATAGAAACAGGAAGTGGATTAGGCCTGCCTAGAACCAGGGGTGTGGAGGATTGGGAAAAACAGAGGAGTCACGAGTAAGGGGGTTTTCTGATTGGGAACCAAGAGCTTCTAAAATTAGATTCTAACAATGGTTGCACAACCCTGTAAATAGAGTGAAAACACTGAATCACCTAATTTAAATGAATGAATTGGTTTGCATGGCAACTACGTCTCGGTAACTGTTTAAGAGAAAAACAATACGTACGGAGGTGATACTGGGCCACAGGCTTCTCCTGCAATAAGAGAAAAAGAAACACCATGAGGATTACATCATGCTGGGTCTTGTTGGCACAGGTCTTGTATTCACTTGGTGACATTAGGAAACCAGAGGGCAGACTGGGCGCGGTGTTCATGCATGTAATCCCAGCTTCTGGGTAGGCTGAGGCAGGCAGATCATGAAGGCAAGAGGTTGAGACCATCCTGGCCAACATGGTGAAACCCCGTCTCTACTAAAAACTACAAGAAACCCGGCATGGTGGTGGTGACAACCTTCAGTCCCAGCTATTCGAAAGGCTGAGTCAGGAGAATTGTTTGAATGCAGTCGGAGGAAACCGCAGTGATGTGAGATCACACCACTGCACTGTAGCCTGGTGACAGAGAGACTCTGTCTCAACAACAAAAGAAAACTAAACAAAAACCCAGATGTGAAACAGTGATGAAGTCACAGGCCCGAAATAAAGCACAGGGGATCCTTGCAGAAAATGCAGTGGGATTAGAATACTTAGCAAGTATCTATGCTGGCTGAAAAATACAAAATTATTTTTCAAGAAGAAAATGTGGCTACTGAGAAATATGCCCAAAACCAGATTCTAAGTTATGCCATCTTTTGATGGACATCGTCAATCAGGCCTTGGTTGGTCAAAATCTCCACTGACTGGTCGCTAGAGTCCATGACAACTGAGGTCTGATTCACAACGGCAGTCAAATATGATATTCACTTGATATTCCTGAGGCCCCAGAAAATAAAGATTTCTTTTCGAGCCAAAAAATGCATCTTACCACGTCACGGGGTAGCTCATCATCTTCGATGTCTTCTAATATGAGGTCCTGTAGGACCTCCACAGGACCTAAGACAACAAAGAGTGTCAGTCAGTGCATTGGTGCTGCTGAGGAATCTCACAAGGAGCTTTGGGAAATGTGGACCGGGCTGGAGCTTATGGAACTGGGAGTTTGATAAGAATGGACCCAGCTGCTGCTGGACCATTCTCCTTGGTGCTGAAGAAAGGAAAAGTAGAGGGGCAGAAAAAAATGAAAGAGCCTGGCTTCCTAGCCAGGGCAACCACATCAATGTGAAATCATCATTTGAAGAACCGGTTCATACAGAAAGGCAGTGTACTATAGAAACAGGAAGTAGATTAGGGCTGCCTAGAACCAGGGGTGTGGTGGGTTGGGCAAAACAGAGGCGTCACAACTAAGGGGGTTTTCTGATTGGAAACCAAGAGCTTCTAAAATTAGATTCTAACAATGGTTGCACAACCCTGTAAATAGAGTGAAAACACTGAATCACCTAATTTAAATGAATGAATTGGTTTGCATGGCAACTACGTCTCGGTAACTGTTTAAGAGAAAAAGAATACGTACGGTGGTGATACTGGGCCGCAGGCTTCTCCTGCAATAAGAGAAAAAGAAACACCATGAGGATTACATCACGCTGGGTCCTGTTGGCACAGGTCTTGTATTCACTTGGTGACATTAGGAAACCAGATGGCAGAGTGGGCACGGTGGCTCACGCAGGTAATCCCAGCATCTGGGGAGGCCGAGGCAGGCAGATCATGAAGGCAAGAGGTTGAGACCATCCTGGCAAACATGCTGAAATCCCGTCTCTATTAAAAACTACAATAAACCCGGCATGGTGGTGGCGACAACCTTCAGTCCCAGCTATTCGAAAGGCTGAGTCAGGAGAATTGTTTGAATGCAGTCGGAGGATGCTGCAGTGATCTGAGATCACATCACTGCACTGTAGCCTGGTGACAGAGAGACTCTGTCTCAACAACAAAAGTAAACTAAACAAAAACCCAGATGTGAAACAGTGATGAAGTCACAGGCCCCAAATAAAGCACAAGGGATCCTTGCAGAAAATGCAATGGGTTTGGAATACCTAGCCACTATCTATACTGGCTGAAAAATACAAAATTATTTTTCAAGAAGAAAATGTGGCTACTAAGAAATATGCCCAAAACCAGATTCTAAGTTATGCCATCTTTTGAAGGACATCGTCAATCAGGCCTCAGTTGGTCAGAATCTCCACTGACTGGTCGCTAGAGTCCATGACAACTGAGATCTTATTCACAAGGGCAGTCGAAAATGATATTCACTAGATATTCCTTAGACCCCGGAAAATGAAAATTTCTTTTCGAGCCAAAAAATGCATCTTACCACGTCATGGGGTAGCTCATTGTCTTCGATGTCTTCTAATATGAGGTCCTGTAGAACCTCCACAGGACCTAAGACAACACAGAGTGTCAGCCAGTGCATTGGTGCTGCTGAGGAATCTCACAAGGAGCTATAGGAAATGTGGAACGGGCTGGAGCGTATGGAGCTGGGCGTTTGATAAGAATGGACCCAGCTGCTGCTGGACCATTCTCCTTGGTGCTGAAGAAAGAAAAAGTAGAGGGGCAGAAAGAAATGAAAGAGCCTGGCTTCCTAGCCAGGCAAACCTCATCAATGTGAAATCATCATTTGAAGAACCGGTTAATACAATAAGGCAGTGTACTATAGAAACAGGAAGTGCATTAGGCCTGCCTAGAACCAGGAGTGTGGAGGGTTGGGAAAAACAGAGGAGTCACGAGTAAGGGGGTTTTCTGATTGGGAACCAAGAGCTTCTAAAATTAGATTCTAAAATGGTTGCACAACCCTTTAAATAGAGTGAAAACACTGAATCACCTAATTTAAATGAATGAATTGGTTTGCATGGCAACTACGTCTCGGTAACTGTTTAAGAGAAAAAGAATACGTACGGTGGTGATACTGGCCCGCAGGCTTCTCCTGCAATAAGAGAAAAAGAAACACCATGAGGATTACATCATGCTGGGTCCTGTTGGCACAGGTCTTGTATTCACTTGGTAACATTAGGAAACCAGACGGCAGAGTGGGCACGGTGGCTCATGCATGTAATCCCAGCATCTGGGGAGGCCGAGGCAGGCAGATCATGAAGGCAAGAGGTTGAGACCATCCTGGCCAACATGCTGAAACCCCGTCTCTACTAAAAACTACAAGAAACCCGGCATGGTGGTGGCGACAACCTTCAGTCCCAGCTATTCGAAAGGCTGAGTCAGGAGAATTGCTTGAATGCAGTCGGAGGACGCTGCAGTGATGTGAGATCACACCACTGCACTGTAGCCTGATGACAGAGAGACTCTGTCTCAACAACAAAAGTAAACTAAACAAAAACCCAGATGTGAAACAGTGATGAAGTCACAGGCCCCAAATAAAGCACAAGGGATCCTTGCAGAAAATGCAATGGGTTTGGAATACCTAGCCACTATCTATACTGGCTGAAAAATACAAAATTATTTTTCAAGAAGAAAATGTGGCTACTGAGAAATAAGCCAAAAACCAGATTCTAAGTTATGCCATCTTTTGACGGACATCGTCAATCAGGCCTCAGTTTGTCAGAATCTCCACTGACTGGTCGCTAGAGTCCATGACAACTGACGTCTTATTCACAAGGGCAGTCAAAAATGATATTCACTAGATATTCCTTAGACCCCGGAAAATGAAAATTTCTTTTCGAGCCAAAAAATGCATCTTACCACGTCACGGGGTAGCTCATTGTCTTCGATGTCTTCTAATATGAGGTCCTGTAGGACCTCCACAGGACCTAAGACAACACAGAGTGTCAGCCAGTGCATTGGTGCTGCTGAGGAATCTCACAAGGAGCTATAGGAAATGTGGAACGGGCTGGAGCGTATGGAGCTGGGCGTTTGATAAGAATGGACCCAGCTGCTGCTGGACCATTCTCCTTGGTGCTGAAGAAAGAAAAAGTAGAGGGGCAGAAAGAAATGAAAGAGCCTGGCTTCCTAGCCAGGCAAACCTCATCAATGTGAAATCATCATTTGAAGAACCGGTTAATACAATAAGGCAGTGTACTATAGAAACAGGAAGTGCATTAGGCCTGCCTAGAACCGGGAGTGTGGAGGGTTGGGAAAAACAGAGGAGTCACGAGTAAGGGGGTTTTCTGATTGGGAACCAAGAGCTTCTAAAATTAGATTCTAAAATGGTTGCACAACCCTTTAAATAGAGTGAAAACACTGAATCACCTAATTTAAATGAATGAATTGGTTTGCATGGCAACTACGTCTCGGTAACTGTTTAAGAGAAAAAGAATACGTACGGTGGTGATACTGGGCCGCAGGCTTCTCCTGCAATAAGAGAAAAAGAAACACCATGAGGATTACATCATGCTGGGTCCTGTTGGCACAGGTCTTGTATTCACTTGGTGACATTAGGAAACCAGACGGCAGAGTGGGCACGGTGGCTCATGCATGTAATCCCAGCATCTGGGGAGGCCGAGGCAGACAGATCATGAAGGCAAGAGGTTGAGACCATCCTGGCCAACATGCTGAAACCCCGTCTCTACTAAAAACTACAAGAAACCCGGCATGGTGGTGGCGACAACCTTCAGTCCCAGCTATTCGAAAGGCTGAGTCAGGAGAATTGCTTGAATGCAGTCGGAGGACGCTGCAGTGATGTGAGATCACACCACTGCACTGTAGCCTGGTGACAGAGAGACTCTGTCTCAACAACAAAAGTAAACTAAACAAAAACCCAGATGTGAAACAGTGATGAAGTCACAGGCCCCAAATAAAGCACAAGGGATCCTTGCAGAAAATGCAATGGGTTTGGAATACCTAGCCACTATCTATACTGGCTGAAAAATACAAAATTATTTTTCAAGAAGAAAATGTGGCTACTGAGAAATATGCCAAAAACCAGATTCTAAGTTATGCCATCTTTTGACGGACATCGTCAATCAGGCCTCAGTTTGTCAGAATCTCCACTGACTGGTCGCTAGAGTCCATGACAACTGACGTCTTATTCACAAGGGCAGTCAAAAATGATATTCACTAGATATTCCTTAGACCCCGGAAAATGAAAATTTCTTTTCGAGCCAAAAAATGCATCTTACCACGTCACGGGGTAGCTCATTGTCTTCGATGTCTTCTAATATGAGGTCCTGTAGGACCTCCACAGGACCTAAGACAACACAGAGTGTCAGCCAGTGCATTGGTGCTGCTGAGGAATCTCACAAGGAGCTATAGGAAATGTGGAACGGGCTGGAGCGTATGGAGCTGGGCGTTTGATAAGAATGGACCCAGCTGCTGCTGGACCATTCTCCTTGGTGCTGAAGAAAGAAAAAGTTGAGGGGCAGAAAGAAATGAAAGAGGCTGGCTTCCTAGCCAGGCAAACCTCATCAATGTGAAATCGTCATTTGAAGAACTGGTTAATACAATAAGGCAGTGTACTATAGAAACAGGAAGTGGATTAGGCCTGCCTAGAACCAGGGGTGTGGAGGGTTGGGAAAAACAGAGGAGTCACTACTAAGGGGGTTTTCTGATTGGGAACCAAGGGCTTCTAAAATTAGATTCTAACAATGGTTGCACAACCCTGTAAATAGAGTGAAAACACTGAATCACCTAATTTAAATGAATGAATTGGTTGGCATGGCAACTACGTCTTGGTAACTGTTTAAGAGAAAAAGAATACGTACGGAGGTGATACTGGGCCACAGGCTTCTCCTGCAATAAGAGAAAAAGAAACACCATGAGGATTACATCATGCTGGGTCCTGTTGGCACAGGTCTTGTATTCACTTGGTGACATTAGGAAACCAGAGGGCAGACTGGGCGTGGTGTTCACGCATGTAATCCCAGCTTCTGGGTAGGCTGAGGCAGGCAGATCATGAAGGCAAGAGGTTGAGACCATCCTGGCCAACATGCTGAAACCCCGTCTCTACTAAAAACTACAAGAAACCCGGAATGGTGGTGGCGACAACCTTCAGTCCCAGCTATTCGAAAAGCTGAGTCAGGAGAATTGTTTGAATGCAGTCGGAGGATGCCGCAGTATCTGAGATCACACCACTGCACTGTAGCCTGGTGACAGAGAGACTCTGTCTCAACAACAAAAGTAAACTAAACAAAAACCCAGATGTGAAACAGTGATGAAGTCACAGGCCCTAAATAAAGCACAAGGGATCCTTGCAGAAAATGCAATGGGTTTGGAATACCTAGCCACTATCTATACTGGCTGAAAAATACAAAATTATTTTTCAAGAAGAAAATGTGGCTACTAAGAAATATGCCCAAAACCAGATTCTAAGTTATGCCATCTTTTGAAGGACATCGTCAATCAGGCCTCAGTTGGTCAGAATCTCCACTGACTGGTCGCTAGAGTCCATGACAACTGAGATCTTATTCACAAGGGCAGTCGAAAATGATATTCACTAGATATTCCTTAGACCCCGGAAAATGAAAATTTCTTTTCGAGCCAAACAATGCATCTTACCACGTCATGGGGTAGCTCATTGTCTTCGATGTCTTCTAATATGAGGTCCTGTAGAACCTCCACAGGACCTAAGACAACACAGAGTGTCAGCCAGTGCATTGGTGCTGCTGAGGAATCTCACAAGGAGCTATAGGAAATGTGGAACGGGCTGGAGCGTATGGAGCTGGGCGTTTGATAAGAATGGACCCAGCTGCTGCTGGACCATTCTCCTTGGTTCTGAAGAAAGAAAAAGTAGAGGGGCAGAAAGAAATGAAAGAGCCTGGCTTCCTAGCCAGGCAAACCTCATCAATGTGAAATCATCATTTGAAGAACCGGTTAATACAATAAGGCAGTGTACTATAGAAACAGGAAGTGCATTAGGCCTGCCTAGAACCGGGAGTGTGGAGGGTTGGGAAAAACAGAGGAGTCACGAGTAAGGGGGTTTTCTGATTGGGAACCAAGAGCTTCTAAAATTAGATTCTAAAATGGTTGCACAACCCTTTAAATAGAGTGAAAACACTGAATCACCTAATTTAAATGAATGAATTGGTTTGCATGGCAACTACGTCTCGGTAACTGTTTAAGAGAAAAAGAATACGTACGGTGGTGATACTGGGCCGCAGGCTTCTCCTGCAATAAGAGAAAAAGAAACACCATGAGGATTACATCATGCTGGGTCCTGTTGGCACAGGTCTTGTATTCACTTGGTGACATTAGGAAACCAGACGGCAGAGTGGGCACGGTGGCTCATGCATGTAATCCCAGCATCTGGGGAGGCCGAGGCAGGCAGATCATGAAGGCAAGAGGTTGAGACCATCCTGGCCAACATGCTGAAACCCCGTCTCTACTAAAAACTACAAGAAACCCGGCATGGTGGTGGCGACAACCTTCAGTCCCAGCTATTCGAAAGGCTGAGTCAGGAGAATTGCTTGAATGCAGTCGGAGGACGCTGCAGTGATGTGAGATCACACCACTGCACTGTAGCCTGGTGACAGAGAGACTCTGTCTCAACAACAAAAGTAAACTAAACAAAAAACCAGATGTGAAACAGTGATGAAGTCACAGGCCCCAAATAAAGCACAAGGGATCCTTGCAGAAAATGCAATGGGTTTGGAATACCTAGCCACTATCTATACTGGCTGAAAAATACAAAATTATTTTTCAAGAAGAAAATGTGGCTACTGAGAAATATGCCAAAAACCAGATTCTAAGTTATGCCATCTTTTGACGGACATCGTCAATCAGGCCTCAGTTTGTCAGAATCTCCACTGACTGGTCGCTAGAGTCCATGACAACTGACGTCTTATTCACAAGGGCAGTCAAAAATGATATTCACTAGATATTCCTTAGACCCCGGAAAATGAAAATTTCTTTTCGAGCCAAAAAATGCATCTTACCACGTCACGGGGTAGCTCATTGTCTTCGATGTCTTCTAATATGAGGTCCTGTAGGACCTCCACAGGACCTAAGACAACACAGAGTGTCAGCCAGTGCATTGGTGCTGCTGAGGAATCTCACAAGGAGCTATAGGAAATGTGGAACGGGCTGGAGCGTATGGAGCTGGGCGTTTGATAAGAATGGACCCAGCTGCTGCTGGACCATTCTCCTTGGTGCTGAAGAAAGAAAAAGTTGAGGGGCAGAAAGAAATGAAAGAGCCTGGCTTCCTAGCCAGGCAAACCTCATCAATGTGAAATCGTCATTTGAAGAACCGGTTAATACAATAAGGCAGTGTACTATAGAAACAGGAAGTGGATTAGGCCTGCCTAGAACCAGGGGTGTGGAGGGTTGGGAAAAACAGAGGAGTCACTACTAAGGGGGTTTTCTGATTGGGAACCAAGGGCTTCTAAAATTAGATTCTAACAATGGTTGCACAACCCTGTAAATAGAGTGAAAACACTGAATCACCTAATTTAAATGAATGAATTGGTTGGCATGGCAACTACGTCTTGGTAACTGTTTAAGAGAAAAAGAATACGTACGGAGGTGATACTGGGCCACAGGCTTCTCCTGCAATAAGAGAAAAAGAAACACCATGAGGATTACATCATGCTGGGTCCTGTTGGTACAGGTCTTGTATTCACTTGGTGACATTAGGAAACCAGAGGGCAGACTGGGCGCGGTGTTCACGCATGTAATCCCAGCTTCTGGGTAGGCTGAGGCAGGCAGATCATGAAGGCAAGAGGTTGAGACCATCCTGGCCAACATGCTGAAACCCCGTCTCTACTAAAAACTACAAGAAACCCGGCATGGTGGTGGCGACAACCTTCAGTCCCAGCTATTCAAAAAGCTGAGTCAGGAGAATTGTTTGAATGCAGTCGGAGGATGCCGCAGTATCTGAGATCACACCACTGCACTGTAGCCTGGTGACAGAGAGACTCTGTCTCAACAACAAAAGTAAACTAAACAAAAACCCAGATGTGAAACAGTGATGAAGTCACAGGCCCCAAATAAAGCACAGGGGATCCTTGCAGAAAATGCTGTGGGTTTGGAATACTTAGCAAGTATCTATGCTGGCTGAAAAATACAAAATTATTTTTCAAGAAGAAAATGTGGCTACTGAGAAATATGCCCAAAACCAGATTCTAAGTTATGCCATCTTTTGACGGACATCGTCAATCAGGCCTCAGTTGGTCAGAATCTCCACTGACTGGTCGCTACAGTCCATGACAACTGACGTCTGATTCACAACGGCAGTCAAAAATGATATTCACTTGATATTCCTGAGGCCCTGGAAAATAAAAATTTCTTTTCGAGCCAAAAAATGCATCTTACCACGTCACGGGGTAGCTCATCATCTTCGATGTCTTCTAATATGAGGTCCTGTAGGACCTCCACAGGACCTAAGACAACACAGAGTGTCAGTCAGTGCATTGGTGCTGCTGAGGAATCTCCTAAGGAGCTTTGGGAAATGTGGACCAGGCTGGAGCGTATGGAGCTGGGCATTTGATAAGAATGAACCCAGCTATTGCTGGACCATTCTCCTTGGTGCTGAAGAAAGGAAAAGTAGAGGGGCAGAAAGAAATGAAAGAGCCTGGCTTCCTAGCCAGGGCAACCTCATCAATGTGAAATCGTCATTTGAAGAACTGGTTAATACAGAAAGGCAGTGTACTATAGAAACAGGAAGTAGATTAGGGCTGCCTAGAACCAGGGGTGTGGGGGGTTGGGGAAAACAGAGGAGTCACGAGTAAGGGGGTTTTCTGATTGGGAACCAAGAGCTTCTAAAATTAGATTCTAACAATGGTTGCACAACCCTGTAAATAGAGTGAAAACACTGAATCACCTAATTTAAATGAATGAATTGGTTTGCATGGCAACTACGTCTCGGTAACTGTTTAAGAGAAAAAGAATACGTACGAAGGTGATACTGGGCCACAGGCTTCTCCTGCAATAAGAGAAAAAGAAACACCATGAGGATTACATCATGCTGGGTCCTGTTGGCACAGGTCTTGTATTCACTTGGTGACATTAGGAAACCAGAGGGCAGACTGGGCGTGGTGTTCGCGCATGTAATCCCAGCTTCTGGGTAGGCTGAGGCAGGCAGATCATGAAGGCAAGAGGTTGAGACCATCCTGGCCAACATGCTGAAACCCCGTCTCTACTAAAAACTACAAGAAACCCGGAATGGTGGTGGCGACAACCTTCAGTCCCAGCTATTCGAAAAGCTGAGTCAGGAGAATTGTTTGAATGCAGTCGGAGGATGCCGCAGTATCTGAGATCACACCACTGCACTGTAGCCTGGTGACAGAGAGACTCTGTCTCAACAACAAAAGTAAACTAAACAAAAACCCAGATGTGAAACAGTGATGAAGTCACAGGCCCCAAATAAAGCACAAGGGATCCTTGCAGAAAATGCAATGGGTTTGGAATACCTAGCCACTATCTATACTGGCTGAAAAATACAAAATTATTTTTCAAGAAGAAAATGTGGCTACTGAGAAATATGCCCAAAACCAGATTCTAAGTTATGCCATCTTTTGAAGGACATCGTCAATCAGGCCTCAGTTGGTCAGAATCTCCACTGACTGGTCGCTAGAGTCCATGACAACTGAGATCTTATTCACAAGGGCAGTCGAAAATGATATTCACTAGATATTCCTTAGACCCCGGAAAATGAAAATTTCTTTTCGAGCCAAACAATGCATCTTACCACGTCATGGGGTAGCTCATTGTCTTCGATGTCTTCTAATATGAGGTCCTGTAGAACCTCCACAGGACCTAAGACAACACAGAGTGTCAGCCAGTGCATTGGTGCTGCTGAGGAATCTCACATGAGCTATAGGAAATGTGGAACGGGCTGGAGCGTATGGAGCTGGGCGTTTGATAAGAATGGACCCAGCTGCTGCTGGACCATTCTCCTTGGTGCTGAAGAAAGAAAAAGTAGAGGGGCAGAAAGAAATGAAAGAGCCTGGCTAGGAACCTCATCAATGTGAAATCATCATTTGAAGAACCAGTTAATACAATAAGGCAGTGTACTATAGAAACAGGAAGTGCATTAGGCCTGCCTAGAACCGGGAGTGTGGAGGGTTGGGAAAAACAGAGGAGTCACGAGTAAGGGGGTTTTCTGATTGGGAACCAAGAGCTTCTAAAATTAGATTCTAAAATGGTTGCACAACCCTTTAAATAGAGTGAAAACACTGAATCACCTAATTTAAATGAATGAATTGGTTTGCATGGCAACTACGTCTCGGTAACTGTTTAAGAGAAAAAGAATACGTACGGTGGTGATACTGGGCCGCAGGCTTCTCCTGCAATAAGAGAAAAAGAAACACCATGAGGATTACATCATGCTGGGTCCTGTTGGCACAGGTCTTGTATTCACTTGGTGACATTAGGAAACCAGACGGCAGAGTGGGCACGGTGGCTCATGCATGTAATCCCAGCATCTGGGGAGGCCGAGGCAGGCAGATCATGAAGGCAAGAGGTTGAGACCATCCTGGCCAACATGCTGAAACCCCGTCTCTACTAAAAACTACAAGAAACCCGGCATGGTGGTGGCGACAACCTTCAGTCCCAGCTATTCGAAAGGCTGAGTCAGGAGAATTGCTTGAATGCAGTCGGAGGACGCTGCAGTGATGTGAGATCACACCACTGCACTGTAGCCTGGTGACAGAGAGACTCTGTCTCAACAACAAAAGTAAACTAAACAAAAACCCAGATGTGAAACAGTGATGAAGTCACAGGCCCCAAATAAAGCACAAGGGATCCTTGCAGAAAATGCAATGGGTTTGGAATACCTAGCCACTATCTATACTGGCTGAAAAATACAAAATTATTTTTCAAGAAGAAAATGTGGCTACTGAGAAATATGCCAAAAACCAGATTCTAAGTTATGCCATCTTTTGACGGACATCGTCAATCAGGCCTCAGTTTGTCAGAATCTCCACTGACTGGTCGCTAGAGTCCATGACAACTGATGTCTTATTCACAAGGGCAGTCAAAAATGATATTCACTAGATATTCCTTAGACCCCGGAAAATGAAAATTTCTTTTCGAGCCAAAAAATGCATCTTACCACGTCACGGGGTAGCTCATTGTCTTCGATGTCTTCTAATATGAGGTCCTGTAGGACCTCCACAGGACCTAAGACAACACAGAGTGTCAGCCAGTGCATTGGTGCTGCTGAGGAATCTCACAAGGAGCTATAGGAAATGTGGAACGGGCTGGAGCGTATGGAGCTGGGCGTTTGATAAGAATGGACCCAGCTGCTGCTGGACCATTCTCCTTGGTGCTGAAGAAAGAAAAAGTTGAGGGGCAGAAAGAAATGAAAGAGCCTGGCTTCCTAGCCAGGCAAACCTCATCAATGTGAAATCGTCATTTGAAGAACCGGTTAATACAATAAGGCAGTGTACTATAGAAACAGGAAGTGGATTAGGCCTGCCTAGAACCAGGGGTGTGGAGGGTTGGGAAAAACAGAGGAGTCACTACTAAGGGGGTTTTCTGATTGGGAACCAAGGGCTTCTAAAATTAGATTCTAACAATGGTTGCACAACCCTGTAAATAGAGTGAAAACACTGAATCACCTAATTTAAATGAATGAATTGGTTGGCATGGCAACTACGTCTTGGTAACTGTTTAAGAGAAAAAGAATACGTACGGAGGTGATACTGGGCCACAGGCTTCTCCTGCAATAAGAGAAAAAGAAACACCATGAGGATTACATCATGCTGGGTCCTGTTGGTACAGGTCTTGTATTCACTTGGTGACATTAGGAAACCAGAGGGCAGACGGGGCGCGGTGTTCACGCATGTAATCCCAGCTTCTTGGTAGGCTGAGGCAGGCAGATCATGAAGGCAAGAGGTTGAGACCATCCTGGCCAACATGCTGAAACCCCGTCTCTACTAAAAACTACAAGAAACCCGGCATGGTGGTGGCGACAACCTTCAGTCCCAGCTATTCAAAAAGCTGAGTCAGGAGAATTGTTTGAATGCAGTCGGAGGATGCCGCAGTATCTGAGATCACACCACTGCACTGTAGCCTGGTGACAGAGAGACTCTGTCTCAACAACAAAAGTAAACTAAACAAAAACCCAGATGTGAAACAGTGATGAAGTCACAGGCCCCAAATAAAGCACAGGGGATCCTTGCAGAAAATGCTGTGGGTTTGGAATACTTAGCAAGTATCTATGCTGGCTGAAAAATACAAAATTATTTTTCAAGAAGAAAATGTGGCTACTGAGAAATATGCCCAAAACCAGATTCTAAGTTATGCCATCTTTTGACGGACATCGTCAATCAGGCCTCAGTTGGTCAGAATCTCCACTGACTGGTCGCTACAGTCCATGACAACTGACGTCTGATTCACAACGGCAGTCAAAAATGATATTCACTTGATATTCCTGAGGCCCTGGAAAATAAAAATTTCTTTTCGAGCCAAAAAATGCATCTTACCACGTCACGGGGTAGCTCATCATCTTCGATGTCTTCTAATATGAGGTCCTGTAGGACCTCCACAGGACCTAAGACAACACAGAGTGTCAGTCAGTGCATTGGTGCTGCTGAGGAATCTCCTAAGGAGCTTTGGGAAATGTGGACCAGGCTGGAGCGTATGGAGCTGGGCATTTGATAAGAATGGACCCAGCTATTGCTGGACCATTCTCCTTGGTGCTGAAGAAAGGAAAAGTAGAGGGGCAGAAAGAAATGAAAGAGCCTGGCTTCCTAGCCAGGGCAACCTCATCAATGTGAAATCGTCATTTGAAGAACTGGTTAATACAGAAAGGCAGTGTACTATAGAAACAGGAAGTAGATTAGGGCTGCCTAGAACCAGGGGTGTGGGGGGTTGGGGAAAACAGAGGAGTCACGAGTAAGGGGGTTTTCTGATTGGGAACCAAGAGCTTCTAAAATTAGATTCTAACAATGGTTGCACAACCCTGTAAATAGAGTGAAAACACTGAATCACCTAATTTAAATGAATGAATTGGTTTGCATGGCAACTACGTCTCGGTAACTGTTTAAGAGAAAAAGAATACGTACGGAGGTGATACTGGGCCACAGGCTTCTCCTGCAATAAGAGAAAAAGAAACACCATGAGGATTACATCATGCTGGGTCCTGTTGGCACAGGTCTTGTATTCACTTGGTGACATTAGAAAACCAGACGGCAGACTGGGCGTGGTGGCTCACGCATGTAATCCCAGCATCTGGGGAGGCCGAGGCAGGCAGATCATGAAGGCAAGAGGTTGAGACCATCCTGGCCAACATGGTGAAACCCCGTCTCTACTAAAAACTACAAGAAACCCGGCATGGTGGTGGTGACAACCTTCAATCCCAGCTATTCGAAAGGCTGAGTCAGGAGAATTGTTTGAATGCAGTCGGAGGATGCCACAGTGATCTGAGATCACACCACTGCACTGTAGCCTGGTGACAGAGAGACTCTGTCTCAACAACAAAAGTAAACTAAACAAAAAACCAGATGTGAAACAGTGATGAAGTCACAGGCCCCGAATAAAGCACAGGGGATCCTTGCAGAAAATGCTGTGGGTTTGGAATACCTAGCAACTATCTATACTGGCTGAAAAATACAAAATTATTTTTCAAGAAGAAAATGTGGCTACTGAGAAATATGCCCAAAACCAGATTCTAAGTTATGCCAACTTTTGACGGACATTGTCAATCAGGCCTCAGTTGGTCAGAATCTCCACTGACTGGTCACTAGAATCCATGACAACTGAGGTCTGATTCACCACGGCAGTCAAAAATGATATTCACTTGATATTCCTGAGGCCCCAGAAAATAAAAATTTCTCTTTGAGACAAAGAAATGCATCTTACCACGTGACAGGGTAGCTCATTGTCTTTGATGTCTTCTAATATGAGGTCCTGTAGGACCTCCACAGGACCTAAGAGAACAGAGTGTCAGTCAGTGCATTGGTGCTGCTGAGGAATCTCACAAGGAGCTTTGGGAAATGTGGATCAGGCTGGAGCATATGGAGCTTGGCGTTTGACAAGCATGGACCCAGCTGCTGCTGGACCATTCTCCTTGGTGCTGAAGGAAGGAAAAGTAGAGGGGCAGAAGGAAATGAAAGAGCCTGGCTTCCTAGCCAGGGCAACCTCATCAATATGAAATCATCATTTGAAGAACCAGTTAATACAGAAAGGCAGTGTACTATAGAAACAAATAGTAGGTAAGGGCTGTCTAGAACCAGAGGTGTGGGGAATTGGGGAAAACAGAGGAGTCACTACTAAGGGGGTTTTCTGAGAGGGAACCAAGAGCTTTTAAAATTAGATTCTAACAATAATTGCACAACCCTGTAAATATAGTAAAAACACTGAATCACCTACTTTAAATGGCTGAATTCTTTTGCATGTCAACTACGTCTCAGTAACTGTTTAATTGAAAAAGAATACGTACGTTGGTGATACTGGGCCGCAGGCTTCTCCTGCAATAAGAAAAATAGAAACACCATGAGGATTACATCATGCTAGCTCCTGTTGGCAGAGGTCTTGTATTCACTTGGTGATACTAGAAAACCAGATGGCAGACTGCACGCGGTGGCTCATGCATGTAATCCCAGCACGTTGGGAGGCTGAGGTGGGCATATCAGGTCAAGAGACTGAGACCATCCTGGCCATCATGGTGAAATCCCCTCTCTGCTACAATCTACAAGAGACCTGGCATTGTTGTGGCGTGAGACTCTAGTCACAGCTACTCAGGAGACTGGGCCAGGAGAATTGCTTGAACCCAGTATGTGGAGGTTAGAGTGATCTGAGATGACAGCACTGCACTGTAGCTGGGTGAAAGAGAAAGTCTCTGTCTCAAAACAACAACAACAACAACGAGAAAACCAGAGGTAGAAAAGTGAACAGGTCACTGGTCCCAGATGATGCATAGAGGATGCTTACAGAAAATGCAGTGCATTTCGAAAATTTAGGAGGTGTCTATGTTCTCTCGGCAATACAAAATTAGTTTTTCAAGAACAAAACGCTGCTACTGAGAAATGTGCTCACGACCAGTTTGTAGGTGATGTCCTCTTTTCACAGACATCATCCGTCAGGCCTCAGTTGGTCATTATCTCCACTGACCAGTCGCTAGAGTCCAAGACCCCCAAGGCCTAATTTATGATGGCAGTCAAAAATCATATTCACTTCTTATTTTAGAACACTCAGGAAAAAAAATGTCCAGACAAGGAAATGTATGTTACCGTGTCAGACGCCACCTCCTCCTCCTCACGCTCATGTATATACTCTTCTGGGTCGTCAACAGAAACTAGAAGAACACAGAGTGACAGTAAGTGCATTGGTGTTGCTGAGGAATTTCACAAGGAGCTTTGGGGAATGTGTGTATGGAGGGGTGGAGTGATGGAGCTGGGTGGTTCACAAGCATGGACTGATCTTCTGCTGGACCATTCTCCTGGTGTTGAATGAAGGAAAAGGAGAGGGGCAGAAAAAAATGAAAGAGCCTTGGCCTTCTAGCTAGGGCAACTTCGTCAACGTGAAATAGTCACCTTAAGAACCGGTTAGCACAGAAAGGCACTGTATATAGAAACAAGAAGTACATTAGGGTTGCTTAGAACCAGGGGTGCAAGGTTGGGAAAAACAGAGGGGTGTCTACTAATGAGGTTTCTTTGAGGAGGAATGAAGAGATTTTAAAATTAGATTGTAACATGGGTGCATAGCCTATAAATATAGCAAAAACACCAAATCACCCACTTTAAATGGGTTAATTAGGTTGCATGTCAACTATATTCTAATGAAGCTATGTTAAAAAAAAAGAATACTTACTGTGGTGATATTCACCTGTAGCATGTTCCTGCAGTAAGAGGGAAAAAAACCATCATGAGGATCAGATCATACTGGGTCCTGACTGCACAGGTCTTTTATTCACTTGGTGGTGTTAGAAAACCAGGTATCAAACAGTGATCAAGTCACTGATCACCAAATAAAGCATAGAGGATGCTTGGAGAAAGGGCAGTGGGTTTTTGTGTTTGGTTTTGGACAGATTCTTGCTCTGTCACCCAGGCTGGAGGGCAGTGGCATGATCTCGGCTCACTGCAACCTCAGCTTCCTGGGTTCAAGCAATTCTCCTGCCTCAGCCTTCCAACTAGCTGTGACCACAGGCGCCTGCCACCATGCCCAGCTAATGCTTGTATTTATAGTAGAGATGGGGTTTCATTATATTGGCCCTGTCTGCCTCAGCCTCCCAAAGTGCTGGGATTCCATGTGAGCCACCAAGGCAGTGGGTTTTCATGGAATATTTAGCAAGTCCATGTTGGCTGTCAAATACAAAATTATTTTTCAGAAAGAAAATGTTGCTACTGAGAAATATGCTCACTACTAGTGTGTCAGTGATGTCATCTTTTGACTGACATCATCAATCAGGCTTCAGTTGGTCATACATTCCAGTGACTGGTAGCTAGAGTCCATGACAGCTGAGGCCTGATTCACAATGGCAGTCAAAAATGATACTCACTTGATATTCTAGAAGCCCCAGAATAAGACATTTCTTTTCAAGACAAAGAAATGCATCTTACTATTTCAGGTGATGTCTCTTCCTCAAGCTTTTTAGTTGTACACTCCTTTGGGTCTTGAACAGGAGCTAGGGGAACACAGAGAGACAGTCAGTGCACTGGTGATGCTGAGGAATACCACAAGGAGGCTTGGGGGATGTTGACCGAAGCTGCAGTGTATGGAGGTGAGCTGTTGACAAGCATGAACTGAGCAGCTGCTGGGCCACTCTCCTTGGTGCTGAAGGAAGGCAAAGGAGAGGGGAAGAAAGAAATAAAAGAGCCTTGTCTTTCTAGCTAGGGCAACATCATCAGTGTGAAATAGTCTGAGAACCAGTTAATACAGAAAGGCACTGTATATGGCTCAGTGAGAGCATCTCATCACACCTGCTGTCCACGTGAAGGTCTAGGCAAATCCCAACATTTTATGAAATGTTACAGGATTATTTAGCTTCTGTGGATCTATGTATCCTGCTACTACATTAATCATCTATCCTGTTGTATTTTTAAAATTTTAAAAGCTTACATATTTATTATTTTAATTATTAGGTGTGCATTTCAATGATATTATATTTAGTGAGTAACATTCATGATGCTGTGTCAATAATGAGAAAAATCAAATCTAAATTCATAATCTAGCTTCCACCTTGGGCAATGAAAGAAAAACAGCAGTACAATGTCGAATAGAGGAAAAATAAATAACGACTGCAGAAATTAATGGAATAAAAAACAGGAAATCATCAGAGAAAATCAACAAAACTGAAAACCAGTTCTTTGAAAAGATCAATAACACTGAGAAACCTCTACCTTGTCTAACCTCAAAGGAAAAGAAAGAAGTCACGAGGTATTAATAGTATCAGTTTAAGACGAGTTGAATCAAAAAATAATAATAAAGGAATGTTGTGAACACATCTGTGCTCACACTTGGAAACATTATATGAAATGAGCTAACTTTTTGGATCTGTTTCAGAAGGTTAAACGTCTTCTCATGATAAATGAATCATCTAAATAGGCCTATATTTATATTATACTAATTTATAATTTATATTAGTATAATATAAATATAGGCCTATTTAGATGATTCAATAATTAGTATCTTCTCAAAAGAAGAAAAACACTACCTTCAGATGATTTCACTGGTAAATTCTACCAAAATTCTTACAAAGAAATGTAGTCTTACTGTACGAGCAAGTAATAATTTTAGTATTTCCTTGCATTTTAAAAATTATGTTTCCAAACAAGACACAAGAAAGTTTATAATTGCTGTACTCATAATTGCCCAAACTGAAAGCAAATGTCTAAACATTTGGGATGTCCTTTACTATCAAAAGTGAACCAAGCCTGGGCAACACTGTGAAACCCCATCTGTACAAAAAAAATAAAATTTAAAAAAATAGCTTGATATAAAGCATGTGCATTACAGCCATCTGCTTGGGAGGCTGAGGTAGAAGGATCACTGGGACATGGAGAGGTCAAGATTGCAATGAGCTGTGATTGCACCAATGCACTCCTGGGTGACAAAATGAGACCTTTTCACAAAAACAAAGAAACAAAAAGAACCAAACTCTAAGTTGTTGTGTAGTTGCATCACCCATTGATTTAATGCATTAAATGGGCACAAATGAAATAAATGAGGAACATGACATAGCATTTACTAAGTCTCTCTGGGACACTGGGTGAGTAAACTGGAATTATTTGCTTCAATCAACTTAATGATATAATTTCCACCCTACCTTCATTTTCACTGGGGCAAACTTTCTTATGCCTCCATTTTTTTTGTACCCAGCTCCTGGTGCGGCCAGCCAAACCTGCAAGGTAGAAATGTATTATAATAAAGACAATGCTTGACATCTTGCTGGCAGAAGACCACAGTGAAATTAGTAAAAACTTATTCAGTTTAAACTTTTGATCCTAGTTTTCACCGACTGCTTTTCAATGCTACCTGAATTAGATCTGGGTTCTAGGAAGATTTGTTTGTCCAGGCAGATACCTTTATTCAGATGAGACAATATAGAAAAGCAGAAGATCCAAGTTACCAAGAATAGGCTGGGTTCAAATCCTACTTAGAATCTGCATATACCATCTGTGCTTCTCTTCCCTATTCTGAGATGTAGAAACAGTAGTAGATCTATGCTATACACCTACTAAGGTCTATAGCACCTAAAATAATGAAATGCACATAAAGACTTTAAAAGACCCTTTTTTTTGTAAATGCCCTAAAATGTTCAATCATTCAATGTCGAGAAGGATAATCCAGATACTTGGTAGTGGTTGAATACAGAGAGAAAGCTTGCATGTCTCCTGTGCAGGGTAGGATGGAAAGTGACTTCACAGTTTCCATGGCCACATGATTTCGAGCTCATGACAGAGATCTGTGATTTCCCTGATCCCCACATCAGCCCCGAGGGACAGGCAGGGTAGGGGCTACAACCCATGTTTTCCAATTCAGTGAATTAAAACTCAGACGCTTTGAGTGACTTGCCCAGAGTCACCACAGTGAGGAGTGATAGATCTGAGGTAATAATGTAGTTGGTTCCCCGGGGATAGAGATCCTGAAACACCTGAGTCCTCTAGATCATGCCCTGGACCCCAGACTGAGAGCTCTTTTCACAAGCTTTGTCAAATCCTGCTGCCCCAACATTTCTGTGAAATGGTTGAAGCACTGGAGAGGTGGCAGGTGGCTTACCGCATTTACTGACCTACTCTATTATCCCTATGTTGTCCCTTTATTAGTTTTATGACCCATAAGGCAAACATTTTAAGTCTCTCAGTTATGATGCATGATCACAGATTTTACCTGAGTCCACTCTTTCAGGTGATTCTCATCTGCTGGGCTGGAGCTGGCCTGACATAAAAGAGGACACATGGCATACCACAGAGCTACTGTGTGCCCCACTCCTGTGAACACGGCATACCACAGAGCTGCTGCATGCCACACTCCTGTGCACGTGGCATACCACAAAGCTGCTGCTTACCCCAGTCCTGGGCACATTCTTGCCTTGCTTCTGCTTTCCCAGCTCTAACAATACTAATTCTGGCTTCCAAACAAATCCTGTACATCCCTCTCAGTTCTCAGACTTGCCTCAACTGTTGGACATGTTAATCACTGTTGTAGTGACCATGACTGAACTGTGACATTCCATATACCATAGTATATGTTTATCTTTTTATATATTTCTTAATAAAATTTAACATTTTTTTCAGACTTTTAGGAACATTTCTGGGCTAGGTGTGCTGGCCCATGGCTATGCTGGCCCATGGCTATAATCCTCACATTTTTAGAGGTAAGGCAAAAGGATTGCTTAAGGTCAGAAGTTTAAGACCAACCTGGGCAACACAGTGAGACCTCGTCTCCACAAAAAATCTTCTAAATGTCACCAGATATGGTGGTGAGCCTTTTTTTCAGACTTTTAGGAAGATTTCTGGGCTAGGTGTGCTGGCTCATAACTATGCTGGCCCATGGCTATAATCCTGACATTTTTAGAGGCTAAGGCAAAAGGATTGCTTAAGGTCAGAAGTTTAAGGCAAACCTGGGCAACACAGTGAGACCTCGTCTCTACAAAAAATCTTCTAAATGTCACCAGATATGGTGGTAAGCCCTTGTATCCCTAGCTACATTGAAGCCTGTTGTGGGAAGATCATTTGAGCCTAGAAGATTGAGGCTGCAATGAGCTATGATCATGCCACTGCACTCCAGCCTGGGTGACAAAGCAAGACCCTGTCTCTTCAAAATAAAAAGCATTACTGCGTTACAAGTATCCCATTTTATTTCTCATTAACTAATATTGCTGTTTTCATCCTGAGGCTTAATTGATTTAGTAAGCTAAAAAAAAGTTTTTTAGACAAGGTAGTATTTAAAGCAGGCCATATGCATGCCTTTTTATAAATTCTAGTTTTAATGCCATATATCTAGAATTTACATTCTTGATCTACTCAGTCTTCTTCTTAGAACCAGCCTCCTCATATATAACAAAAGTATAATTCCCATATTACACCTAACTCAAAACACTGAGAGGATAGAATAAAATCAAAGAGCAGTCTGTATACTACACAAGGCACAATAGATTACAAACCAAAGCTTTCTCTAACTCAAAGGCGAAAAGTGCACACTTAACATCCTTTGCAGAACCCATAGCAAAATAATATTTTGAGAAAATATGCACTTTGGCTACCCAGTGAAGTTAGGAGAAAACTGTCACAGGTCATCATCAAGACTTCCCCAACGTTGTCTTTTATTTTTAAATAATGAAATACACATTATTTCTCCTGCTTTCTTTCATGTATATTACTGCATGTTCTCCTTTTGGCTTTTCTGCGTACCCTATTCTTGGGAATCACTCCACAGCAATAAAAAGACATCTTACTCTTTTTCACAGCTCCATACTTCTCCTTTATGTAGAAGTACCAGCTTATTTTACTAGTCCCTTACTAGGCATGTCAGTTATTTCCAATATTTAACTATTGAAAATAATGCAACAAGAACTTTGCACATAGTTTGTTTTATATTTATGAAGCATACCTTCAGGATAAAATTCCTCAAAGTAGAATGTCTGGTTCAAATGCATTTTCACGGTTGTGAGATTGTGCCAAATTCCCCTTCATGGAGTTGAGCCTTTTTGCATTTCCACCAGCAATATATGAATGCAACTTTCCTTACAGCCAGACCAAAGAACGTTTTGCCGTGGTTTTGGGATTTCCCTCAATAAGAGACCCTGCAGTAGAGCTGTCATTTGCTTTTCTTTTATGAGTGAAGATGTGTTTAAAAATCACCTGCATTTCTTTTTCTGTGATTTGTCTATTTACTTTATAATCTACTTTTAGTTTCACTTGATTTTTCTCAAGTCAGCCTCTTTCAGGTCATTGTTGTTTTTCTCTTCACTTTCAGCTCTCACCTGAACTACTCCACCAGTCTCCTAGCTGCTCTTCCTGCTTCCACCCTTGTCTGTATTAAATTATATTCACACAGAGATGCTGCTCAGTCTTTTTCTTAGAGAATTAACAGTAATCCTGAGCTATAATCCTCCAGTGGTTTTTCCATCTCATCTAAAGTCCGTGCTCACTATGTGTACAAGGCCTTCACCCACCTTATTCATCCCAGCATCCTTTTACTCTGCTGCAGCCACCCTTGTGGCTTTCTGTCCTTTGCCTAAAACTTTGTTTCAATTTCAGGAATTCCAAAGCGAATATCCCTCTCTGGAAGCCCTCTCCTATCATCCTCACAGGGTTCCCCTCACTTTATTTATAAAAATAAATAAGATGGGGTGTCTCTGTGTTGGCCAGACTGGTCTTAAACTTCCATCCTCAAGGAATCCCCTCATCCTGGCTTTCTAAAGTGCTGGGATTAAAGTTGGGAGCCACTATACCCAGCCTATTTCACTTTTAAGACTGTTCACGTCACTTAAAGAGAACATCCAGCTCTTAGCGCCAACCCTCCATAAAACTGCCCTCCTCTTTAATCCATTACCCTACTTTACTTTCTTCACAGCACATCACCACCTGCCATTCTTGACTATTCATGTGCTGGCTGCCCTTACTTCCCTATTGAATGTAAGGGTCAGACTTAGAATGGGGCTCTCTGTTGTGTTCCACTGTTTTCCCTGCATCTGCAACACTGCCAGGCCATTTGAAACTGCTCAATACATATATTTCATTTTACCCCAAACTAGTTAAGTTTCTCCCAATTCTCCCAGATCTGCTAAAGTTGTCTTTTGTTTTGTCATCTAAGACAGCATCAGATTTTTTAAACTGGTAGCTATTTAGAATTAAAGACAAGCTATCAAGATCCTCAAAAATATAAATGAAGAATATTAATGTCTATTTAAAAGTCAATGGTAACTGCAGTTTGACACAAGTATATTTAATACTAAAATACCTTAAATACAAAGTGACTCATTTCATCGGTTTAATTATGTCACTTGACAAAATATATTATCTGAATTTTATAACGAGATATCACACATCTGTCATCAAAATGTGCTTTATGTGTATTCTGAATCAAACATGACAGGATTGTTAATGACTTTACGAAAAAAGACAGCCAATCGCAAATGGTAGGTAAATAAATAGTGCTTTAAACAGTCTTTAGTACACTAAGCATTTATTCAAAGTCATCAGTTACAGCAGGGTACCCTGGCAAAGACATCCTGAAGTGCTCTCTTGGTGTCAAGTACTGTTTGAAAACCTTACCCCATTATTTCACTGCTTTAAGTAAAAGTTACAAGGCAGCACATATAAAATGATCAGAAAGTTTTATTTTACAAAAAAGTTTGTGAAATAAAATATTATATTCAAATGCATACCAAAAATTTCCAGAAAACAGTACTCAAACACTAACACAAGTGAGCTCTGGGTATTCTGAGTGTAATAAATAACTTTTATTTTCTACATAAAACATACTGATAGTTATTTTAAAAAAAGGGTTCAAAATAGCTACTAGAAAGCTGAAAGACCTGCTGCTCAGAGGTCTCTACATCATATGCCCATTCTTTCCCTTCCCTGATCCCTCATTTGAGAGAGCCAACAAACTAGCAGCATTCCTATGGTAAGAACACAAAAGGCTGCATGAAAAGTCGATGGGTAGTGATAAAATTAGACAATGAGTTCCTACTATCTTAATCTGTGTTACTTATATTACCCCCAGTCATATTAGATATACTGCTAAATAAAGGCATGATAGAACAAAATATGCTTGAGTCTGAGATCTAAACTGGGTTCTTAGAACTTCTCTTTAAAATGGCTTCAAGACACAATGTTCTTTGGAAATATTTCAGAAGAGAGCAATGAAGCAGAGCATCATTTATGGCATAAGTTCCTGAAACAGGACTTGCCACCTAGAGAGCACTCCAGGTTGTCTTTCCACAGCAGTGCACCCTGCTCTGCCTGATGGCTTTAAATGACTGTTTAGTGTGCCACAGAATGGTTGGAGCACTGGTTGCTGTGATATTTGTCTAAATCACCAAAAGAATTCAATTCATCATTATAGAAAGGCTAAAATGTTTCACATCTAACTAGGAATTTATCACTTTCCAAGAAAAGTGATACACAATTTTCTGAAATAAAGATATTAACAAAAAACTTTGAATGTGTCTATATTTTATATTAAGTGTGCTGAACATGTTGCTTTCTTGTTTTATTTGCCCAGTCAGGCTGGAGTGTACTGGTGTGATCTCGGCTCACTGCAACCTGCAACTCCCGGATTCAAGTGATTCTCCTGCCTCAGCCTCCCAGGTAGCTGGGATTACAGGTATGTGCCACCACGCCTGGCTAATTTTTTGTATACTTAGGAGAGAAGGGGTTTCATCATGTTGGCCAGGCTGGTCCCAAACTCCTGACCTCAGGTAATCTGCCCACCTTGGCCTCCCAAAATGCTGGGATTACAGGCATGAGCCACCGTGCCTAGCCAAAGAATAAACACTGAAATTGAGGTTTCTGTTATCCCTTTACTGAATACCACAAAAACACATTTGAAGAGACATATGGAAACTTACTGTCATGCACATACACATAAAATGGTAAATTCTGTGTTCACAAACTTTTTCTTCAACTGTTCTGACTTAAAACTTCTTACTCGCAGCCTGTGCTTTAATGTGTGGGCCTTGCCTGCCCTCTTGCCAGCTTCTCCCGACCAGGGCATTCTCAGCTTCAAATCAGTTAGCAGAAGAAACTCTTCCACGTTTATTAAACTGTTGATTTAACTGGTAAATGTAGGCCATTTTGTTACCCCTACTTTTATCCTTATCTATTTCAATAAATGTATAGACAGCAGGTAGAGCCAGGAGAGACGGCACATGCCTGTATTGTTAGCTTTCCTACAGGCTGAGGCAGCAGGAGTGCTTGAGCCCAGGCCAGGGTCAGAAGCTGTCCTGTGACACACAGTGAGGACCCATCTCTTTAGGAGAAAAAACGGAGAGGTAAATGTTGTGTAAAATAAAATGCAAAAGGAACTAATCAAGATGAAAGTAAGTTCTAAGAGAGGTCTATGTTATGGGTAGACCTTAAAATAGAAGGCATTCTGGAGTCTGTCAAGTTCTTTAAGAACTGAGTTTGGCATCACTATGACCTCCAATGTCTACTTTGATGACTTAGAACCTCAGTCCTGTTTAGCAGCTGTCTCACACAGTCCCTTCAGATCTCTAAGCCTTCCCTTCTGCATCAGCAACATAGGGAGAATATACACAGGCCTTATTTGTATTTGGAAGCTTCCAATCAGATGTACATGAAAACATGTTTTACATCCTAAATAAGGAAAAGGCTCACATTGTTCTCTCACTACCTCATCTGCCAAATCAGACAGAATATCACACAGAGGCTTGCCATACACCACCAAGCAAGGAGTTTCCACAGGTACTTGCATGCTTTGTGTATAAGGTATAATCTATTAAGTCTCATAATTATTTTTTTATTCTTTCACAATTTTTCAATATTCTGAAAAGGGAGTACAGCACTCCCTTGTTACAAAGGCACACCCATCATGAGGCTTAATTATTCTGTGAAAAAAGGTAAGAGCCAAACTGAAGTTTAAACACAAGACCTGTAAGACATTTTCTCCATACTAATAAAATCTCTGCCATTAAAATGAAAGAAATGAGCTGATCATATTTCTATGTCTTTATGATATAATGTTTTCTATTTCAGTGGACTTAGTTTTTGTTCAAGGAACTGGTTACCCAGAATTATCTGTTGCTAGAATCATCTATTTCTAAAATCCTAAAGGATTTTAGACTGAAGGCTGCTGGCCCTGGCTGATGCCTGTCACCCAAAAAGCCTATGTCACCTGGTTACCAGGAAACAACCAAGTCAGGCTACTGGCTCACAATGCCCTTCCCCAGAGCCCCACCCAATGGCTCACAATGCCTATCCCTGCTGCTGCCCACCTATGGTCACCATTCCCCCCATGTGACTGTATTATTCATCCTGGGCTGCCTGAGCTTTCCAATAATAAGAAAAGTGTGTGGAGGGAAGAATGGTTGTTATTGGAAGTCACCCTGGGTGCTGAACTCAGTGGAAAACCCTGGTTACTAATGTCAGTTCCATTAGCATCTCTGGTTTTCTGAGTCTGGTAGCTTTCCTTTGCTCAACAAATGTAGTGATATACAAATGTTTGACTGATTTTGTAACTAAATGCTCATCTCCTGTCTTACAAGTGTTAGTTTTTGTCTTCAATTTGACCCTAGCAAAAAAATTAAATGCTTCCTCTCTCCTCCCCTTTCCCATCCTGTAGGAAGATGAGCCATAAAAACAAACTCTTTTCCACAGGCAGAGTCTGGCCTTCTAACTCTCAAGTCTTTACCTTACAAATTCAAGTCGAAAGTCATTTCATCTCCTTTGGAACCTGTAACCATGAGCTAGCTCTACCTGTCTTTCAGAACAAGGAGGTAAACAAAGCCCGTGAAGTAACTGGAGTAGGGCTGAAGAGACATTCATGTCAAAGTGGGAATTTTAAAGTAATCAGAGCTCAAGGGCTAAACTTTTGGGTAAAACCACAACAAAAACAACTTTTTTACAGCTCTGGCGGTAACATTTCATACCTTTTGCAGTAATTTTAAGCATGTCCCTCAATTTTTCCTCCGGTTTTCAAATTACAATGGGAAGAAATAAAGTTGCTTCAGTCAAGGTGACTTCAAACCATCTGTTAAGAACACCATATAATCTCTTCCATAGCTCTATTTTAAATTTAAGAAGTTTCCAAATATCTGAGTCTGAATTTTCCCAATTATTAGCTTCCTTATCAAATAGGAGAAAAGACATGATTGGGCCTTTAACCGGCTCCTTCACTGAGATACCATAGTAGCTGAATAGGTAAGGCTAAAGAATGGGATGGAGACTCCAAAACTGGAGTATCTAAATTTTCACCGGGGAAAGCAAAAGACTAGACCAAAAATGCCTCAAGCAAGAAGGTTCAACAACAAAGACAAGAGGCAGGACAAGCCTTTGTCCCCCATGCCCAGCCCTGGGAAAGCTGGCTATAGGCAGAAGGGAGCTGAAAGCTGAGGATGTCTCTGAGGTGAGTAGATGGGAAGGAAGTGGGGGAGGTGGTGGCCAGAAAGAAAATGGCACCCGTGGCTTCTTTACCTTTGTGCAGCTTTGACTTTGGCTGCACGTGCTGGACCTCCGCCACTCCGGGATGGAACACGGCAGGCTCTGCAGTGGTGGATGCTGGTGGTGCAGCTGCCACAGACTGAGTCTCACAACATGGTGCCACTGCCTCCTGGCACCAGGCACAACTGAGGCCAGCCCTGGGGCTTAGGCAATTCCCCATGGGTGACCTACAAGGGGACTTTCAAAACATAGCAATGCACAAAATCAGAAAAAAAAAAAGAACAATGAGAACACATGGACACAGGGAGGGGAGCACTACACACTGGGGTCTGTTTTGGGGAAATAGGGGAGGGACAGCAGGGGGTGGGGAGTTAGGGAAAGAGAGCATGGGGAGAAATGCCAGATATAGGTGATGGGGAGGAAAACAGCAAATCACACTGCCAGGTGTGTACCTGTGCAACAATCTTGCATGTTTTTCAATGTACCCCCAAACCTAAAATGAAATTTAAAAAAGAAAAAAAAAAACAAAGCAACAAAATCCAAAAACAACAATAAAAAAGAATAAAGAAAGCAACATACAAAATAAAAATTAAAAAAAACAAAGAAAAAGCAAAGCAACAGAGCAAGCCCCAAGGGCACAAACACTTCTGTGAGAGTAGTCGGAGCTCCTCCTCCTCCCACTACTGAAGGCTGCTGGCCCTGGCTGATGCCTGTTACCCAACAAAGCCTCCTATGCCACCTGGTTACCAGGAAACAATAAAGTCAGGCCAGTGGCTCACAATGCCACTTCCCACAACCCCACCCAAAGGCTCACAATGCCCATCCCTGCTGCTGGCTACCTGTGGCCACCCTTCCCCTCTTGGTGACTGCACTATTCATCCTGAGCACCTGATATATTCCATTTTTAACCATAGGCCTCAAAAAACCCAGAATGTCCCTTCATAGATTCTATATAGAGAGTGTGTCTAACCTGTGAATAAAAAAAAAGGTTTCATTCTGCGTGATAAATCCACAAACACAAAGCATTTTCACAGAAACCTTCAGCTTCCTGTTCTTGGTTATTTGGGCTTCAGTCTTGTATGCTCTGTCAGGTTCTAGTCCTTGTAAAGGTGATTTCCATGTCTCCACTCATTTATATGTGCCCAGAACGGTTGGCTCTTGGGAGGGTCTTCATGACTGAGGCCATGGATCCTTTGCACTGTTCCTTGAATCCACTTGACACAAATTACTCATCTATTTCCTCATTCTAAACCTCAAATTCCAATAAATTACCACCAAGTGGACAAAGGTCCATGGGCCAGAGCTCTTGGTGTGAACAACATAGTTTTTTGTGTGTGATTAATAGACAGTGACTATACAAAATTAAAAACAATGCTTGTGTGCTGACTACCAGCACGCCATGGTGATAAGACACTCTGTATACACTATCTTATTCAATGCTTGTTACAAATTCATGAAGTGGATTTTTACACAAACTTTCTATTCGAGCTTTTTGGAACAAGAGGCTAGTGTAGTGACTTCCACCTACTCGGCAGCAGATTCAGATACTTGTTATCTGATGGCCAATCTCATTACATGTATACTCCTACATGCTTTTCCTCTCCTTCTCATGATTTTATAGCAAATCGCATACATCATATAATTTCCTCCCTGACTGTCTTGGTATATGTCTGTAAAAGATATGATTCTTGTTTGTTCTTTCAAGACAAGGTCTCTGTCAACCAGGCTGGAATTCAGTGGCATAATCTTGGTTCACTGTGGCCTCTCCTGCCTCAGCTTCCTGAGTAGCTGCAACTACAGACTCACATCACCATGCCCAGCTAATTTTTTAATTTGTATTTTAGTAGAGACAGGGACTTGCTATGTTGCCCAGGCTGGTCTAGAATTCCTGGATTCAAAGGATCTTCCCACCTTGACCTCCCACACTACTGAGATTATACATGTGAACCACCATGGCTGGAGACAAGAACTCTTTAAAAAATATAATCCCAATACCATAATCAACCAACCATCTCACACCATTGCTCTTTATCACTGTCGACTCTCCTTCTAGCTCCAAATTTCCAGTCATTTCATGTATTTATTGTGTGAATCAGGATCCAAATAAAGTCTCTCCTTGGGATTGTTTGATTCACCTCTTAGGGTTTTTTTGATCCCGACAACTTCCCACTTTGATCTCTGTGCTGTCCCTTGCAGTCAATTTACTGAATCAATCAGGTCATTTCCACATAGTTTGGATTACGCTAAGTGTGTTCTTATTATGCTGTTTCTCATACTGTGAATCTTGCTAATTGTATCTTGTGATGTTGGTTAACTTGCTCTTCACTTTGTTCTAGTTTTGATAAATTAGTAGTTTGATCTCAAGACTTGGTGAGATTCAGGTTGGACTTGAGGGTCAGGGAAAAGACTGTGCTAGTTTCTTCTGAAAGAAGGTGTGTACTTTCTGGACATCTTTTTAATTGGTGATGTTAATGGCCATTGATCAATTATGGATTGAACAATGAAGGCATTGTTGTATCATTCCTTCTTTGTTTATGAGCTGCCATACTTCCAGAAAGAGATACTGCTACCTGAAGGGCCTTGCATGAAGAAAAAAATAAAGTAAATATAAAAGAGAGATGCTGCTTCTTATAAACTGTGTTACTCACTTGTACAACTTATATAGAAAATGCCAGTTCATGGCTTGATTTCTTCTGTTCACCATTTTTCAAAATGATGGGCTGTTTCATTTGTATTCTTCAATGGTGACCACTTCTATTAATTAATTTATTTAAAAAGGAAGGGTCTGGCTCTGTTGCCCAGGCTGGTATGCAGAGCAGCAGTCATGCCACTACAGCCTCAAACTTCTAGGCTCAGGTGACCCTCCCATCTCAGCTTCCTGAGTAGCTGGGACCAAAGACATGGACCCTCATACCTGAGTAATTTAAAAAATGTTTCATAGAGACAAAGTCCCCCTATGTTGCACAGGCTGGTCTTGAACTGCTGGATGAAGTGATCCTCCTAACTCAGCCTCCCAGAGTGTTAAAATTACAGGTATGAGGAACTAACTGTGCCAGCCCACTTTTATTTTTTCAAAAGGATCATTATGAATGCAGATATTCAAACATATCTGATATATCTCAATTCACTGCAACTATTATCCTTATTAATGTACAAAATGTCCTATCTTTGGTTAGGAGTCCCTTCAGATTGGCCCTTCAGACATGTTATAATCATCTTAATAATCTTTGATGGATTCTTTGCTATCCAGAGTGACAATATGTTCCAGGCTCCTTACACATTTCTGGCCTAGACCTGGAATCAGCACTTTGTCCAGGAAGGCTTCTTTTCTTTCACTGGGCAATGGTATTTTGAGACTATATTGAGGTTGCAATCTTGGTGCTAGGGGTAAATACTATAATTTTAAAACTTAGAAAACTGCCTGGCTCATGCCTGTAATCCTAGCACTTTGGGAGGCCAAGACAGGTAGATCACTTGAGGTCACAACTTTCAGACCAACCTGGACAACATGGTGAAACCCCATCTGTACTAAAAATACAAAAAATTAGCCAGGCATCATGGTGGAAACCTGTAATCCCAGCACCTTGGGAGGTGGAGATGGGCGGATCAAAAGGTCAAGAGATCAAGACCATCCTGGCTGACATGGTGAAACCCTTTCTCTACTAAAAATAGAAAAATATTAGGCAGCCAGGTGCAGTGGCTCATGCCTGTAATCCAAGCACTTTGGAAACCAAGGCAGGTGGATCACCTGAGGGCAAGAGTTCAAGACCTGCCTGACAAACATGGTGAAACCCCATCTTTAAAAAAAAAAAAAAAAGAAAGAAAAACAGTAAATAATAAATAAATAAGAAAATACATGCAAGACTGCCTCTAAATCATTATACAGATAGTTAAGAAAATGAATAAATGCAAGCCTGAACACAAATATAGAAGTATAAAAATAATGTTGTGAGCCTGGGTCTAAATAAAATAATTGAGTAAATGTGAGCCTGCCTCTAAATAATCAGCTAGCTAGATAGATAAATACATAAATCCAAGCCTGTCTCCAAATATTTAAATAAATAAATAAATTCGACCTGCTTCTCCATTAGTATGCCAGCAAATAATTCAATAAATAAATGCAACTCTGCCTCCAAATAAATCATAGATAAATAGATAAATTAAATCAATAAATAAGCAGCCCCACTTGGTGGTTCATGTTTTTAATACCCTGCCCATTGGGAGCCTCAGCCAGCAATACCACCTGAGGTCAGGACATCAAGACCAGCCTGGCCAAGATGGTGAAAAAGTCCCTATCTCTATTTATAAAAATAATAAAATGAAAATAATTAACTTACTAAATAAAAACATAAATAAATAAATGCAAGCAGGCCTTCCTGCCTCTAAGTAAATAAATCAGTAATTATGTAAATAAATAAACAAAAGCCAGGCGAGATGGCTCATTCCTAGAATCCCAGCACTTTGGAAGGCTAAGACCAGTGGATCATGAGGTCAAGAGATCGAGACCATCCTGGCCAACATGGTGAAATCCCATCTCTACTAAAAATACAAAAATATTACCCAGACGTGGTGGCACTCACCTGTGGTCCCAGATATTCCAGAGGCTGAGGAGGAAGAATCACTTGAACTTAGGAGGCCGAGGTTGCAGTGAACGAAGATTGGGCCAGTGCACTCCAGCCTGGGGACAGAGAAAGACACCTTCTAAGATAAACAAACAAACAAATAAATAAATAAATAAATAAGTAAAGAAATGCAAGACTGCCTCTAAATCATTATACAGATAGATTAAAAAATGAATAAATGCAAGCATGCACACAAATACATAAGTATAAAAATAATGTTGTGAGCCTGGGTCTCAATAAAATAAATGAGTACATGTGAGTCTGCCTCTAAATAATTAGATAGCTAGATAGATAAATACATAAACCTGTCTGCCTCCAAATATATAAATAAATACATAAATTCCACCTGCTTCTACATAAATATGTCAGCAAATAAATAAATGCAAGTCTTTCTCTCAATAAATCAATTAATAAATAGATAAATAAATCAATAAATAAGCAACCCTTCTTGGTGGCTCATGTTTTTAATCCCCCACCCATTGGTAGCCTGAGCTGGCTATATCATCTGAGGTCAGGATATCGAGACCAGTCTGGCCAAGATGGTAAAAGAAACCCTTTCTCTATTTAAAAATAAAATAAGATGAAAATAATTAAATAAGTAAGTAAAACTAGGCCGAACGCAGTGGCTAACACCTATAATCCCAGCACTTTGGGAGGCCAAGGAAGGTGGATCACGAGGTCGAGAGATTGAGACCATCCTGGTCAACATGGGGAAACCCTGTCTCTACTAAAAATACAAAAAATTAGCTGGTCATGGTGATGCGTGCCTGTAATCCCAGCTACTCAAGAGGCTGAGGCAAAAGAATTGCTTGAACCCAGAGGGCAGAGGTTGTGGTGAGCCGAGATCATGCCATTGCACTCCAGTCTGGGTAAGCACAGTGAAATTCCATCTCAAAAAACAAAATAAAAAAAAAGTAAAAATATAAATAAATAAATGCAATCCAGGTTTCCTGCCAATAAGTAAAGAAATCAGTAATTATGTAAATAAATAAATAAGGCTGGGCAACATGGCTCAGTCTGGTAATCCTAGCATTTTGGAAGGCCGAGACACTTGGAACACGAGGTCAAGAGATCAAGACCATCCTGGCCAACATGAAGAAACCCAGTCTCCACTATAAATAAAAAAATATTAGCTAGGCATGGTGGCATGCTCCTGAGGTCCCAGCTACAAGGGAGGCTGAGGTGGAAGAATTGCTTGAACCAAAGAGGGGGAGGTTGCAGTGAGCCAAGATTGTGCCACTGCACTCCTGCCTGGTGAGAGAGCAAGAATTCATCTAAAATCAGTGAATCAATGATCTAATCAATCAATCAAAAAAGGCAAGTCCACCTCTAAATCATTACATAGTTAAGAAAATGAATAAATGCAAGCCTGCACACAAATACATAAGTATATAAATAACTCTCAGCCGGTGTCTAAATAAATAAATGAGTAAAATGTAAGCCTGCCTCTAAATAATTAGACAGGTAGATAAATACATCAATCCAAGCCTGCCTCAAAATATATAATTAAATGCAACCTGCTTCTCTGTAAGTATGCCAGTAAATAAATAAATGCAAGTTTGTCTCTAAATAAATCAATTAATAGATAGATAAATAAATCAATAAATAAATAGCCCTGCTTGGTGGTTCATGGACAATGAACTGCTTTGGTAGTGATTTTGTTTTTTCTTCATTAGTAACCAACAGCCCAGCTAACCAAGAAATCATATACATTTGGGGGCCACATCAAACTGAAGGGTTTGTGCCTAACAATGAACAAATTGAAAAAGCATACTAAAAATTGTAAGAAAAATTTGGGCAAACATTCAGTTGGATAAGGGGTTATTTTTGAAAAGGTACAAGCCAGAAACACTACCGGCTGGCAAAAAAAAAAAAAAAAAAAAAAAAACAGCAGAAAAATAACCAAACCAAATAACCTGAAGAGATATTTGTGCAGACAAGAAACTGATGCAACATTTTCAAAAATGTGGTTACCATTACTACGCATAAGAAAAATGAAGATCAAAACCACACTCAGATCTTATCTCACTCCCAACTAGAATGAACATTACAAACAGAGTAAAATATTTAAAAAGACAACTTCTAGTATGAATTTCACAAAGGGGAATTGTTTGTGGAAACATAAATTAAGTATTAACGCTATAAAAAACAGTTGGTGGTCCTGCAAAGAATAGAAAAGAAAAATACCATACCATCTAGCATTCCCACTACTGGGTATACATTCTACCTACCTGTCCATCCACAAAGGGATTAAGAAACTTTCATATGCATACACTAGGGAATATTCTTCAGCCACCAAAATGATGAAACAGTGTCATGTGGAGCAACCCAGATGAACCTGGAAAACATTATGTTAAATATAATGAGCTGGGCCAAGAAAGACAAACACTGAATCTTAAGATGTCTGTCTTAAAAAGGTAGAAAGCACAATATTGGTTACCAGGGTCTGGGAGCTAGAGGGGGAGTAGGGATTGGTTATGGAAGCAAAGTTATCTTAATCTTAAAGAAATCAATCTGAGTGTTCTCCTCAGCCTGGTGACTGGAGTTAACAATACTATATTTTTCAAAGAACAAGAAAGGAGAATTTTGAGTGTTCTCTCCACACAAAAATAATATCTTATGAGGGAATAGAGATCCTAAGTACCCTGATTTGATCATTACCTAATCTATATGTGTGAAAATGTACCCTTAATTATGCACCTTTATGTTGTGAAAAAAAGTTAACAGAAATAAATACATATTGCTAAAAATCACAGGGAACCATAAAAACAATTCATATCTAAAGGAATCCTGAGAAATACAATCAAAGTGAGAACCCATAATCCTCGATATAAATCACACTGCCAAGCTGAAGTCATGCCACAGATATATAGTACTTGGATAAAAACGATACCTAGAGTTGGTTCATGCCTGTAATTACAGCACTTTGGGGGGGCAAGGTGGGAAGATTGCTTGAGGCTGGGAGTTCAAGACCAGCCTGGGCAAAATAATGAGACTCCATCTCTATATTTTAAAAAAGATATTAAAAACAAAACTACCTTATGCCCCAGTAATCCCTCTTTTAGGCATATATACAAAGGATATATAACCACCATGCCATAAATATATCTTTCCTACCAAGTGTATTACAGCACTATTCACAGTAGCCAAGATATGGAAACAACCTGAGTGTCTTGTCAACAGAGAAACAATGGATAAATAGAATATTATTCAGTATTTATAAAAAGAGATATCCTGCCATTTGCCACAACATGGAGGGACATGGAGCACATGTTGCTAAGTGAAGTAACCCAGACACAGAAAGACAAATACTGCATCATTTCACTTGTAGGTAGAATCAAAAGAAAGAGAGAGAGAGAGAGAGAGAGAGAGAGAGAGAGAGAGAGAGAGAGAGAGAGAGAGTCAAATATACAGAGATAGAGAATAAAACAGGAGCTAACATGAACATGGGGGAGGTAGAGATGGAGACATGTATGTTAGAAGTTATACAGTAGCAGATACATAGGATAAAAAACACCAGAGATCTGATGTACATGAGAACTATAATGAATAAAACTATATTTGGGATTCCTACAAAATAAGTAATTTTAACTGCTCTTGCCACAAAAACAAATAAAAATGAGTAACTATGAGATGATAGATATGTTAACTTATTTCACTATAGTAACCATTTTACTATCCATATGTATTTCATGACATTGTGTTATAGACCTTAAATATACACAATAAAATCTATTTTTTAAAATAAAAATACTATTTTTAAAAGGAATCTTGTAAGACACCTGAACTTCAGAGCTTGCTACTCTGTCCTGCGATAGCAGGCTTCTAACACTCTAAAAAGTTTGTAATTTGTTGGTTTTCTTGTTAAATAACTTTTTGCTCATTTAAATGTACATTATTATATCTTTCTACCTTCTATAAGACATAAATATATGTGAGGTTTTTCAGGAGAGTTTATTTTATTTTAAACTTAGTTTTGTAATATAAAAAGAGAATTACTGGTACTGCCCTTTCTTCACATGCTTGAAGGTTTAAAACAAATCTGCAACTGTTAAATTACTTAAGAGTTTAAGAATCTGTTTCTTTTGAATAAATGCCTTATGTCTTAATAGTGAATTGTACTGTTAGATCTTACAAAAATAAATGTGAAAGGGATGTTCTGCAAGATGGAAGAAACTTGCAAATTTAGATCTTTGTAATTTTTATTGTTAATTTTCTATTAGAGAATAACAATCACTGCAGCACCCTAGAACATATACAAGAGGGAAAAATCATTCACAATGATTATAGCCTGACATTAACAGTATTTGCATTTTTGTGTTTCCCAAGCCTGTATTTTCCTGTGGATGTTAAACCATGGCTCTAGCTATAATCCTTATATATATATGAGTATTTCTATGCATATTTTATAAGGGTCTAATCTTAGTGTGGAAACAATTTTCTATCTTTTCTACAGTACTATCTAATACACACACACACACACACACATATATATAAAATTGTATAGGCTCACTAATATCATTTAGTGACTAATTTTCTATCTTGTGATGTCATGCACATATACACACATATAATGCCATGTGATCACTCAAAACATTAATTTAGTGAATGAAATTTAACGACACATATAGTTATTGCAAATATCCCTTGACTGTTACTATTAGGTTGCCTTCCATTGTTTATCATGATGAATTATGCTGAAATCATTAACTTTATATACCTAAATCTTTTTTCATAATTTGATTTCCTAGAAAAACTCTAACAAATAGATTTACTCTATCATAGGTTGTAAGCATTTTACAATCCTTGATAAATTATGCTTTTCCAGATGATAATAATTTATATTAATACAAATGATGTCTAAGAGATTGCAACTTGACACAATTGGCACCATCACTAATTTTCCCAGTGCTAACTGGTGTGTACAAAAAAATGCCAACTGGTTTTAATTTGCATTAATTTATAAGAAGGATAATTATTTTATACATTTACTTAACAATTTGTTTCTAAATTTTATATAAAATTTCAAATGGCTTCATTTTGGAGCTCAGATATATATGTATTTTTATATAGTTATATACAAATAATACACATATAATTTGCCTATAGGGTTTTAAAAATCAAATTGTAAGGATTGTTGATATTAGAAAGATATTTAATTTTGCTAAGTTTGCCACAAGTATGGTACCAAATTATTTATTTCCTTTTTTAATACAAGTTTAATATTTTTACATTCTTCAATCTAACTCAGGGTATTGAATATGTGTTATTTTATGGATCCTAAGCCTGAAAAACTCATTTCTCTATATAATTTGGATAAATGTTTGATTTTAATCTTTTTTTAAACATTTTTTATATTTTTAAAATGTGACACAGGTAACCATAAAGTATATATAAGTGTGCACAATTTAATAATTATAAGGTGAACACCTTTATAATCACCAACTAATTCAATAAATCTAACATTTTCAGCATTCTAGAAGCTTTATGCATGTGGCTATCTAATCACAATCCTTCTTTCCCCTCCTGGAGGTTCCCATACGATTTCACCTGACTGGTGAAAATCATTTTCTTGCTTTAAAAAAAAACTGATTTCACTACTTAGGACTTAAATATTCAACTGTAAGCTATTTAATTTTGTCCATGTTTATCCAACATATTGTACCATACTATATGCATTATTTTGTGTCATGTTTCCTCTGCTCACCATTTTGTGGTTAAGATTCACCCATGAATTGCATTTAGCTGTAAGTTCATTTCCTTTGCTACCGACTAGTCATTTGGCATTTCCATGAATAAGTGATATTATGAACAATTTTATATGTGTATTTTAGTGCAAATGTGCAAGATTTGCTCCAGAATAAGTACTTGGGAGTAGAATTGCTGGCTGCAGTCTACTCATATCTTAAACTTTTGTATAACCAAACTTTTTTCCAATATGTGTATACTAATTCACTCCCACCAGCAATACATGAGAATTATCTTGCTCTACACTGCTCACCACTTAATATTGTGAGAACTTTACTTTCTTGGTATGGTAGTTTCAAAATGTAAGTCAGTGTGATTTCAATTTGGAGTTTTCTGATAATGAATGAAGTTGACCATAGATTCATGTTTTTTAGCCATTTGTATTTCCTCATTTGTGAAGTGTATGTGCAATTCTTCTACAACTATTTTCAATGGAGAGATACGGTTTTCTCATTAATTTAGAGAAATTTTATTCATCTAGACGCTAGTAGCTTTTCTGTGTAATTTAAAATAAGAATTCATAATTTAAATATACTTGAACCTGTTGTTTTAAAAACTTATTTCCTACACTGATACCATGAAAGAAGTTTCCATTATTGTGACCCTAAGTGCTTTCAGGTTTTATTTTCTCATATTTAGGCTTGTAATTTACCTGAAATTGCTTTTAAGTACAGTATGACATAGTAGTCCAATTTCATTTTATGAATAACTTCTATTTTTAGTTTTCTGTTTTTTCCCGTCTGTTTGGGATTGGAATCTACATGCTTTGTTTATATTCCTTTAGTAGTTGCACAAAACATTCCAACTTGCATATCTAATTTATCACAAGCTAAGCTAATGGTACAGGCTGAGAAGCCCTCATCGGAAAAGCGGAAATCCAAAATACTCCCTTTGCGCATCACATTGGTCCTCAAAATGTTCTGGATTTTGAAGCATTTCAGGTTTGGGATTTTTGGATTAGAGACATTGAATCTATATCTTTATTCTTCTCTTGGACAGTACCAAGACCTCTGACAAATTGAAGTTCATTTTTCTTGTCCAAACTTGTATATTATAGTCATGTATTTTAATTCTACTTTATTTACACATTTTGAGACAGTCTTGCTCTGTCACCAGGCTGGAGTGCAGTGGCACAATTTCAGCTCACTGCAACCTCCACCACCTGGGTTCAAGCGATTCATCTGCCTCAGCTTCCCAAGTAGCTGAAACCACAGGTGTGTGCCACCATGCTCGGCTACTCTACTTTATATTTTAAAGCCAATTATATAGCTTTATCATAGTTTTATGCAACTTTTATGCAGATTTCACAATGTACCTGCCACTTTTTCTTTTTGTTCACTTGCAAATCAGACCTTCCAACCAAGATAACTTTTTTTCTTTTTTGCCTTCCCTCAAACTTTTACCACAAGATCACTTTCTACTGAAAATACCCCCAGATTACATGTAATGAGGGTTTCTGAGCTTTTCTTTTTCTAAACTTTATTTTGCCTTTCTCTTTAAAGGATACTTTCAGCAGGAGTAAAGTTCTAGCTTGGTAGTTACTTTATTTACACATCATTAAGTACATCAAACAACTATCTTCTGGCTTCCATGATGGCTCTCAATAAGGGAGCTTGCAGTTTGTCATTCATTTGAATGTAATCTGTTCATTCTGTTTACTTGCTTTAAGTTGGTATGTGTGCTTGGCATGCTGCAGTTTCTATGGCTTGGCTGGTATGGATTCTTTCTTCTTCAATTTACCCTACTTGTGATTCACTGAAATTCCTGAATCTCAAGATAAGTGTCTTTTATCAATTCTGGTAAACTTTGAGATATTATCTCACCAAGTATTGATTATGCCTCAGTCTTTCTAGGGATTCTAATTAGGTATATTTTTAAATCTTCTCAATCTATCCTTCATTTCTCTTTCAAATTTCTTGTCAATTGGTGTTATGTTCTGAATATTTTCTTCTCTATTTTTCAGTTTACTAATTCTCTCTTCAGATGTATCTAATCTCCCATGTGTGGTGTGGTGTGGTGCTGTATAATTCAATTGATTAACTTATTTACTTGTTTCTAAAATTCTATTTGGCTTTCAAACCTGCTGGATTGTTTTAAATATTTTCTATGGCATATAAATTTTAAAATTTGCCTTCTACTTCTTTAAGAATATTATTTTAAAATCTGTGTCTGATACTTCCAACATCTGAAGTAGTTATAGACTTGTTTCTGCTGGTTCCTTATTTCCATGTGTAGGTTAAAAATTTTTTTATAGTAAGCTCTGCATTTTCCCCCCCCAAAAAAAATGGTTTTGGAAACACCTGGATAAGGGAATCTTCCAGAGAGAATTCATGTTTGTTTCTGCTGAGATGTTTCCAGTTCAAAATGATGAAGATGAGAAAGTTAAAAACTTGCAGTCTGGGCCACAAGTGGTGGCTTGCCCCTGTAATCACAGCACTTTGAGAGGCTGAGGTAGGCAGATCACAAGGTCAAGAGATTGAGACCATCTTGGACAACTTAGTGAAACCCCATCTCTACTAAAAATGCAAAAATTGCTCTCCACGGTGGCACATGCCTGTGATCCTAGCTACTTGGGAGGCTGAAGCAGAGAATCACTTGAACCCAGGAGGCAGAGGTTGCAGTGAGCAGACATCACACCACTGCACTCCAGCCTGGGAACAGAGTGGGACTCTGTCTCAAAAATAAGAAATAAAAAACAGAAAACAAAAACTTACCGTCTGTGCTAATAGGACATATAGAAAAAGACTAACCAGGCAAACCACTAGTAGAAAGTTTGTATCTTTTATTCAGTAATGGATTTGGGTGATAAACCTAGTATGCATAACTTATCTTGCTCAAAGGCAAATGTATAGGCTTATTGGTATATCTCCGTTTCTAGATCAATGTTTCTTGAAGTACAATATATGGATCACCTAAACAGAATCAGCTGGGTGAACATTCTTGTTAAAATGAAGATCCTCAGACCCTCTGACAGGCCAAATGAATCAGAATGAGGGAGCGAGGGCTAGAGAACTGGCATCTAATGAGGCTCCCTAAGGGCTTCTCATACAAACTAAAATTTAAGAAAAGAGAAAGACAGAAAACATGAGGTGGAAAGAGATACAGAGAAACAAAATCAGAGACAATGAGGAGTGGGGTGTTATGCTTGCCCTGTGTTATAGAAGGCATCACATATCAAGCTCTAAAAGCTGAATGCAATATGCCTATTAAAATATTATAATTAGGCCAAAGACTTTTCAGAGAAATGAACACAAACATCTTATCAAATCACCTAACAAGTATGTTAGGTGATTTAGCGCTCCACACTATACAAAGCATTTCAAAGGGTATGAAAACCAAGGCAGGCAAAAATCTAACCCATAACATCTAATAATACCAATGAAATAGCATCAACCTCTGCTGGACAAATTTCGTTGTAATTCCTACATTATTTTTGGCTACAATAAATCAAAAGTAGAGATGCATCTTCATTAGTCATGAAATCAAGCAAGACTGAAGGGCATAGTTTTTCAGATATCCATGGGGAGACTTTTGGGTAGACTCTGGGCTACCCTACAGCTTTTACAAAAAGAATTGTGGGAATGTCAGTTTGACCTTCTCCCTGTAAGTCTCCAGGTATAAATATTAGCAGTCAGGTTGAGAATGTGAGGCTTATGTCAAATATTTCTTTTTTTTAGCTGCCATCTAATCAGGACCAGCTGCTTTGACTTTTAACTTGCTTTTAAATGCATCTCTACTCTTAAAATTCATGAACTATGCCCTTACTGATATTGATTTGTCCTTTGATTCCCTTATGATGAAAAAAAGTCTTTATACATTAGCTTAAACTGTGACCACATTTAAAGACACAAAAGCTGAGTATGAATTTTTTTTAAAGGCTATCATGTTGGCTGTGAGTCCCGTACATTGCCTTGAAATGGCAGACTGCAATTAAACTCGTCTAAATTCCATGAACTGTACTGAGCACCCACTATGCACTGGCTCTGTGGATATCAAGACAAATGAGACAGAGTCCTGGTTGGATCAATAGATTATTTATTCCCTTTCCCTTTTATCTCCTATTCCTAAGAAAACCAGAAAGAGTGTGAGTCAAGGACATTAGACAGCTCCAAGTTCAATACTCAGATGTATGTGAGCTTACACAATTAATGAGCATTGGCTTTTGACATATGAAAATTTGTAAGTTGATACCAAAGAAAGTACATTTGCTAAAAGACTGCTTGGGCCGGGTGCAGTGGCTAAAGCCTGTAAACCCAGCACTTTGGGAGGCCGAGGTGGGCTGATCACAAGGTCAAGAGATTGAGACCATCTTGGTCAACATGATGAAACCCCATCTCTACTAACAAAACAAAAATATTAGCAGGGCATGGTGGCACGCGCCTGTGGTCCCACCTACCCAGGAGGCTGAGGCAGAATTGCTTGAACCCAGGAGGCAGAGGTTGCAGTGAGCTGAGATCGCACCACTGCACTCCAGCCTGGCACTTGGCAACAGAGCAAGACTATCTCAAAAAAAAAAAAAGTTTGAAGCTGTCCAGAGCCATTTTCCTGATGAACAAGGAAACGGCATCATTATTTTATAGCTGTAGGATTCTCTTCTTCCTGTCTCCCTCTCCTTCTTTTCTTCTCCTGTGCTCCCCACAGTGTGGTTACCCACTTCTCTGTGACCCAGCCCTAAGTCTAAAGCCCAAGTGCCCCAAGCAATGGCTGTGCAGACATCAACTTTGAAAGAGTGCTCTGAACTCAGTGTGGAGCTGCAGGAAGAAGATATGGAGAACAGTTGTATGTGGACCACATCAGGAAGGCAGGTTGGCTAAATGTTTATCTGACAAGCTTTCATTTGTGCAGAGCCCACCTGCTATTTGGTGCCAGCAATAGACAAAACTGACTCAATGTGATTCATGTGACTATCCTGGCAAACTGCAACCAACTGAAGGTCACCTAAGCACCCATGCCATGTGTGCCTAACGGCCGCCATCAAGATGCTCTAAAGGGCTGCACCTGGCAGGCAGTTCAACAGCCCAGTGTGCCAGGTACCATGCTGAGGTGTCTCTTTCTGTCCTAGCCCTTCTTCTGTCCATATGCCTAGAGGCCCATTGAGAGCCCGAGCTCTGCTGAAAAGGTGAAGCCCTCCTATACTACGTTACACAACACAACTGTCTCACCACTGAATCTTTCATCTTCTTGGGGAGAGGATCAGCAGCTGACTCTTCCAGATTTTGATGTAAAAACTTAGGAAACAGTCTGCATTGAATGAAAAACCTGAAAGTGGAAAAACACATAGGTTTTACTTTATCAAAGACGTTCCTGGGACAGTGTTTTTGGTAAATAACTTCACCTTAGATCTCACACCCACACATGACAAAAGCAAGTGCTCTCTTCATTTAAAAATCTAAAAAGAGGTACATGTTCAAGTGATCATAATTCTAAATTTCACCCTAATAAGAGCAGTCAAGTACCTCAGCAGCATCATCACCCTCTACTGTCAGCAGTGGGACAAAGGAACGGTCCTCCATCTCTGACAGCCCACTAGAGCTTCATCTTCACAAACAATTAGCAGCAGAAAGTGAACACTGAAGTAATACAACTGACACTAAAAAGTGTGAGAACCATTTAACTTTTCTTTTTTCCATTTTTCATGCCTTTGATACTGCCGCATCTAATAGCCTAAAATTATGCTGTCTCTGGTCCTCCAAGAGCATGGTTATCTTAAATCAAAATTTTTCATAAATTTAAACACATTACATAAGATGCTACTGTCAGTATCAGAAACTCACTCTGGCATCACTTGAAAGACTTCCAGTGCCAGAGTACATGTGACCAAAGACTTAAAAGATATGATTAAAGGGAAGATTGCAATGTATACATTCACGTTACTAAGGATCACATTAAATACATTTTAACACTTTGGTGCAAATCTCAATTTAAATCCAGAGGGCATTGGCCAGATTGAGAACCAACACCACCACAACAAAATAGAACAAAAACCTTTCCTTTCAGAAGTGCTGGTTTAGTCTCCACAGGTAACTGCCTAAATGCAGGGATGCAGTTTAATGGATCTAGAGAAAGTATTGTTGAGGTGGTAGCTTCTCACCCAACTCACCCAAGGGAAAGTCACAACAGGGCTTGGGTGCTATTGGCCATCTGTTCCTGCCACTGCATTTTACTCCAAATCAAAGGAGCAAAGCCAAAATGTTTGCTGGATGTTCACTTTTAACTGTTATTAATTTCTGGTTGGTCCTGTATTTCTCCTGCCCTCCTCTGGTGAATGACCAGCTAGTTTAATGAGAGTCAAATTACAATGGGCAGTGATTTGCCATCTCCCCACCTCAGTGAGGGCAAAAAGTTGCGGAAACCGTACCCCCTGCTCAGTGATGACAGCACAGGCGTAGGTCACTCACATTAACACAGATGGGTCACTGCTCTACCAGCTCAGATGGTAGGAAAGGGTGACCAAGAGGCCATAGAAGGCTGAGAACAGCATCAGGATGTGTTACGTGCTCCACGGTTCCTCAAGAAAATATGTCAGTTAGCCAAGTCACTCCACAGTTATGTGAATAGCAGGATCTCTATCAAACATTAGAAACATCTCCACAGTCCAGCTGGAGAAATGAGTTAATTCCTGTGATCATTCCTGCCCATGGACATATAAGCATCTAGTGGGCACACAAAAAACTCACCTGTTGGTTTATGAACATTGATTTTCATAAGGGATTGGGGTAGGGGGAGTTTTGACTAATTGTAAATACTTCTAAGAATAAAACTGAATCTTCCCTGAAATTAAGCTTAGGATTTTTTATAGAATGTAATATTAAACATGTGTCACTCTTCTGAATTCAATGTAACAATTATAATAATTATATTTCTCAATGTTTATTGATAGTCAAAATGGCATAAGTGTAAAAGTGGCATAAGAGATTAAACAGACTAATAAACTGAAAACTTGATAAAGATTAAAGATAGCTGAAAGATTTCCAGTGCAAGAGTACACTGCTACTAAAGACTTAAGATATGATTAAGTGAAAGATTGTAATGTATACATTCATGTTATTAAGGAATACACTAAATCCATTTTAACACTTTGGTACAAATCTCACTTTAAATGGCGTAAGCAAAGAAAGAGCAGTTATTTGAAATAAAAAAAGAAAGGCACTTTGGGTTTAATTTGATAGAAGCACAGATGTCAGTATCAACACATGTACTCAGCCTGGTAGAGCAGAACTTGAAAAATACATGTTACCAGCCCAAGCAGTGTGGTGGCCTGGGACTCCAAGTCTCCTTCTATACACACCTGCTGCTCCCACCAAAACAAACATGTCTCTCTCTCACATGCCAAGAAAACATCTACATATTAACTGTCTCAATCACCATCAACAGAATCACTGATCCCTTCTGAAAGCTAAATTTAGTCAAGAAATTAAATACTTTTTTCTCAAGATTTTTTTTTAAGATGGGTTGTCAATTGTGCTCACATGATGTTCAAATGAACGAGTCAAGTGTACTTAGCAGTTATCCTCTGTAACTGCTAAGATAGGCTGGAAAGCAAATATACCCTGGATAGAGCAGGTGATTTTATTTTTGAATGCTTCATTTTCTTACAAATTAAAATGTATTTCTTTTACCCTCCCCATTGTAGAAGTCTTAATGCCTGACAGCAGTACCTGGAATGCAAATTGCAGGGAGCCGACTCTCACAGAGACTGTTGAGCTGCATAGTTATAAGGTCAGGAAGTAAGACTCACTGTCTCCAGATGCTTCCCCACACCAAGACATCCCGCGTGCCTCTCAGATCAGCTTCCCCAGAGGTCAGGTGGATTGTCTTTTCCAGAGCCCTAAGGTACCATGGCTGCATTCATTATTTTTCAGATTCTGTGCAGATGTCTTCCTCACCAATTTTGTTAAAAAACTTAAACCCAGTGATGAAGCATCCTCCATGGACCTTGTCTCCCTTTGGAGTTTTCATCAGCAACACCTTCCCTTCCAGTATCCAAGGAAGAGGTGTACTTCCTCCTTCCTGAGCCAAACCCTCCCCTCAGATCATGATGTCCTACTCTTTTTCATTGGTCCCCTCTGCCCTGCCTTTAAAAATACTTAAGTTGCTAACATCTTTTTTATTTTGAGATGGAGTCACTATCACCCAGGTTGGAGTGCAGTGGACACGATCTCACCTCACTGCAACAACCTCCACTCACTTCAACCTCCACCTCCCAGGTTCAAGTGATTCTCCTACCACAGCCTCCCGAGTGCCTAGGATTACAGGTGTGCACAACCACAACCAGCTAATTTTTTTGTTATCACCATGTTGGTCAGGGTGGTCTCAAACTCCTGACCTCAGGTGATCTGCTCCCCTTGGCTTTTCAAAGTGCTGGGATTATAGGCATGAGCCACCATACCCGGCCAGTTGCTGACATCTTTAACAAATAAAGTCAGTCCTCCTTCCCCTTGTTCCAGTTGCCCTCGAAAGCTACTGTACTATCCTAGTCTGTTTTGGCTGATATAACAGAATACCAGAGACTGTGGCTTATAAACCACAGAAATTTATTTCTCACATTTCTGAAGGCTGAAAGCCCATGGTCAAGGTGGAGGAAGGAGAAGGTTTGTTGTCTGGGGAAGCCCTGATTCCTAGATGGTGCCTGTTTGCTGTGTTCTCAGGTGGTAGAAGATGTAAGAGAGCACTCTAGGGCCTCTTTGACCAGGCACTAATCCGATTCATAAGGACTCCTCCCTCAATAGCTGCAATCACCTCACAAAGTCCTCACCTCTGATACCATTACATTGGATTCAACATGAACTTGGAGGCAGACATTCAGTCTATAGCATATGCTATCCCTCTTTTTTCTTTTTTTTCTTTTCTTTTTTTTTTTTTGAGACGGAGTTTCCCTTGTTACCCAGGCTGGAGTGCAATGGTGTGATCTCCGCTCACTGCAACCTCCGCCTTCTGGGTTCAAGCAATTGTGCTGCCTCAGCCTCCTGAGTAGCTGAGACTACAGGTGCGTGCCACCATGCCCAGCTAATTTTTTTGTATTTTTAGTAGAGACAGAATTTCACCATGTTGACCAGGATGGTCTCAATCTCTTGACCTCATGATCCACCCGCCTCGGCCTCCCAAAGTGCTGGGATTATAGGTGCGAACCACTGTGCCCTGCCCCCTCTTTTTTCTTTAAGTGCCATCCCAGCTTTTTGAAGGTCTGGGCTCCACATTTCACTTCTGGTCATCGGTGAATAACTCAGTAGTCTCTGTTATACTGGATACCTTTAATGACTGGAGGTCCTACCGCAAGCTGTGTGACTTTGCCCTCCCAAAGTGCTAGGATTACAGGCATGAGACACTGCCCAGCCTTAGTATTATTATTAAGACAGAGTTTAGCTCTTATTGCCCAGCCTGGAGTGCAATAGTGCAATCTTGGCCCACGGCAACCTTCACCTCCCGGGTTCAAGTGATTCTCAAATGATTCAATCCTCCCAAGTAGCTGGGACTACAGGCATGCACCACCACGCCCAGATAATTTTTGCATTTTAGTAGAGATGGGGCTTTACCATGTTGGTCACGCTGGCCTCAAACTCCTGACCTTAGGTGATCTACCTGCCTTGGCCTCCAAAAGTGCTGGGATTACCCAATACCCACAGTGTTGGGCAGTGTGTAAAGACAGCTGGAGCCAGAATGTTCGTGAGCTGATTATTGTTGAAGCTGGGTGTCAGTACATAGGGTTCATTATGCATTCTCTAGCTGTTATAGACAGAAATTCCCATAATAATTGGTTTTAAAAGAAATCAGCCAGGCAAAGTGGCTCATGCCTATAATAATTCCTGCACTTTGGGAGATGAAAGTAGAAGGATGGCTCGGGGCCAGGAGTTTGAGACCAGCCTGGGCAACACAGGAAGACCCTGTCTCCACAAAAAATTCAAAAAATTAGCCAGGCATGGTGGTGCACACCTGTAGTCCCAGCTACTTTGGAGGCTAAAGTGGGAGGACCATTTGAGCCCAGGAGTTTGAGGCTGCAGTGAGCTATGACTGCACCATTGCACTCCGGCCTGGGTGACAAAAAGAGACCCTGTCTCTAAAAAATAATTTTTAAAAATATATTTAATTAATTTACATATCTGAAGATGGAGTTTCACTCTGTCATCCAGGCTGTAATGTAGTGGCATCATCTCGGCTCCCTACATCTCCCAGGTTCAAGCAATTCTCCTACCTGAGCCTCCTAAATAGCTGGGATTACAGCTGTGAACCACCACACCCAACTAATTTTTGCATTTTTATTAAGAGACATGATTACACCATGTTGGCCAGGCTGGTCTCAAAATCCTGAACTCAAGTGCTCCACCTGCCTCAGCCTCCCAAAATGTGAGATTCCAGGCGTGAGCCACCATGACAACCTTTTATATAAATTTTCTTTTTTAAAAGGGTTCTGGTTGGGTCAGTTGACAGGCCCCAGGTCCCTTGAGTCTCATTTACTTCCATTGCATGGCAGCAGCTTCTGTCCCTTCCCTGTTCCCCAGGAACAGGAGCCAGCACACCACTCCTTCCCTGCCCAGGTCCTCCAGCCCCACCTTGCCTCCCCCCAAGGCCACTCTCCTGGCAAGCCCACCCCAGTGCCTGGGATCTAGGGGAGGAGAGGCAGGTGGGTGTGGTCTTGCCTGCAGTGTAGAGATGATGCCAGTGGCCACCTGAAGCACAGCACTCATGGTGTCTGACACTTCAAACAAAGCTTTCCTGTCCTCCTGGGAGGAACATGGCAGAAGATGAGGGCCTAGCAGCCTCTTGGCACCCAGGATCCCCACAGCCCCACCCCACACTGAGGCATCCCTGCTGCCTTCCATGGGAAGAATACTCAGTACCCAAAGGAAGGGCCGAGGGCTCCAAAAGCAGCCACAGATGGGGCTGAGTGCATAGGATTGGAGTAGGTATGGCAATCTTGAGGGTCCCTGCCTGGGTATGCCAGAACCCCGAGAACTGGCACATGGTGTGTAGGCAGGCAGGCCTCCCACAGCCACCATCCCCAGCCTCACAACTGTAGGTCTTTGTTGCAGGTGCTGGAAAGTCCCTTGAGGATCATCAGGAGCACAGAATGTTGCAAGAAGAGGGAGGCATGGGGTTGGACCAGGAATTCTGCCCCCGCCGGGGACCTCACATCCACACTTCCTTTCTCCCTGCCATGCTCATCTGCCCAAACACACACCCTGCTTTGCTCCAGATCAACTCCAAGCTGTCGGGGTTTCTCTTCTGGGGCATCAGACTGCTTCTGGTGCTGCGGACAGAGATGCAGGCACTGAAGGGGCTAGACCCTTGTCTGGTCCAGCAGCTCACTGTCCAGGTCCGGCAGAGGGCAGGGAGGAAGGAAGCCATGCCTAAGGGGTGTGGAGAATGCAGAGGCTGGGGGAGGCAGGTGGAAGTGGCAGTTCAGGGCTTACCTGTAGGCATCTGAGAGCTACACGAAGCTGAATTCCTTGGTGCCACAGAGGATGAGGTCCCTGGCCATCCTGCTGAGATGGGTAATGCAGAATGAAGCCTAGAACAGGAACTCAGCTGTGAGAAAGAAAAGATTCCCAGTCACCAAGCCTCTCTGGTACTCACTCAGCCTGACCATACAGGGAGAAAGAGGACGTTAGGTGGTGGGGGGGACCTGGCTACATTTTCATTTTTTTTCCAGACAGAGTCTGTTCTGTTGCCAGGCTGGAGTGCAGTGGTGAGATCTTGGCTCACTGCAGTCTCCACCTCCTAGGTTCTAGCAATTCTCCTGCTTCATCCTCCTGAGTAGCTGGCACCATGGCCAGCTAATTTTTCTATTTTTGTTAAAGACGGGATTTCACCATGTTGGCCAGGGTAGTCTTGATCTCTTGACCTTGTGATCCACCTGGCTGGGTCTCCCAAAGTTCTTGATTAGAGGTGTGAGCCACTGTGCCTGACCTAAATTTTCATTCTGAGTAAAGATGGAGTCTTGCTATGTTGCCCATGCTGGTCTAAAACACCTGGCCTCAAGTAATCTTCCTGCCTTGGCTTCCAAAATATACTGGAATTACAAATGTGAGCCACTGCATTTAGCCTGTTTTTTCTTATTGTTGTTGTTTTAAATAAACCAGCTTTGGCTGGGTGTGGTGGCTCACTCCTGTAATCCTAGCACTTTGGGAGGCCAAGGTTGGCAGATCATGAGGTTAGGAGATCCAGACCATTTTGGCCAAAACAGTGAAACCCTGTCTCTACTAAAAATACAAAAATATTACCCAGGTGTGGTGGCACGCACCTGTAATCCCAGCTACTTGGGAGGCTGAGCCAGGAGAATCACTTGAACCCAGGAGGTGATGGTTGCAGTGAGCCGAGATCGTGCCATTGCACTCAAGTCTGGCAACAGAGCAAAACAAAACAAAAAATAAGATAAACCAGCTTTACTGAGGTATTGTTCACATACAATCTACCCATTTATTTATTTTTATTTTATTTTTCGAGATAAAGTTTCAGTCTTGTTGCCCAGGCTGGAGTGTACTGGTGTGATCTCAGCTCACTGCAGCCTTGGCCTCCTGGGTTCAAGCGATTCTCCTGCCTCAGCTCTCCAAGTAGCTACAGGTGCCCACCATCACACCTGGTTAAATTTTGTATTAGTAGAAATGGGGTTTCACCAAGTTGGCCAGTGCTGGGATTACAGGCGTGAGCCACTGTGCCCTGCCCAATTTACTCATTTAAAGTTTACACTTTAGTGTACAAGCAGTCTGACCATACAGGAGTAGGAGAAGACTGGAGAGAAGCTGGGCTGCGGGACAGAAGTGAGGCACAGGGCAGGGGACTGGCTCCCCAACACTCACCCATGAAGTCACGCTCACTGGTGGCATCCATGCTGTGAAGAGTGATGGCACCAAAGTTGAGTTCTGGGGGTTGGGAGGAAGCAGGGCTGGGCTGGAGAATAAGGAGTGTGGCCTCCTCTTCCCTAACCGGGTTGCCTGGCCCCCTCCCCCTGGAAAAAATATCAGGGAAGAGGATTAGGGTGGGTGGGGTGGGAGCTGGGGGGAGGCATCTTTTCCAGTCTCAGGAGGGAGGTAGGAGCCCTGAGTCTCTCAGTACCAGGCGCCCCTGCCATGGGTGGCCCTTGGCCTAGATAAGCTCAGTGCCCATAGGCAATGAATGATGGTTTAACCAGGGGCCACAGGCTCCTGCCTTCTGGTGTGTCTGCATCTCCTGGCGAGTGCTGAGGGTGACTCTCCCTAGGGAGGAGGGACAGGGTATCTCACCTGCTCAGAGCAGCTCTCTGTCTATACCCAGGGGATTGCCCAAAATGGCTCTGCTTCAGGGACAGGGATTCATGGTGACCAGGGCTCCTGGAAGGCAGCCCTGACAGACAGACAGACAGACACACACACCCACACACACACAGAATGAAGTCCTAGTTGCCAGGGCAACCACCTGGAGCTCAACCTCTTCCCTGGCCCAGTCACCTTGGGTCCACAACACTTGTCCCCTCATGTCTCCTGAACACTTATCCCCAAGCACCGAGTAACCTTGGGTGCAGAACCCTTGTCTCCTGACACATGTCCCCATATGTCAGGCTGAGGGCAGTGGGCTGGACTCACTAGGTGCCTCACTGAGGAGGCCAGCCCTGCTCAGACACATTCACTGGCTTAAATGTCCCCACCTTAGCAAGACCTGGGGCTCCATGCAGGGTCCCCCTCTGAGCAGATAACCTGATTTTCTAACCCTTTCTGCCCTTCCCAGCTCATGTGTGAATCCCTAGGCTATGCAGCAGCCAACCTCACCAGGCCCTTAGGGCACTGGAGTCTCACCCACCTCCCCAGGGGCAGGACACCAATCAGCTTCTGAACCTCCAGCAGCTGCTCAGAGTCTAGGGTCAGCACCATGGCACCACTGTAGAAAGCCAGGGGTAGGAGGGTCAGGGAAGCCAGGGTCCTCCCATCCAATACAGCCCCAGCACCTCACCCAGCTCACCTCAGGATCCAGTGGCTCCAGGGAAGGGGCTGGGCCCTCTGCAGGTGGGTGTACCCTGGGAAGAGGATGTCATGTTCCCTGTGGGAGAGGAGGAGCAGGGACTCAGGTGGAGGCCAGGTCAAGGCCTGCCAGCGTCACTGGGACACTGCAGGCCTGGGTCACCCCGGGAAGAAGTGTTGCCCTACAGCACTGCACCTGAATGAGGGATCCAGGATCTCTCAGGAACAAACTGCTCTCAAGGGAAAAAGAGGACAAAATGGGGCCATGTGAACCATGGACTGGGCCTGAGCTGTGGGGCTCCTGGGGTGAGGCTTTGCCAGGAACACCCAAAGCCTGAGCCTCTGTCACTCAGCATCTCCCAGCAGGGGCTAGAACAAGGGAGGAGGCCCATGTTGGGTATGACTTGGGTAAGACTTGGGAGGTTTCATTTGAGGACCCCAGAAATAGCTGGGGCTCATAAAGAGCTGCTCGGAGCAGGTGGGACAGCCTGCCCCTCATTCAAGTTACTAATTTCTTGTACTTTTAATAGAAACAGGGTTTCACCATGTTGGCCAGGCTGGTCTTGAACTCCTGACCTCAGATGATCCACCCACCTTGGCCTCCTAAAGTGCTGGGATAACAGGCATGAGCCACTTCGTCCAGCCTGTTGTTGTTTTAAATAAACCAACTTTGCTGAGATATCACTCACACTTTAGTGCACATCCATCACCGATTTTAGAGCATTTTCGTCACCCCCTAAGGAAATTCTGTACTCAAGGCCAGGTACGGTGGCTCAAGCCTGTAATTCCAGCACTTTGGGAGGCCAAGATGGTAGGATCACTTGAGGCTGGGAGTTCAACCAGACTGTGCCACACAGTGAAAACCCGTTACTACAAAAAAATGTAAAAACTTTGCAGGGTGTGGTGCACACCTGCGGTCTTACCTACTCAGAAAGCTGAGGTGGGAAGATCATTTGAGTCCAGGAGTTTGAGGCTGCAGTGAGCTATTACTGAGCCACTGCGCTCCAGCCTAGGTGACAGAGCAAGAGCTCGTCTCTAAAGACAATTAAACAGAGAAAATTTGGCCAGGTGTGGTTGCTTACGCCTGTAATGCCAGCAGTTTGGGAGGTCAACGTGGGTGGACCACAAGATCAGGAGATTGAGAACATCCTGGCCACATGGTAATACCCTATCTCTACTAAAAAATACAAAAATTAGCTGGATGTGGCACATACCTATAGTTCCAGCTACTTTGGAGACTGACAGGAGAATTGCTTGAATTTGGGAGGGAGAGGTTGCACTGAGCCGAGTGCCACGAGCAAAACTCTGTCTCAAAAAAAAAAAAAACAGTTAAAAATTTTAAAATTAGGCTGGGCGCAGTGGCTTATGCCTATAATCCCAGCACTCTGGCAGGCTGAGGTGGGCAGATCACCTGAGCTCAGGAGTTCAAGAGATCAGCCTGGCCAACATGGAAAAATCCATCTCTACTGAAAAAAAAATACAAAAATTAGCTGCATGTGGTGGCACACACCTGTAATGCCAGCTACTTGGGAGGCTGAGGTAGGAGAATCACTACCTCAGACACTCCCTGTTCTTCCTAGCAGCCTTGCCCCACCTCCATGGTCACAATTTGTGTGCCCTTATTTCCCTCCAAGTCTGAGAAACAGGGGTCACAGGGAGTTGATGAAGAGGAGGGGTCTCTGACAACACGTGGAGACTCCCCAGCAGCTCCTCCTCCAGGTCTGCAAGGAACAAATCCAGACCCAAAGACACCAGGTCCCAGAAGCCAAAGCTTGGGATGAGGCCAGCAGGAGGCAGTCTTTGGCTCTGTCTTTTGCCAGATGGGCTGGGTGGGGACACATAATACAGGAGATGTGGGACACAGGCAGAGTGGGGAGAGACTCTTGCTGCTCCAGGCACAGCCAAGCTAATGCCTTAGTTTCCTTCCCTCAAATCTGCAAAGGGTGAGTTCTCTTCCCTTTTATTTTTTATTTTTTGAGGTGGAGTCTCACTCTGTCTCCTAAACCGAAGTGCAGTGATGCAATCGCAGCTCACTGCAATCTCCGCCTTTTGGGTTCAAGGGATTCTCCTGCCTCAGCCTCCCAAGTAGCTGTGATTACAGGTGCACACCACCACGTCTGGCTAATTTTTGTATTTTTAGTAGAGACAGGGTTTCACCATGTTAGCCAGGCTGGTCGTGAACTCCTGACCTCAGGTGATCCACCAGCCTCTACCTCCCAAAGTGCTGGAATTACAGTCATGAGCCACCACACCAGGCCCCACAAAGGGTGACTCTTCCCTGCCTGCTGAGCTAGACTGCCATGGGAGTATTGGGGACTGCAGGAAATGCCCCACTCCTGGCTGTTCTACCTCTATCCTGGAGTTCTGTAATACCCCTGTCCCCCAGGGCCTGGCACCTCCACCCTGTTCATCCCGGCCACCTAGTCTGCTGTTCAGGATGCCATCACACCTCTCTCTAACCCCTGGGTGTCCCTTGGGAACTCACACCTCTGTGGGATCCACCATGGTCCTGATGGGCTCCCACAGGAGGCCGGAGAGCATCGAGCAGGTCTGCTGCATCCATAGTCTAAGCTCCATGACCACCTGTGCAAGCAGGAGGTGATGCTCAGGGAGGCTGACGAGTTGTTTCCCTGGGGAGTCAGGACCCTGCTGAGTTCTAACTGTCCCCTGGGCTCCCCAAGGTTGGGACAGCAAGGAGCAGGGGGTGGAGGGGCTAGAGGCACCTGGTCATTCCAGCTGCATCCTGTGTGCAGCTTCCAACAGTTTTGCCAATGAGCTCTTGGAGGTGAAGGGAGGCCCAGGGTCACAGTCTAGATGCCCAGAGGAGTCAATCCAGGCAGGGCAGCTTTCAGCAGCCCTGCCAACCTCTCTCTCTACCCCAGGGCCCCAGGTCCTGCCCAAATCTCTCACCAATTCTGCTTAGCCCTGTTGTTATTTGTTAATTATTTTTTAAATTTTTTGTAGTTATGAAACCTTGTTATGTTGCCCAGGCTGGTCTCAAACTCTTGGCCTCAAGTGATCCTCCCACCTCAGCCTCCCAAAGTGCTAGGATTATAGGCATGAGCCACTGCAACTGGCCCATGTCCTGAGGTCTCCACTGCTGTCTGCCAGCGGTGAAGTAAACAGAACAATGGTGCTAATGCTCCAAGTGGCCCAGGGGCAGGTGGAGATGGGAGGCCAGGAAAGTGGTGGGGCTGAAGAGGTCTTACCTTCAGGTGGCGCTCGCTGGCTGTGTGGATGTCCTCATCACTGGGGTTGAGTCTGAAGGTGCCCTGGGCCCACTTCTTAGTCACCTATAGCAAGTGTCAGCAATGCTGGGGGGCAAGTGAGCAGATATCAGGAGCCAGGAGAGCCCCTGCCCTGGTCCCACCCTATCCCTAATGGCTGACTGTCCCTATCTAGGAGCTGAGTCCTGGAAACAAACCCTGGGGGGGGCATCTTGGGTGGGGACACCTTCACTCATGAGCCATGTGGGCATCAGGGGTCATTAAAGGATGGAGAGAGGCAGTCATCAAGGCACACAGTTAAACAGCACTTGAGTATTTAATTAGTTCAACATGAAACCACAGACTGGCAACACTGCACTATTTGCTCAGGGATTTGGTGGGAGCCTAGGGCCACAGGGAGGGGCCTTGGGCCACAGGGAGTACCTGGTAAGCTGCCTGTTCCTTGAGCACAATGTGTACCAAGGGGAGCTGGAGTGAGGGTAGCTCCATGGGAAAGGGACAGGATTGCCACCCTGAGCTGTGTGACCGTAGGCAAGAAGACCCCTCTTCTCCAAATGAGGTCAACCACACAGGTCATTTTGGGCGCCAGTGCCCACTCGGACAGTCTGGATTTGAGCTTTGTAGGTGGATGGGAACCTGGGAGGGTTTAGAGATGCTGGGAGAACCTTTTTCCTGGGAGAGCTTTCCAAACAGGGAACAAACAGAGCCACCCTGGGCCCCGCTGAGAAAGGATCCTACTGGAAGCTCTCGCCACTGTCTTGCTCCACGCTGGTGGTGATGGTGATGGTGATGTCATCAATGCAGGTGGTGAGTGTCGTGAACAGAAGCACAGACCGCTGCAGTCCCGCCGGGCTGAAGTCAAAGTCTGTGTTGTGGACAAAGTAACCCTTGGGATATCCAGGGTGGGAGAATTGTGGTTTGCTGGACCCTTGTTGTGGGTTGTTTAACCTCAGCTCACATGTCTGTGGCCTCCCCAGATCCAGGCCCCTCCACTCTGTGAAGGCAAATCTATCCCTAGCAGGAAGACTACGAGGTGGGGCGGGGAGGTGGGGGCGTGTGGTAGAGGCAGGATGGTACCCACTTGCAGGTGTCAGTCATGTAGCAGACGATCCCTGGTGGCCGGATGGAGGCAGTGTGTTGTTGATGGCAATAGTGACAGGGAGGCGGGAGGGCAGGGGCCCCACCTGGACCAGGCTGCTGATGTTGGCCTTGAAGGGGAGGTAAACCCCCCATGCTCTAGCACATCGACCCCATTCACCCACTGCAGACACTGGAGATATGGGAGGGAGGCGGCAGCTCAGTGCATGAGGAGGGGCCCTGTTATCAGGCACTCCCTCATAACTTGCAGCATAGAGCTGAGGCCTGCCAGCCAGATGAAAAGAATGGCATCCCAATGGGGTAGAGAAGGTCACCTATTCCCCTACACAGGGCACAGCCTCCAGGGCATAGCAAGGAAGGGCCCCTCACCGTTCCATCCCAGGAGACAGGCTGTGGGTGGCACCTGGGACTCCCATGCTGTTCAGCAGCCACACCCACCCACCTGCCCTACCTGCTCCTGGCTGCACTCACCACAATGGCATAGGAGTGGGCACTGCCAATCCTCAGCACCACTCTTCTGTGGAGGTCCTGGGTCCACCATTCTGGCAGGGTCACTTCCCATTTGTGCCACACCCAGCTGACAAAATGCCATAGCCGCCAGTCCTGGCAGATGTTCTTGAAGCTGGAGAGAACCTCCATGTCCAGGGTGGGGCCAGACTGTGGAGAGAAGGGTGGAGCTCAGCTCCTAGGCCCCCAAACAGATCTGGGACCAAGGTACATTCCTGCCTTCTTTGCAGAGCTGACCTCAGGATGTTTAAACTGTCTCCTCCTCCCCATCCTCAGGTCCAGCTCTGTGCAGCCCAAGACGCTCTGGCCCGACTACTGGGAGGAGTGTTTGGGTGGCTCATGCCGGTAATCAGTGCTTTGGAAGGTCAATATAAAATGATGGCTTGAGGCCAGGAGTTCGAGACCAGCCTGGGCAAAGTAGTGAGCCCCTATATCTAAAAAAACAATTTTTTTTAAATTAGCCAGGCGTGGAGCCCCCAGCTAACTTGCAAGGCTGCGGCAGGAGGATCGCTTGAGCTCAGAAGTTAGGATTGCGCCACTGCGCTCCAGCCTGGGCAACAGGGCCAAGCCCAGTTTCAAAAAATGTTTTAAAAATTAAAAACAAACATTAAAAAGAAAGGACACTGCCTGGGCTCAGCCTTGGCATTGGGAGGGGGCTTGGCAGGGGCGCTTCCTCCTCCTCCTCCCATCTCCTCCGCAGCGGTTCTTGTGGGCCCCCTCCCTGCCCCACTCCCATAACCCGGTGTTCCCAAACCCACTGACCTTTAACCTCCTCTGGGCCCCCAACTCCTGGGCGATTAGGGGAAGGAGCCTGCGAGGCGGCCCGGGCTCCCCTACTTTCTCCTCCCGGCTTCTGCACGCCTCCCGGCCCTGCCCTAAGTACCGCAGCAGCGGCCGCTACCACCGCTCCTGGAAGCCCCGGCGCCGGTCGTCAGAGAAATCGGCGCGGAAGCTCCAGAGTCCGTCCAGCTCCTTGCGCTTCCGTGACGGGCTCTCCCGGGGGAACGGCATCCCGCCCTGCAGCGCCACCGCGCAGCCACACAACAACGGCCCTGGTGCTGCCTAGGCCACCGCCGGCCCCGAGGCCAGGCTTTCCGCTCTGCTGCTCGGCTTCCGGCTGCGGGGATAAAAGAAGCGCGGGGGGAGGCCGGTGGGCGTGTCGCTTGTCGTTGACGTACTGAGGCCGTCGGCGCCATGTTGGTTGAGGGCGAGTGCCACGTCAGGAAGGGAGGGGGAGCCTGGAGCTGCTGGGTGGTGCCAGGGACTGGAAACCCCGGGCTAGGCCTTTGACGAAATGGGATCCTCACACTCAACCCCAGTCAAGAAGGGCGAGGTCTTCCACCCCGACCCAGGCTGGACGATCCAGGGCGGCAGGCCAGGACAGAACTGCTGAGATGTGAGATTCCTTGTTTTCTTCAAGGAGCACCTCCACTTGCTTTCCCCAGCGTGACTCCTCTGAGCAGGACCCAAGGGAACCTCTTCCATGCCTGCCAGGTGCAGCGGTGGCCCTCGCCTGTAATCCCAGAACTTTGGGAGGCAGTGGTTGGTGGATCACTTGAGGCCAGTCTGGCCAACATGGCGAAAACCGATCTCTACTAAAAAAAAAAAAAAAAAAATAGCTGGGTGTCCTGTTGGGCACCTGTAATCCCAGCTAGTAGAGAGGCTGAGGCTGGAGAATCGCTTGAACCTGGGAGGTGAAGGTTGCAGTGAGCCAAGATCATGCCATTGCACTCCAGCCTGGCGAGAGACTCCCCCACCCCCCAAAAGAAGGCTGGGGCAGGGGCTCAAGCCTGTAATACCAGCAGTTTGGGAGATTCAAATGGGCAGATCACTTGAGGTCAGGAGTTTGAGACCAACCTGGTCAACATGGAGAAACCCCATCCCTACTAAAAATACAAAAATTAGCCAGGTGTGGTAGTGGTCTCAGAACAGCTACTCGGAAGGCTGAGGCAGGAGAATTGCTTGAACCTGAGGGGTGGCCATTGCCATGAACTGAGATGGTGCCACTGTGCACCAGTCTGGGCGATAGAGTGAGATGCCATCTCAAAAAAAAAGTTTATTGAAAAACTTTAGAACAGGAAGGAAAAGAAAGGAAAGGAAAGTACAACTTGGAAGAGGGCCAAGTGTGTGACCTGAGAATCCAAGTGCCCAGCTAGACCTCTTGACTCGGGGTTTCATAAGCTGGCATCCTTCTGGGGTCTTGCCACTCCTGATTCTTTAGCTTGGGGCTCAGAACACACGTTCTTCTTAGACCATGAAGTCATTCTCAGGGAACACATCAGTTACAGCTGTTGGGTGCCTCTGACATACAGAGGGGGCCCTTGGGTCCTAGGAACACCACCTGGACTCAATTGTTTGTAGAATTCCTCCCCACCCCGTCTCATGCTCCCTCAGTCTTCTGAAAAATGGACCTTAACACCAGAAATGGAGTCCCCAGTGTAGTGAAATAAATACATTCTACGAACTGACAAGGCCTGAAGGCTTTTTCACAAAGGTTTATGCTCTTTTTTCCTTATTTTCTTTAATTTTACTTTTATATTACCTTAGCAAAATGTTTACACACTTAAATTAGGATACATTTCACTGTTTATGAGGCAGCTTTAGGCCAAATTTAACAAAAGTAATCCCAGCAACAGGGGAGACTGAGGCAGGAGAATCACTTGAACTCAAGAGGCAGAGGTTGCAGTGAGCTGAGATCATGCCACTGCACTCCAGCCTGGGCGACAGAGTGAGACTCCAACTCAACTCAAAAATAAATGAAGGGAGAAACTTATATATTTATATATGTATGATGTTTACATTATATGAAAATATGACATTTCTATTTATAAAACAATCTACATATTTAATACATTAATTCATTAAATATATATTTTATATATGTTATATATACACTTATGAAAAGGAATTTATTATGGGAAGGACCTCTCCTGAGAGGCAGAAACTGTTGCCTCCACCACGACTTCTCTCTTGGCACATTCCAAGCTTGGACAAATTGGGGAAGTGGGTGGAGGTTGCCCTGCATTCCCCCTCCTCTGCTTAAGTGTGTCTTCGTAACATCAGCTGGCATCACACAAAGGGCAGGAGAAGCCAACACCCAGAACTCTTTTGCTGGTCAGATTCCCAGAGTGTCTGTCCTCACCCAAGCCTGTTCTGTGTGTCTGTGTTGTGAAGCTTGAGTCTTTGGAAAGAAATGGGAAGGGGGGTGGGGTGGCGGAAATGTTACCACAAGAATGCTTCTCATTCCTCTGTTCTTGTTGGGTCCTGTTTTGGGGGAGGGTGGGGGTTGGGGAAAGTGTGACCTTGTGTCTTTATCAACAAACTAATTTACACAAAATAAAAAGAAAAGGAATTTATTTCTTTGCTGTTCGGACACTTTTCTGGTCTTCTTTTCCCTATTGGTTCTGGTCTTGTCTCTGATTCCTGGAGGTGGCCAGCCTCTAAATCCATGGAATTTCTTGAATGACAGGTGTGTCTGTTACTCATAGTGGCCACCCCAGGGTCACAGCTGAGTGCATGCTAACCAGATGATTTGGCCAGGGAAACAACCACACCAGAAAGATCAACCATGTGATTTGAAGTTGCGACGTTGAACCACATGTCAGCCCGACCTCCAGAAAGGAACTGGGGGGCTGGAGATGGACTCAACTGCCTGGTCAATAATTGCATCAACCCTCCTGCTGTGATAAAACCCCTGGACGTGGAAGCTAAGGTGATCTTCCCTGGTTTGAGATACACATCAGTATGCTGAGAGGATGATGTGTCCTGAGGACACAGAAATGTCATCTTCAGGACCCTCTCGGAGTTTATACTACGTGTCTCTGCTTTTGACTGGTGTTACTTTTGTCAGTTTTTCTTATATAAAACTGTAATGAAAATATCATGCTCAGCTGGGCACCGTAGGTCATGCCTGTAATCCCAGCACTTTGGAAAGCTGAGGCGGGCAGATCACCTCTGTTTGGGAGTTAGAGACCAACATGGCCAACACAGTGAAACCCTCTCTACCAAAAATACAAAAATTAGCCAGGTATGATGGCACTTACCTGTAATCCCAGCTACTAGGGAGACTGAGGCAAGAGAATCACTTGAACCTGGGAGACAGAGGTTGCAGTAAGCTGAGATTGTGCCATTGTACTTTTGCTTCACAGTGAAACTTCATCTCAAAAAGAAAGTATCTTGCTTTTCTGAGTTCTTTGAGGTTTTATAGAGAAATTATCAAACCTGAGGACACTGTGGGAACCTCTGAATTTGTAGCCAGTTGGTGAGAAGTACATGTGATCTGAGGACACCCAAACTTGCAGCTTGCCTCTAATGTGAAGGTAGCCTAGAGGGGGTTTGTGGCCTTAACCTGTGGCATTTGATGTTAACATCAGGGAATTGACATCAGAATTGTGTCATACAGGCCAGCTCTGATTGCTCATGCTTGTAATCCCAGCACTTTGGGAAGCAAGGTAAGAGGATCACTTGAACTTGAGTCTGAGGCTACATTGAACTACCACACCACTGCAGCCCAGCATAGGTGACAGAGCAAGACCCCAACTCCAAAAATAAAAAAATTGCATGGCACAGTGCCTGTCTTTAATGGCTCAAATGTTGCAGGAACTTTCTTTTTTTTTGGAAAACAGAGTCTTGCTCTGACACCCAGGCTGGAGTGCAGTGGCTCAATCTTAGCTTACTACAACCACTCCCTCCTGGGTTAAAGTAGTTCTCTTGCCTCAGTGTCCTGAGCAGCTGGGATTACAGGTGCACATCACTGTGCCTGGCTAATTTTTGTACTTTTTTAGTAGAGACAGGGTTTCAACATGTTGGCCAGGCTGGTCTCGATCTCCTGACCTCAGGTGATGTGTCCACCTCAGCCTCCCAAAGTGCTGGGATTATAGGCATGAGTCTGCACCTGGCTTGAGTTTGTTTTTAGATAAAGCAATCTAAAAACATCATGGCATAATGCTATCTTTTCAATACACAGAGTAAAGAGGACAAGCAGGTGAAAGAATAAATGAAAGATTGGAATCCAACTTCCCCCCACTGTCCCAAGGTGTTGGACATTGATGAATAGGAGGAAGCAAGCCACTCACAGGGCCAGGAAGAAATGAATGCATCAGTATTGCCAGGAGAAGAGGCCGGCACAGATAAAATATGCTATGACCATAGCTAGCAGGTACTGATGGAGAGAAACGAACACACAGATAGAGAAGTCACATCTTGGAAGTGGAAGATCCTGAAGATGGGGCAATGGGGGGCTGGGGAGGGGTTGCCCATCAGAGAAGGGACCTCAGTGTTGGGGTGACTGTGCTTATTTGGAATCTGTGGGGTGGAGGGATATTTGATGGTGGGATGAAGGGACCTCAGTGTTGGGGTGACCGTGCTTATTTGGAATCTGTGGGGTGGAGGGGTATTTGATGATGGGATGCAAGTCTGAGGAGCCAGAGGAAGGGATGTGGGTGATGCGCCCAGCATGGTGAGCTCCAGTGGGATCTTTGCAGGGAGTGTGTCTACATTGGCTGGCATCAGGAGGGTCTTTTCTGTGCCAGGCAGTGAACTTTCTGAAAGCACTAGGAGTAGAGAGGCCAGGAGCTTCAGGGCTGTGGCTGGACTGTGGCCCAGGGTTCAGATATCAAAGGATCAGTAGGACAGAGAGGGGCCACTCAGTCACTCTGAAACAGACCAGCAGAGTCCCAAGGAAAATGCTGACAAATCATAAAAAGGCCAAGAAGAGCCAGGAGTATTGGCTCAAGCCTGTGACCCCAGTTCTTTGACAGGCAGAGACAGGAGGATCACGTGAGCCCAACAGTTCAAGAACAACCACAGCAAGGCCCTCTTTCTACAAAAATTACAGAAATTAGTGGAGCAAGGCGGCCTGTGCCTGTAGTCCCAGCTACTCAGGAGGTTGAGGCAGGAGGACTGCTTGAGCCCAGGAAATTAGAGCCTGCCATGAGCTGCAATCATACCACTGTACTCTATCCTGAGGAAAAAAGCTAGACTCAGTCTCAAAAAAAGAAAATGGTGGGCACCAAAACTGAAGACCTTGGGAGCTGGCTGGGCACAGTGGCTCACATCTGTAATCCCAGCACTTTGGGAGGACAAGGCGGGCGGATCACCTGAGGTCAGTTGTTCAAGACCAGCCTGGCCAACATAGCAAAACCCTCTCTCTACTAAAAACACAAAAATTAGCCAGGTGTGGTAGTGCACACCTGTAATCCCAGCTACTCTGGAAGCTGAGACAGAGAATCATTTCAACCCTGGAGGTGGAGGCTGCAGTGAGTCAATTTCATGACCCTGCCCTCCAGCCTGGGCAACAGAGCAATATTCTATCTCAGGAAAAAAACAAAGCTGTGGAGGGGGAGCATCAGGTGGGAGATGGTAAAGGGAGAGAGAGGGGAACTGTGGGTGTGGAGGCTGTGACCTCCCCGAGGCTGTGTGTTGGAGCAGGAACACAATTACCTGGAGAACAACCTTACCTTGTCTGACACCCTCAGATCTTTGTCCCAGGCCAGGAATCTTTTAACGACAGGATCCTCTGTGATCAGAGAGCATGCTACTGTTTGAGAAGCAGAATAGTTTCCCTGGGAGCAATAGGGCGGTGAAAAGAAGTGCA